AGGTGCTATCTGGTCATTTAAACACTCTACATATGTTCAAACAGTTCTGCATGAATAGCTCTGTAGGATCTTTTTTAGACCAGCTACAGATGTGATGTCTCAATGTAAAATGTAGAGGAAAGGCTCACCTTTTTCATGAACTTCACATCGAGTGATGTGATTCAGGACTGCAAAAGTTATTGATGTTTGAAGATTCCAAAATCCTGTCTTCAAAGTCAAGGGCCAAATTTCAGGTATTGTTACAGGTGGGTTTTTGATGATTCTCAGCCTTTATTGTTAGTACATTAACCAATATCTGTGTGTAAAATACAAAAAAATACTTGTCATGACGCCCCAACATCTAGGAACAAGGTGCATGTTTTTTCAGATTTTTAGCTCTCTTCCTGTTGCCTCAGGACTTTTCTATGTCAGTAGTTTTCTTTACCGCCCAGTAAAGATGACATTTTGTGTAGTGTAAAGAAATCATTGAACACCCTCTCAAAGCGGGTTACTAGACTTTCAAGGGCAGTAGAGTCCTCAATTGGATTGTTGGGTTGACACAGGAGTGCCAAAGGTCTTGAATCTGTGAGTACTGGCGCGGGCGGCTGGGGCTGCATATTGATGAGGTTGAGAAGGTCCGACTCGTCTAATGTTAGAGTGTGATCAAAGTTGTCTATGGTCAGGGCCAACTGAGCCTGCCACAGTGCCTCAGCCGCGTCAGGGACGCAGTTGGAGCAATCACAATCTTGCATTCCTGCGTCACTTTGCCTTTTTTGTTCTTTTTGTACAGTTCAATCCCCTGCATCCAACGGGATGTAGCCATGCCTGTGATAAAGCTGTCAGAGTTCAAGATCAATTGCACCCGTAAAGATAACATTTGCTCACTCAAGGTCTATTGCCAGCGCTACCCAAAGGCAGACTGGAGTAATCGCGAGGGCGTCCATTTGGTTGTCATCGGACATCAGGGTGGGTGTTTTGAAGTCAGAGAGATTGTTTTTACCATTGGGAAGCTGGTTTTTGACTAGCATGAACGCTATACCTTGGTGTCCGTCATGCCCACATTGGCTGGCCATCTGGATAAAATTACAGGGATCTTGCTGTCCCACAATTGCCACGCGGCGCACTTGGTGCCAATTCTGGCCTAAACCAAGGGCAAGCGTGCAGCATATGACTGAGAGGCTTCCTGTGACGTATGCCGCAACCGCGGAGGCCTTAGCGTTTGGGCCAGTGGTCCCAGGGTACCAACGAGAGAAGTCAGAGACACCATTTGCTGCTTCATTAGGATGTCCGCGGGATGAGTTGATGAGTTGCAAAGACTCTAAAGTCCGGTTCTGAGTTCCTGAATACACGAGGGTTGGTGGAATGTTGCTTGATGGAACCACCATGGCATGTGGAAATAGATTTCAAATTGAGCCTTTCAGTGGGTGCTTGAAAGTCCTTTGTATCAGTCGTAATTTGGGCCTAGTTAGCTCAGCCCGGGTAAACTTGAGATCATGCGCATCCAGCTTGAGATTGGCCAAAATGGCATGAATTGCCTGCGGGGTACACATTGCAGACATCAAGAGAAGCAGAACTTTGTCGGAGGCCAGGAAGCGTCGCGCAAGGTCGCCATACAAAGGTCAAAAGACTCCTCCATTGTTGACGCGAGCATAGCTGGCCAGCCGTTTGGCTTCACCACTCATGACAAGCCCCCAGGTATATATCATATGTGCCTTGTTGACCACCATGAGGATCAGGCGTGCTTGGAATTTGGGATCTTGCAACATCTGATCAAAAATTTTGCTGGTTAAGGCGATTTCCGGGCTGTGATGCTGTCAGCTTAGGACTCTTAGAAGGTGGATACTAGATGAGTTCTAGACTGAATGATGCTTACAAAATGTATTTCTTTGAAGTTTATAACACTTCAAGAGGAATTATTTTTTGGTTCTTTGTAAGTTAAATATTTTCAAAGCTACAGTCGTTACGTATAGCTGTCTGTGGTGCAGGATGGGATACCACTGCCAGTTTATTAGTAAGTGCAATCACTTAATAATCTGCCAAGGTGAATACTAACGTATAATGATCCTGGGTGACACTTTAGTGTTGGTTTGATAAAACAAGCTTTTATCAAAAGAAAGATATAGAAAATAGAAGATGCCAGTCAATTGGAACTACCCGATTGATCTGTGACAAATCCTAATGACAAAAAGAGATAGAAAAGGAATTGGTCAAACACTAAGTTGGAAAAGATAAGAAGCTACTTTTAATAGAAGATTCTAAGATATTTCAACTAAGGTTATTCGAACAAAGTAAGAAAGGAAAAGGACATTTTAAGTAAAACGCAAGTCTTTTCTAAAATAGGAATTTGGTTAATTTGTGTAGGTGATAAAGGATAATTCTTTTCCTAGTACGAAGAAGAGCTCATATTAAATAGTGCTTCTATTGTGGCTTGTTAATTGCTTTGCGCCTTTTTTTTGGCTAGGGTTTGAATATCCTGGCCTGGACTTCTAATTAGGATTTCGATCTGGGCTGCTGTCATTGGTTGTTATTCAACAACAGTTTTTGGCCTGGTTTGTAATCACTTTCCTCGACATGTGTTAGCTGGTTGCAAAGGGTAAGGTGATTAATTTTTTAGTTAACCCAGGGTTCTAAGGGTTTTGTTCTAATGTTTTCGTTTCTGTTTCTACACTCTTGAAACACGAGTGAGAGAGGTGTATGTTTTCTAAAAAGAAATATGTTTTTTATTTTAATAGAATATTATATATACAAAATATATTGAAATGTGATCTTTGTTGTCTATACCATGGGGGTTCTGCACCGCAGAACCTCTTGCGGTTTCCAGATGCCATCACATACCGACGTCAGCTTGAACATGTGATTCCTTTGAAGCTGGCGCACCGATGGGCAAAGGACCCACCACATGTACAAAATTGTATTTCCCTTGTAACACATCATCACAAACTTGTTTGGTGCAGTTAGCCCCCGTCAGATTAACATCCTTCAGCTGAACCACAGATTTTTTGCTGACCTGCCGAGTCACAATTACATCACCGATGTTCCCGTGTGATGGAAATATATTAGTTCGTCATAACTCACCTGATCTTCCCCTAGAGAATCCAACGGGTTGATGCTGAGCACATTTGGCGTGTAGCGCTCTTGATCATGAGCAAGGTAGAATAACTTGGGCACACGACTCTTCCCAAAGCCTGTGCCCGCTAACAAGAACATGGTCTTGCCGTGGATGAGATGCACAGTTGTCTCAACCTGTGTTGGCCAAGCGTCGTATCTGTACGCTTCCGTAAATATGGTTAAGAGCACTTCAGGTTTAATTGGTCAAGTTGACTACTTGCTCCTGCAGTTTTGGAATTGTGCTGAGTGATTGTTGGAGTGCTTGTGATTTCAGGAGGTCAGCAACGGCAGAATGACTCTGTCATAGCATTATTGCTGGGAGGAAAGCAAAGTAGCAATATTGGAAAGGTGGTGCCACCACAAGGAAATTGAAAAGGTTGCGACTTGGCTCGGTCGCCTGCAAGGGCTCTGACCGACAAACTACAGTTTGGGCATATACTATTGAGGGTTTTGTCACCAGATCTGGGGATTTGGTCGCCGCAGTCGAGGAACAGACATGTACGGCCCCGGGTTTATCCTGAGGAGCTATTTTTGCTCTAGAATGAGAACCACTTGAGCCGTTGAGGATTTGCTAGTGGCAAATTAAGGTTGAGGTTTACGCGTGTGTAACTCATTATCATGTCGAAACATGTTGATTGACGTGATTTGAGGGCAGGAGTGATCAGAGTTTTTTGGGAAAAGCCCTCCCGTATCTCACACCAAACTTTTCTGATGGCGTGTAAGTCCCTCCTTTGGGGAGTAACCAAAGGGCTGTGAAATTTTGTAGTGGCTACTGCTACCCACTACAAATTGGCTACTTACGACACACAGATTGCTCCATTTGGAATTCGTACTTCTGACTTCACAAAATGCCAGCCAAAGCAGACCATGCCATTCTAATAGGTCATTGACAATGTGGATATGTCATGACATACATGGTACATAGTGGAGGAATTGAAGTTCACTCTTTCTGTGCAATCATTTTCACCAGTCTATGGAAGTAGAAATGTTCCTTGATTCTCGAGATGATTTTCACAATCAATTTTCTTCAAAGCCTGCTGATCTCAAGAGCACCTTACCACGAAAGCTACATCTTGATAATATTGCTGGTTGGTTCCGCAATGGACCATGATCCGCGCGAGCCCATTTGAGGTCTACAATCAATTGGCCTTTGTGTATACCCTTAGGCTTGGATATATGTGTCCAGAATAGAGACATACTAGCAAGGATTTCGAACTTCTGCCTTATCCCTTGCATATCTCGTCAGGAACTGAGCACATGAAGAATAAGCCAATTTGGCCAAAGTTCTGGTTGACTATGTAAATCAAGATTTGTGGCGAGTTTGTTCCTTCTGCAATCATCAACACAACCGGGTGCCGTTAGATCTCTCCATCAGCTCACCTTGATCCAAAGTGTGTTCACAAAAGCCCATCTTCAGCGAGTTGGGTGACCACTGATAGGACCCTGGAATACACCCATGGAGGGTACTGACGGAGCATGATTTTCAGTTTTTTGCCTCTACACTACGCATCAGTGCCTCTATGAAGCTGCAGAGCACTTCAAAAGATGTGCATGGAGTAGGGCTATCAGATGAGACCAGACAGAGCCCGGCATCATGTCTCACGGCGTCGTAAATCGCGATGGCGCAATTTTTTTTTCAAACTCCCAGGCCAAAAACCGACCCTCGATTTTTGGCCCTTTTTTGGGCGTTACATTGATATATCTTAGGTAATATTGGTGCTACCAGGCTGCGAGCTAGTGCATTTGAAAGCCTTCATTCTGGTGCATCTTTTGTGCTCCTGTAGGTCTTGATAGAGTGCAGTTTAGTATCGAAAAACTACGTCAACAAAAGGTCGGTTTTTTGGTCAGTACCCTCCATGGGTGTATTCCAGGGTCCTCCACTGATACGATAGAGTTTGTATTGCTGAGTTTGCGCGCACCGTACAATTAGGTCTCACAGTTGGACAAATCCAACGTCTGCGTGTCCAGAAATGGTTACGCAGCAGATAGTAGCTGCTACTCAGTAGCAACTACAAAATTTCACAGCCCTTCCAGTACTCTGCTCCTTTGAGCGAGCTGGTACAGCTCAGGTACTGGCCCAGAAGGGACTTAGTTAAGTTTGCTACGTGTCTATAACGCTACCAATCCTAGTTTCGGAACGTGCCATTTACCCCGTGGTGTATGTTAATCATACTTCATGGTAATGTAACAGGACCAGAACTAGGGTTAGAGAAGGAACTGTTTAAGTGACTTAGATGAAAACCTAACGGACTAACGGGGATTGGAATCTAGTGACTTAAGAGTAATTGTCGATAGGAATGATAATGAATCAGAGAAAGGCAATTGGAGAGTAAGGCACGGATTCCAAGAAGTAGCAATTCTTGCTTAGAGGAACTGGTCGAATTGCAAAAGGACAATAGCAGCTCTATTTATACACATAAAAGAGTAAGAGAGAAACTGAATGAAACGAGGTCCTTTGACTAGTGTAGGGCACGTTAGGTGCGGCGTGCTACTCTACTCTACTGAGGTATCCCAATGAGGAGTAGGCGGTGTCAGCCTTCTCCTCATTGGGCGACGTAACTGGGGAGCTGAGCACTGTGGATGTAGTCCACTACTTATAGTGCTCAGCACGTCCTTTTCTTACCCTTCCCGAATAGGGTAAGGGGTTTAGCCCGGGACCGATTGGGACATTTGTACGGGGATGCTTCGCATCCCTGCTACAACTATCCCCCCCTTAGCCGGCGATCATTCCACTTGTTGCCTTAGGGATTCTGATCCTGATTTTCAACGCCTTCTTTTGCGCGCGAGTTAACTGTTTGACCTCAGTTGTTACTTTCTTAGTTTCAAATTTATCCGCTGTATCAGCCGGGGGCTGGAGCCTTGCCGGCAACGCCCACGGTTGGATCAGCGACGTGTCCTTAGTTTTGGCAGGCTGTAGCCTATTCCCATTAACTGGATGAGGGAACTCGGAGCCCGTAGGATTGACAATTTTATACACATTATTTCCTAATGCGTCGAACACCTCGAACGGACCATGCCAGTTTGGCTGGCCCTTAGTTTGAGTCTCGTTTCGAAGCTTGACGGTCTCCCCAATCCTGTATGACTGGATGGTGCCCTTCTCCCTTAGCTTATTGTCGAACCGGGCCTTATTCGCCGCGGCTCGAGCCTCCTGAAGCTGACGAGCCTCAGCCCGATCAGCTTTTATCTTGTTTAACCGTGCTTCATTCGCGCGCTTGCTCTCAGCAGTGTCGGTTCCCAATACCAACGGGCGCAACTTCGCACGATCGGCGAGGAGCCTGGGTTTTACTCCATACAGAAGTTTGAACGGTGACCAACCGGTCACCGTGCTTTGGTTAACCCAAACGGCAAAGATGGCCTGAGATAAAAACTCAGGCCACCTCGCGGGATCTCCCGTCGTGTTAAGACGGAACAGAGTTCCCTCGAGGATACCGTTCAGCCTCTCATTTTTACCATTCGTACGCGGATGGTAACCGGAGGTTGTCAGCTTTCTGACATGTGCAGCTTTGTAAAAGCGCAACATATCCTTCGACAGAAAATTTTGGCCCCTGTTGGTCAAAATTTCTGAAGGCACCCCAAACTGCTGGAAAACTTCCCTCAGGAAGGCCTCTGCTACATTCGCAGACGTAGCTTCTTTTAATGGGACTGCTATCGGCCATCCAGTGCAATGGTCAATGATGGTCAAAATCCATTTGTAGCCCTCCCTCGACTCAGGCAGTTGGATAAAATCCGCGGCCCACCGTTCAAACGGCTCGACCTGTGGCAAGGGGACCTGTTCCCCTGTTTCCAGGTTTGTCTTCGGATGCTCGAAGATCTGACACTGCGAGCAGTGTTTACAGAAATACTCGACGTCCTTGTACCGCCCCGGCCACCAGCCCCTGCCTTTTAAGAAAGCCAGGGTGCCATCTCTGCCCCTGTGACCCGACTGTCGATGAACCGACTCCATCAGATCAGGTTGTAGGTCGAAAGGGACGAAAGGAGAATCGTCCTCTTTCCAGCTCAGCGTCTCAGCCTTCTTGCTGTAGACAAACTTTGGTGATTGCCACACCGCCGTCTTAATACTGGTCGCGTCGGCCCATTCTGGGATCTCACGCTGGTCCAGGATGTACGGGATTAGAAGTGGCCAATCACTTGAATCCCGTAATCCGTTCTTAACCTCATGGATTAACATAAGGTCCGAGCGCCGACTTAAAGCATCGGGGACAACGTTAGCTGATCCCTTTTTATACTCGATCTTAACCGTCATTTCGGCGAACTCGTTGATCCAACGGTGGAGCCTTCGCGACGGAAGGACTTGCTGCTGAAGGTACGTCAAATAAGCGTGGTCAGTACGAACTAAGGTATCGCTGACCGCTCCTTCGACATAGACCCGCCACTTTCGCCAAGCGTGGATGATGCCCAAGAGTTCTTTCTCCTGGGCGGGGTAGTTCTGTTGTGCGGGGTTAAGTTTTGCGGATTCGAAAGCGACTGGGTGTTCGACACCCTCCCCATCTCTTTGCAGTAGTACCGCGCCCACCGCGTGGTCGCTCGCGTCAGTTTTGATGACGTACGGCCTTGTTGGGTCCGGAGTTCTTAGCACCGGGGCTTCTTGTAACGCTGCCTTAAGGTTACAAAAGGAGACCTCATGGCTGGCGTTCCATATTACTGCTTGTTTCTTTTTCGTAACCCCTGCTGTTAGCCCGTGCAATGGACTTGCTATTTTAGCAAAGTTTTTAATAAACCGTCTATAATAGCCAGCAAGCCCCAAAAAAGCCCAAACGTCGTAGACGTTCTCTGGTCGAGGCCATTCTTGTATGGCTTTGACTTTCTCTGGCATCATTCTCACACTGTTGTGCGAAACAATGTGCCCAACGAACTGGATCTCGTTGGCAAACATCAACGACTTCTTACCGCTGATCTTCAACTCGGCCTTTTCCAACGCGAGAAATACCTTCGTGACATGCTCGAAGTGTTCGTCTTCCGACTTCGAGTACACCAGGATATTGTCCAGGTATACCTGGACGAAATCATCGAGATACTCCCTCAGGATGTCATTCATCATCCGTTGAAATGTGCTGGGAGCATTCACGAGCCACTCATAGTGTCTGTAACGCGTCCCAAACGCCGTTTTCGCCACATCGCGTGAGGCAATTTTCATTTGGTGGAAACCCTGCTGTAAGTCAAACTTAGAGAAGAACATGGCCCCTCCCAACTGATTGAAGCAGTCTTGGACCAAAGGAAGAGGATGTCTATCCCGTTTCGTAAGCTTGTTTACCGCTCGGTAATCCACGCAAAATCTTAACTTACTGCTTGCGTTCTTTGCAAACAGGACTGGTGACGACCACGCTGACGTCGACGGTCGGATCATTCCCTTGTCCAACAGCTCCTTGAGTTTTGTTTTAAGCTCATCTAGGAGTAGAGGGGACATTCTCCTGACCGGCTGTGAGACTGGACCCTTCTCACCCGTATCAATGAGGTGATCGACAACGCGTTCTACCTTAGGTGCGGTGTCAACCTCCGAAAAGCGGTCCTTGAACCGTTCGATTAACTTCTTAATTCTGTTCTGTAGGGCGGCGCCTTTCGCCAAAATCTCAGGTAGAGCTGCCGGAATATCTTTGCGAGGTCCATCAACCTCGTTGACCTCGTTCAAAGATTCCATTGGCTGCATCAATACTACGTCCACATCTTTCTGTCGGCAAAACCGGCAAAAGCCTGAACAAGATACCTCTTGCAGGTCACTATCACCATGGTCAATCACACTCAACTGATGGATAGCTCCTGAAGGAGCCGCTAGTCGGCTCGGGTAAAACGCGGCCTCTCTTCCGTGTTCATCACAGATACGCCATGCCCCGGTTGACCAGTTTGTTTCCCGTACAAACTGATTGATCCAACTCATCCCTAAGATGATGTTGAAGCTAGCTAAGGGACCCACCCGGCAGGATATCTTATAATCTAGTCCTGCCAGCTCGAAGTTCATCGTGCAGACTTGATTGCACTTGATGGTATGGCCGAAGGCCCCTTTGACCATCACCGGCAGAGGGCTTACTGTCGTGACGAGCCCGTGCTTCTTCACAAAAGCGCTTGAGACATAACGGTCTCTTCCGCCGGTATCTAATAAAAAACTTGCAACTTTACCACACACTGTGGATAAGAAGTTTACTCGGTGTCCTTCCGAGCCACTTTCAAGCAACATCAAGTCTTCGATGCAGCTAACATCGGAGACTCCAGTTTGAACTGCTAAGGGCCCACTGGCCGGTGGGATAGTCCACGCAGGACCGACCGTTTGATGATGCCCCTCCTTTGAGGAACGTCTTTCATCAACTAGACGAGGGTGAGACCGATCCGCCTCTATAATAGGCTTTGGACTCGGATTGTTCTCGCTTATCTGATCTTTCTTGATGGTCGAAACGTCGGTCGACTTTGAAGGGCACAACCTATACGAAGACGACGAGGAAGAAGCGTGCAGTGGCGGAAAAGAAGCTTTGGTGCTACTTATAGCTAACATATCAGAGGATACGTTTTCAACCTGAACTGGCAACTCGAAGGGAGGCTCGTAAGGCCACTCGCTGAGAGGTTCAACAGTCGACTCGCTGGCACGCTGTGGAAATCAAAAAATATCTATCTTACAGATCTTGTAAACACCTCAATTCCCTTCAAAATTCAAAATTCAAAATTCATTTTATTTAAGAAGACCATCTTCAAACTCAAAGTTTTTTCCTTTTATATATCTTACTTTTGAGATCATTATGTTATAAACACATTTTTTTGCATGTTCTTTTAGATCATTTTTTATATACACATATTAATTTACTTCAGTTAATTTTATTCAAGTGAACACAATCAGAAAACAATTTCTAGATTATATATATATATAAAACAAGCAGGCAGACCACATCAAATTAACACACAAAGTAAAATCATACTCAAACCATTTGATCCAGCTTAAACAAACCACCAAGAAAATGGAACAAAATAATAATGAACAAAGGATTTAATAAGGAAATGAGATTAAAATGAAAACAAAAGTATTTTTTAGTTGCTATGAAATCAACAAGAACTAAAAGAAGAAACACAAACATGAAACATGAGTTACTTACATAGAACATTTGACTGTGAAATACATCAATCAGAGGCACAGAATCGAATTGAGAGAAACCTATTGATTGATCTAGGAGGTTCTAGAAGGCCAAGAGTACAGCCAATTCAATAAATAGATCAACAAGAAAAATCAAAAATAGGAATAACTTACTACATAATTGAACAGCGGTTGGAGGTTGAATCACAAGATTAAATTGAAAAAATCGAACTAGAACTATCTAAACAAAGATTGAATTGAATGAGGCAGTGCTGAAATCAGTAAAGATAAGAATAAACAAGGAGAAGGAAAGAAAAGAAGAAAGGAACATACCTGGAAAGAAAAAAGTCAAAATCGAAAATGATAAGTAGTTGAAGGAAGGAGTTAGTGTGGGAAAGAAGGAAAGAAGAGACAAATGATGTCATCAGTAGTAGAATAGAAAGATAGAATGAGACAAGAAAGTAGAAGGAAACAAACATACCATGAGAAAGAGGAAAGAATCCAAGTAAATCAACTGTTTAGTGTGGGATAAGCCAAGAGATCGGTCGGAATCGGTCGGGTGAAAGAGAAAGAATCGGTCGGAGTTTTGGGAGTTGAAGGTTATATAAGGAGGGACTTTTGAAGGGAAAGAAGAGGGGGATCCATCTATCTGATCGCATCTGTGTCTCGGTCATCGTGTGTAGAGATCGTAGTAATTGATCCAAAGTGGTCTTTGTTGTGTTTTGAGTTTTTGTCTAAGTGTGTCCTTGAGATCGACTCGAGTGTACTGTGGTGTTTTTTTTAATTGCTGGTAGTAGAGAATAAGAGTGATAGTGAAAGTTTTTTTGGTTAGTTATCAGTTTAAAGAAGAGTGATAAGAAAGAAAAGACCTACTTGAAGTTAGAATCGAGTTGTTGTTGAAGTGTTGTTGTTGTTGAAGTCTGGGATAAGGGTTGTGATTTTTTATTTTATTTTTTTATTTTGGAGAGTTAGCAACTCGAGTCAGGGCCAGATCAGGGCCAACAGGGAAGAACTGCACCTGGGTTCAAATCCAGTTCAGGTTGTGATTTTTTAAATTTTACTTTTTTTATTTTTTAATTAAGTTTGTGTGTGTGGCTCAGTTGTGGGAGGGATAAATAGGGTTTAGAAAGTTTGAAAATCCTTGTACGGGGTGAATTAGGTTTACGGGAAACTTGTGACGGTGGGGTTGTAAAAATTTGTCTCACGTAATTTTTCGTAGAAGTCTTTTCAGGTTGAAGGCAGCCTCTCGGCATCTTAGTTTCATGCGTTCTTCTTGACGGTGATTCTTACCTTCTCCGGCTCAGCCTACGCTACACTGCGTAGGAGTTCTACAACGCTCACAAGGCAACTCACACAGACTAGCAGCAGAAATAGAAAATGAATTTTTATTACTATCAACTAGACATAAAGGCAATGAAGACTGAGTTTGATCAACATTGCCTAGGCATTTAAAGCAGCTTTAGCCTCAAAATATTTCTTAGTTTGTTCAGTAACAGGCTTAGGGCAGGTGGGGTTGTTGAGAGAACCAAAAATGTGACCTTGAGCGTTACAGTTGAAGCACTTTCTCTCCTCCTTCCTGCCATTGTTAGCTTTGCGTTTCTTTGAAGAACCCCCTGGGCCTCCACCTCCGGAACCGCTTCCACCTGATCCACTTCCACCTTCTCCAACCGATTAGCTCTATAGCTATGGTCCTTATGAATAGCACCTGTAGCTACACGCCTCCTGCACTAGTATCCGAAAGAAAATGATACCCTATGGCCGGATAAAAGCCGATGTTCAGTCTGAAACATCACCGACGCGTCCGACTAGTCGGGCGCCCAATTTTTTTCAAGTTTTTTTCACTAACTTCCTTCTACCGACGTCTCCGACACCACTAATTCCCGGCTCAAAACCTCCAAGTCCACCAAACTAACAAACTGACTTCACAACTTCACAACACAACCCGTGACGAGAGCCACTTCACACAGACTCACCAAAACCACATTTCACAAAGACTCACAAGAACAAACACTCAATTCACCTCCTCAATACACAACTTCACCAGTTCACGAACAACCACACCAACAAAACTCAAGACTCACTCGATCACCTTTATTACCAGTTCACACTTCAAGCCCAATTCACAAAAACGATCCAGTCGATCAATGTCCTACATCCCGATTGATGAGAAAGGCAATCCTTTCCTTCGAATACCCCCGAATGGGACTGTCCTCAAAGATCTCGAAGCCTTGTATGCATATCTCGACCCTCTCACCGTGGATCATGGATACAAGTTATCAGTTCTAGATTCACGTTACCCCCCGATCGATGCCTACATCGAGTTCAAGTGTTATAAAGGGCCAACTCGCCATGCAAAATCACCAGGAGACTGCCCATTCTATGCTCGAGCAGATAGAAAAACACTCAACGACTCCTGGACACTCACCATACCAAACCCACATCATAATCACCCACCTTCGGCAAAGAAACTACCTTATCATCGTCCAAAGAAACCTAGAGCCCCGAAATCAACCACAATCGAGCCTATCCCAACACTCCATCCATCCATCAAAACCAAACCTCCCATCCTTTCTAAACGATATGCTAATCTCATCAGCCGTATGAAGAGCCTTGAAGATGAAGCACAAAACTCACTCCTTGATCTTCTTGACACTACACCAAATGTAATCTTTACCGGGCGGTAAAGAAAACTACTGACATAGAAAAGTCCTGAGGCAACAGGAAGAGAGCTAAAAATCTGAAAAAATATATACCTTGTTCCTAGATGTTGGGGCGTCATGATGAGTATTTTTTTGTATTTTACACACAGATATTGGTTTATGTACTAACAATAAACACTGAAAATCATCAAAAACTCACATGTAACAATACCTGAAATATGGGTCATGAGTATGAAGACAATATTTTGTGGTCTAAAAACTCCAATAACTTTTGCAATTCTGCTCCAAATAACTCGATTTTTGGTTCATTCAAAAGCTGAACTATTCTTCTTCACACTTCATAATGTTAGTAAGATGCTATCTAGTCATTTAAACACTCTACATATGTTCAAACAGTTCTGCATGAATAGCTCTGTAGGATCTTTTTTAGACCAGCTACAGATGTTATGTCTCAATGAAAAATGTAGAGGAAAGGCTCACCTTTTTAATGCACTTTGAATCAAGTGATTTGATTCAGAACTGCAAAAGTTATTGATGTTTGAAGATTCCAAAATCCTATCTTCAAAGTCAAGGGCCAAATTTCAGGTATTGTTACAGGTGGGTTTTTGATGATTCTCAGCCTTTATTGTTAGTACATTAACCAATATATGTGTTTAAAATACAAAAAAATACTCGTCATGACGCCCCAACGTTTAGGAACAAGGTGCATATTTTTTCAGATTTTTAGCTCTCTTCCTGTTGCCTCAGGACTTTTCTATGTCAGTAGTTTTCTTTACCGCCCGGTAAAGATGACATTTTGTGTAGTGTGAAAAAGAATTGGACATTGCTGAGATCGATCAAGCCACGAACAACCACTTAAACAAAGAAGCCCAAGAGATCATCGAACTCGAAGCAAGCATGAAGGATCTAAAAAAAGAAAAATCAGAAATCAAACTTCAAGCTATCAATCCAACCTTCAAGGAAAGTAAAGATACCCAGAACCCCCCCGATTCGACTGATCTCAACCAACACCCATCCAGACCTCCTTCTCCTGTCGTTTCACCAGATCAGGCCACCACTGAAAAGGTGTTGCCTTCAAAGGTAGGAATCCTTTTATAATCTCATGAATTTTTATTTGCAAAAATAAGAAGACTAATTAATATTATGATTACTCCTCAAAGTCGTGTATCAAGTCCACCTCACCGGCCAGCACACCCGCTCCCCCAAATCCACCTTGTATCGACTTCAACACCCGAGCTGCCGAGCCACCAATGTCCACACCTCCTCCCTTTAATAACGAAGAGGAAGATGAAGACAAAGGAGAAGATAATTTCGAAACCCCCAATGAACATTTTCCGACCATTCCTTCGATACGTGCAAGCCCGCAACATCCACTCTCATTTTTGCCAAATGGGCAAGCGATCATTGTTCCGACTCAGGATGTGGCTCAAACTTTGAAACCAGTCCAACAATCTCAACCAGATCAGCAAAACAAAGAAAACAAGGACTTACCTGCTACACCTCCCAAGAAGCGCAACAAACGCAAAAGACCGAATGGACGCCAAAAGCAAGCTGAAGAACCACAACACACACACTCACCCACCCATCTCAAGAACACGGAGGCAAAGCAAGTCACTGCTGACAATCTCATTCAGGACGAGGAAAACATGAAACAGAAACTACCTCTCGAATCACCTTCCAAAAAACAAAACCCACCTGAGCAAGAGTCTACTCAAAATACTGATGTACCGCCATCGAAAAAGACCAAGAAACAAAAAGCAAAAGCTTTGCCTGTTCCCACACAATCCTCTGCTTGAATCAAACGTCACCTTATCACTCCCAATCTCTCAACCACCCAAACGACAGAAATTCAATCTGGTGTCAATGAACCACCAAAAACAAACATTGAATCAAACATTTCTAACGGTCATGAAGAAGCCCCTAGAGGTAAATTGAAGATCAAACTCAACTTACGACCCGATGCCCAACATATTCAACCTGTCGGTCATCCTCATAAGCTTCTAGCCACTTCATCTCTATTTCACTTGTTTAACCGATGCTGACATTTCAAACCTTGAACTTTTCCTCCAGCCCAAAACCAAAGCAACTGAAAACCAAATAGCTGAAGTCGATTCATCTATCCAGGTTAGAGCTACTCTACAACATCATAGAATGAGACATACACTAATCATACTGTATATTGTGTACAGTCTTTACCTTATATTGCAGAGATTCCTTCCTACCTATACCCCTTTTTAAAAAACGTTACCGACGTCCCACCGGATGGACTTTGCGCTTTTTCATCTATTGCGGTTTCCCTTGGTCGTACACCGGATCAATCGACCACCATTCGTAAGGAGCTGGAACAAGAGGTTTTGTCCCAATACAAATGGTACAAGGAACACACCCCAACATTCTGTCTCGGTTACGATGTCAAAAGTATACTCAAGATACTTCAAAACCCAAAGGCCACGGCCGGCGAAGACCTTTGGATACCAATGCCTGGTACATCAACAATCATCGCAAATACGTACCACCAACCAGTCATATTTTACACCAAACGTCTCGCTGCCACGATGCACACCCTCCCATTCTTTTCACCTCGCACCTCTGATGTCCAACCCATCGTCATTGCACACGTCGCAGGCCAACATTATGTCTCCTTAGAAGTCTCAGTAACCCCCTCACTACCTATTCCTCACCCAAATCCGGATTGGTATACACTACACGATGAATGTGCAAATGGATGGGATGGCATATATTGTGATAATGTGACAATTTTTGCCCAATTAGCCAAGGACAGCAGGCCAGCAAGAAACGAAGAATACCGCCAAAGTCGTGTAGGTTTACCAGAGCCAGATGCAATATCCCTGGTCTCTGAGGAATCACAAGAAGGAAGCACAAGTGACAATCATAAAAACTAAAACGATCTCCTCTCTCTATCTAGCCCCTGATCTTGTGTGTGCATGTATCTAATCTCAAGAGAGATTCTCTGTTAACTACCTTGTAGATACCAACATCCGAATTTGCCAAGGAATAGATAAAAACTTGGGCGCTTTATACATTTCATAAATCACAAAACATGATGTTTTTTAGTGGGCACCTTAGATTAAGCTGGCCCGCTTTAATCTCATGGGAAGTTCATCACATCTTTGAGTAGTTCCATGATGTGATGAACCACACAGAGCCTTCCCTTGTATTGTGAACTGTGGAAAGTGTACCAAGAAATATTGAACCAAAAGTCCCAACTCGATTGTGAAGCAAATAGACAGTTCACATTTAATTGTGAATGTCGCAGGAAAGTCAAATTTCAATTGTGAACTGTATATTCAGTTCACAATCAAACTGACTTTCCTACGCAGAATAGATTGTGAACTGTATATACAGTTCACAATTGAACCGCGCAGGGTAGTCAAATTTGATTGTGAACTGAATACACAGTTCACAATCAAAATCCTACGCAGTTTTGTTTGTGAACTGTATATTCAGTTCACAATTGAACCGCGGAGGGTAGTCTAATTTGATTGTGAACTGTATATTCAGTTCACAATCGAATTCGCGTAGGATTTTGATTGTGAACTGTATATTTTGTTCACAATCAAATTAGACTACCCTGCGCGGTTTGATTGTGAACTGAAATATACAGTTCACATTTAATTGTGAACTTCCTAGGTACCTTATATTTGATTGTGAACTGGCTATGAACTTCACAATCAAATGCGAAGTTCATTTCTTTTGTGAAATAAATCTCGCATTTACAAGAGGTTCACATTGAATTGTGAGCCACACAACATCACTAGAAAGCACACATTTATGAGCTACACAAATTCCTAATAAATTGTGGTTCACCAGATCCACTTTGAGTTATGAACTGCATAAGAGTTCATAGCTCAACGTAACTTCAAGGTAACTCACTACAAAGTTTACCTTGAAAAGTTCACGATACAGGTAAATGTGACTTACAGCTAACAAATGTCAACTGGTTTCAAATGGTGAACTGCAATTGGCAATTTGATGCATTCAAATGTCAACTTCATTCATTTTGTGAACTAATTCTTCATATCAAGTTTGCAAATCACTGCAGGATCAGGAACTGAATTATATCGGTAGTTCACATATGACCGTGTGAACCAAAGTCAAACTTCAAACAAATTTACAGCTCAGATTTGAATGTGAACTGTATAATCAAGTTCAGATTGGATGTGAACTGGATTCATTTTGTGATTCAAGATGGTGAACTTGATTATACAGTTCACATTCAATTCTGTGACCTGTATAACCAAGTTCACAATTTTGATTCATTTTGTGAACTGTCATTGTGAACTCTTCATATCAAGTTCACAATCTTTTAAATGTGAACTGTGTCATTTACACGTGATTCATTTTATTAACTGCAGGTGTGAACTCAATACTAACTTCACATCTAGTTGTGAAGTTAGTATCAAGTTCACAATCACAGAGGTCAGGAAATTGTGAACGGAATTAGATTTAGATCTGTAGTTCACATATCCAAATCGTAGTTCACAAGAAGATACAATTCTTGTGAGCTGTCATTGTGAACATGAAGTGAACATTGAATTTATCCCGTTCACAATGGCAGTTTCCAGAAACTGGTCACCCAAGGTATAGCTTACTTTGCCGTAGTTTCATTATGCCTCAAAATGAGATGCGAGCGACTGAAAAGGGTAAAATCTAAATAGAAGCAGATTCAAAGTAGATACAATAGATAGATAGAAAATCTTCTTCGATTCTATTGCTTTATTGTCAATATTGTTCTAAAGAAATTATTGTGGTCATTAAGAAAACCTAATAATCATTTCGCCATATCCCTAACTTGATAGCCAAATTCTTCATCTTCAGATGAGCTTGTTCCGCATAACCGGTCAATACTCTTGCTTGATATGCTTCGGCTTCTCTTTCACTCATACCCTCTTGCTCGATTTTCACATTTTCAAGACGATGCACCAAAGATTGGGATATTTGACAAGAGCATCCAAAGCGGGTGATTTCAGCAGACTCTGGTTGGACTTGTTCGTTTTTGGCATTGTAAGTTTTAGAAGCAGTTGTGTGATGATGTACTTGGGAGTTCCATATCATCTCAACTATACCATCCAAAGCATCCAAATCCACTTCTAGATTGTAGTCATCCAGAACAAAGCGGGCTCCTATACAATTCCCTCGTGAAGCCGTGTCTCCTCGTAAGTAAAGCTCGCCAGTGGCCCGGTCAATCAAAGTGAACAAGCCAAAGGCGTATTTTGATGCATCCTTGTCTTTATGTTTCTTATTGGTGAATTCATCAAAGGTGACTACAATGTTTGAACCGAAGACCTTGGAGTTGGGCGACACGTAAAAGGATTCGTTTGCCCAAGATGGGGCATTTGTTCGACTGGCAATTGCAGCATTTGACTCAAATGCATATAAAGAAAGCCCACTGAATCGCTCAGCAAAGAAAGATTCGATCTCAGGGAGGTTTCCCTGTCGTTTCAGGTCGGCCTCCATCTTCCAGAGATCATTTGCCGTAGTTGCATTCCAAGTGTAGTGACCTAAGAAAAATGATATTAGGAATTATGTAACTGGGTATTCTTGGTTGGCCTAACTAACCTCCTTTGATCCCTGATTCGTAACCTGGGCGAAATCCGGCAGCGAACATACGACCATATTTGCGACCCAGTCTCCTGGCCCGGTAAGTGGCACCATTGGTTTTCACCTCGCCTCTAGCTTTGGCATGCTGGTAGATAGTGCTAATCGAATGATTATAAGATTGGTAAATGTCCTCCCCAAGACTGGACTTCTCGGTAAATCGTACAACCAGTAAGAGTTCGGATGTGTCCAAATCAAGACAAACGACTGTTCCATAAGCTAAAGTGAAGCGTGTCGTCCCTTCCGAAAGAAAAGGAACTTTGAGTCGAGGGGAAGACCATAGTGGCTAATCAGATTGGCCTTTTGAATGGACCTAGCATTCGGAGGAGGTTTACTTGGTCGTTCAAGGTGCTTTTGAATCGAACGATTAAGACGTGATAATCGGGTTGCTGGTGACTTGTACTTCCCCATGATGCTCCTTCACTTATAATCTGATCGGAGATCCGATTTGATGAAGAGGAAAATATATAATGAATAAACGATAATAAAAGAATATTATCTCAATGATATCTGAGGTTAAAGAGGAAAGATGAAGAAGAGATCTAAGAATAATGATCCACAAGTTCCTCCTAAAACAAATCAGGCAACATCAATCTTATACTCCCTTCTAGCTTCTGAATTATGCGTCGCGATGAACCAAGGTCCGAAGCATGCAAGGGAAGTATAAGATTGAGTTAACTCGTGAAAGGTTGGAATGGTCGATATTATCAAAGTCACAATGCAAGGGGATTTCGATGTGAAGGATGATTCGATATCTTTGAGAAATAACAAAGAACTTGAGGTGAGAGAATATAATTTTTGGGCCGTGTGAGGTTAGAAGAACAGTTTGACATTTAAATGGGCCCTTTCGTACTCGTTTTAAGTAGTCTCCTTGGCTACTCAACTGACTCCTAATTGGATTCATCGAATCCGTGGCGTGCCTCTACGCATGATGTCAATTGACCTTGTTTCAATTGCATTTTTTTCTCAGGTCTGTTGAAAATGTCAGACTAAATGCCAAATGGAAACGATCTTGGGAATCTCCAGGTTGTACCGACCGAGGTCAGACATTTCATTGCTCGTTCAGCCCGATTTAATGTGTATGCTCAGTGCTTGAGCGTTTCACATGTATTGCTTTGATTTTTTTTTCTTCTTTCAGATCTTATTATGAACACTCAAGGCTTGGATACAAGGAATTATCCCAAATATGCCCGTTGCCGTCAAAAAGATAAACAAGAAGAACATAGTGCGTGCTCTGGACAATCATTCGGCCCAAGGCCGATGTTCCGAGTAGGCAGGCTTACGAGTGATATACACCTGGTCATGCTTGTTCAGAAAGACACTTCCATAGCAATTATCACTAACTACAAGTGATGGTAAGGGAGCATTCCAAGCTAGCTAGATAGATTAAGGGAGGAACAAACTGACTAATGTACTCATCATTTTGTCTTATACATTGGTATACTATGGTCCGAAGGAAATAACTATACCAAAGGATAGTTATATTTAGCTACCTCCATCTTTGACTAATTCGACCATTTTATTCATGTAAAGTCAGTGTATTGAGACCGCGCAGGCTGGCTTCAAAACTTGGCCTCCTTGTGTCAGGCAAAGTGATGTTTATGGGTGAAGCATTACCCTACTTTGCTTCACCCTCAATGTGTTGGAGTAATGTTTGTACCTGAGCCGCAAGAAATTACCACCATTTTTGAGATTGAGGTGGGAATTCCAAGTAGAATATAAGGGAATTGATCAAAGTAGTGATAATGAAAGTTTTCCAGAATGCAGGAAAGCATTCTGAACAAAGAAGCAAACCATATATTTCCCACTTCTTCAATGTGTTTGAGTGATGAATGTACCAAACACATTGGAGAAAATACCACCTTTTTTGAGATTGAGGTGGGAATTGCAAGGTGAAGATAAGGGAATTGTTCAAAGTAGTGATAATGAAAGTTTTCCAGAATGCAGGAAAGCATATTTAACAAAGAAGCAAAACCCATTTTACCCATTTGATCAATGTGTTTGAGTGATGAATGTACCTGAGAAGGAGCTAAAACCAACATTTTTGAGATTGAAGTTGGAAATTGAAGGTGAAGATGAAGGATTTCAAGAGAATGTATATAATGAAAGTTTTCCAGAATGCGGGAAAGCATATTTAACAAAGAAGCAAAACCCATTTTACCCATTTTATCAATGTGTTTGCGTGCGGAATGTACCTGAGAAGGAGCCAAACCCAACATTTTTGAGATTGAAGTTGGAAATTGAAGGTGAAGATGAGGGATTTCATGAAAATGTTTATAATGAAAGTTTTCCAGAATGTAGAAAAGCATATTTAACAAAGAAGCAAAACCCATTTTACCCACTTCTTAAATGGGTTTGGGTGGAAGTTGTGAGGGTTTATGTGCAAAGTCTCAAGTGAAGTGGTTTGCGAAAAACTTGTCACATTCCAAACCTCCTACCATTTGCACCCTAACCTGCCAAATATCCATTGAAGAAGTGGGAAATATATGTTTTGCTTCTTTGCTAAATATGCTTTCCTGCATTCTGGAAAACTTTCATTATAAACATTCTCTTGAAATACCTCATCTTCACCTTCAATTTCCAACTTCAAACTCAAAAATGTTGGGTTTGGCTCCTTCTCAGGTACATTCCTCACGCAAACACATTGATAAAATGGGTAAAATGGGTTTTGCTTCTTTGTTAAATATGCTTTCATGCATTCTGGAAAACTTTCATTATATACATTCCCTCGAAATCCCTCATCTAGATGAGGGATCTCTCTATCCACAAACATTCTTGGTGTAAGGAACCAAGCTTCCTTTGGTTATATAACACGGTTTTGATTTAGACGGCTAGTACTGGACCCTGTATGCCAGAGTACTCAGCCGAGTACTAAGTACTCTGGCCAATTGACACGAGGGACAGTACCCAATTGATCATATTCAATTCAGCTGTCACACTTTGACCGCACCCAATTGATCATATAATTGATCAATTGGGTGGGGCCAGGCTATTCTCATTGTCAAATTATGTCATGACTGAAATGGTTTAATATTACCTAATTGGGCATATGAAACCAAAGCGGAACTTGGTGCCAACTTAGCACCCAGGAATGCTCCTGTAGAGGTTGGTGTCGTATTTGGTTACACCAACCTCTACAGGAGCATTCCTGGGTCCTGCCGACTTCTATTGGGACCAGCCTAGTATAATTGCAATTACAGAGCATTACCTAGGTTTCACATGGACAAGTCAATGTAATTGGGGGCAAACCTTTAGATGTGCAACTCAAATTCCCCGTGTGGCCATCATCAATTTCGCAGTGATTATCCATTTTGCCCCAGCGATGGGGGGAAAAAAAGGACGATCCATAGCATGCCCTTTAGGACCTTCAGCCAAAAGACGAACTCAGCCTACCGTACAAGGATCAAGCCGGGTAATTGCTGATTTAGATGCCAGTGAGGCGCGCTGGCTAGAACAACAGTCCCAAAGCTTGGCAAATCGACCACCACCATCTAACACTGCGATACAAGATGAAGCAATGCAGCCTCCTCCTCCAGACCTATTCGATCCTGAAGAAGAATATGGCCACCTTTCCGATATTAATCCAGACGAAGCACACCTCATCAATCACAACATCCTGGACGATAGCAATGAGGAGCCACCTGAGGTCAACAACTTTGGTGATTACGTGAAGGGAGCCAATTACAAGAAAAGCCAGATCAAAGAGGCCCAAAATTGGGCCAAGGTCTTTGGTCCAATGTTTCTCGATTCCATGGTAGGATCCAAACGGACCACTAGCTCAATGGGGTCGAGAAACTTGGAATCATGATTACAACAAGTCTTGTTCATGTGGAACTGGTAAACACCGTATGAGAAAGGTAGACCTGGTGGACCTTACTAGTAATGTCGATTTCACTTAGCCAATTAATTCCGGCTGACACTTCTCACACTGACTTTGATATTCAGGTCGCAATCAACAGGGGATCCTGTTTTGTGACTGTCTCCCAGATCAAGTGAGGCTGATCCGGATGGGATACGTTGGAGGGTCTCCGATTCACCCTGAGACTGCCTTTTCTATCAGACTCTTGCGACTTCATCATAGCCTATGGAAATATTGTTCTGTTCGAACGCAGGGCTTCTCACTCGGATTCGATGAGTTCTTGGATCCTGCTAACCCACTCCTTTTGGTAGCCGGTACAAGTGAGGTAAGTGATTATCCTGCCTTTCCAAGTGTAACGTGATTTCTCACTACTAATCCCTATCATGTCAGCCTCGAAGGTGGCGACGGCCTTTCTCCTTGGCTATAGATGCTTATAGACAGATGCTTCGATATGAGGAGGAGTTGACTATCCGTGCACTACGTCTAACCTCCATGGAGAAGTTGGCCATGAATTGCCCACGGTGTTTTGGACCACTTCAAGCAAACCATGAAGCTGATGAACCGGACTACATAGTTTGTGTAGATGGGAACTTCCAGCATCGGCGGCACAAGGCAGCCAGCCGTGAGTATGAAGAAAAGGTGGTTCAGATTCCTCCTCTATTCATTGATCCCAAAAAGGTCGAAGAATGGGAGCCCATGAAGAATAAACATGTAGTCAAATCTAATGTATTTATGTTCCAACCCAATCTCCTCTAATGTCATCGCTGAAATACTTTGTCCTTATCAGGATCATTGCTCTGCTCAGCATACTGCAGCTGCAGATGAGCGAGGTGGCTTGACATGGAAGGCAGCCGATGAGACAGGCCTAATTGGGATGGCCTGTCGACATGATCACGTGCTGAGTTTTATCAATGTTGTTCAGAGTGGTGAAAGGCGAGTCTCTCAATATCTATAAGCACATTGAAACCATTGGTGACCTGATACTGGAATATTTAATCTCCAAATCAGGCAATACTATATACTTTCTATGATCGATAAACTATTGCAAGAGACGGCAGAGCCTGGAAAACCTAGGAAAAGGCATGGTATTCTGTATGATATTGGATGTACTTTAGAGAAAAGCATTATCAGGGTACTCAGTATATATTTTATATGCCTCGAAGCCCGAAAAATACCACTGATGTGTCTTGATTTGTAGAATAAGATCTTTCAAGCCCAATGCGCTGAACGAGGGCTAAAGTTTGGTACCAGTGCGTTCCATGCCTTTGTTCATGAGTGGGCTTGTCAGCTGTGTTACAACCCACGCATGAACAAAGGCTGGGGCCGATCAGATGGGGAAGGTTTGGAAAGAATTTGGTCTTTTCTCTCTCCTCTGGTTAGCCCACTGCGATACTCGACAAAGCAGCATCGTCTTGATGCTCTGCATTTAAAAGCGACACATCGAAATGTAGTCACACGCACCAACACAGGTCAGCTGCTTTTCATTGCAGTAAGGGGGGAACCATGGGAATGAACCACTGATATGGAAACAGTACGAGCCTCTTGGATTAAACTCAAAGATTCCGAACGTCTTTTCGACCAAGCAAAACAAACACTCGAACGTCTTGTTACACAGAAGCCTACCTACACCCGTGATTATTTTGCTGCTCAGTGGGAACGACAAAAGACGTGTCAGCTAGAAGCCATATCAAGTCTCACTTTAAAACAGTTGGAGGAAAAGCTGGTAGAGCTCCTAGAGCAAGAAGAGAAGTTGAAAGAGGCTCAGTGAGTTTCCTTTTTAGTTCAAGTATGAACACTTACAAAACTGACAGCCAAAATGTTCAATAGTGCTGAACTAAAACGCCTACAGCGGAAGCATCGTAATAATCGGACTGAAACTGATGTGTTAGATATAACCACACTCCCAGGTTCAATTGTGGCCATGGAGACAGCTGCCCAGAAAACGCGTGAAGAGCTAGGAGATCCTGAATTCCGTCGGATACGGCAGAACACAAGTATGTATTTGGTTCCAATTTATCCCAATCTTCTAATAATTTATGATATGATTTCATAGCGGCAAAAGGTACAGCGCTCATACGCGTCCGGCTTGCAAAGATGAAACTGTATGAGGCCAAAGTAGGGATTGTTGAGGCACAGAAACGATGGGATAAATGTGGTTTGGGTGAGACTTTCAAGATCCAACAAGCAACACATGCAATATCTAACAAGGATGATGATTTTTTACTACTCTTAGGTACATCGGTCCAGCAGAGCTTGAAGACTTTGATGACAAAGAAACAACTCATGTTCAGGAGAAAATGGACCACCTATAATGACAATGCCATTAAATATAATGCGATCCGGCCTGTGAGCCATCTCCCCTGTCCTACTTTGGAGGAGGCGAAAGCACTACCGTTCGAGGATTACTTTTGGAATGTCGGTGCTCTTTCTCATCCGTCAGAGATGTGGGCCAATGATCCTGGCACAATGGATGGTATTCAAGCGTACTTACTGGAACGACGCTGTTTGGAAGAGCTTCGGCGGATTGGTCGTGAAACACAACAAATGATACTGGCCGCTCTAAGAACAGAGGAGCAGCTGCAGGATTTGCTGACTTTATGTAATAGTGGTAAGTCTTCGTACTTGTTTATTATCCATTTACAATCAATGTCTGTTGACATCGTTGTTGCCAGAGTGGGATCCAGAAAATGGTGGGAAGGCTCTGATTGAAATGGTTCAACCTGAGCAGCGCATATCAAAAGACATCTGGGAAGATTGTATTGATGTCTTGAAGGCATTCCACAAGAATACACTGGAACATCATTGCCGAACGTGGATGTCCTGGAACTCATCTTTGGTATCCCTCCTACGACACACCATCAAGTACACACCAGCAGAACCCGAGGATTTGGAGAGCCTAGTGGTTCGCTGGGGGGGGCTCATTGAGAGGACCAGGACCACTTGGTCCTTGCTTGTCAATATGCAAAGTTTCGAAGCTTCGGGTCTTGATGACCTTGATGTGATGGAGCAGAATCTGCTTCTTGGGGAGGATATTACGGAAGATCATGATATCTTACTGGAACCTGATGATATTGAAGTGGATGATGATTGGTAAAGGATCACTTCGTGTAATGAAAGTTTATCCAAAAAAGTTGAATATGGGCATTTGCAATGCCTTGCTGTAGTACAATGAAGTGTGAACTGGTGTCTATCCAAACACTGATATTGAAATCATTGTGTGTGAACATGCCAACCAAGATAGTTTGTGAGCTAGCACTCAAGTTCACAATTGGGAAAGGTCACAGGAGATTGTGAACTACATACCAAGGTACCTTGTGAACTACGTATCTTCAAAACTTTGACAAAATTCACCCCGGACTTCAGAAGTATTTGTGAACTTGTGATGTAGTTCACCAAGGTTTGTGAACTGGGTTCACATTACACAAATTGTTGTGAACTGAAGTTCACAAATAGTTGTGAACTTGTGATGGAGTTCACAAACCTTTGTGAACTGTGACCCCAGATCACAAATAGCTGTGAACCAACCACATCACAAGTTCACAAACCTTTGTGAACTGTGAGCTGTGAACCCAGTTCACAAATAGTTGTGAACCACATGAGAACTTCGCGAGGTTTTGTGAACTACAAAACAGTTCACAAGTTTTGTAACCGACATCACCAGTTCACAAATATATGTGAACTGCATGACAAGTTCACAAAACCTTGTGAGCTACATCGCAACTTCACGACTTTTTCAGCAGTTCACAAGTGGCTGTGAACTGCAACATCAGTTCACAACAAGTTCACAACTCAGTTCACCAGCAGCTCATGTGAACTACATCAAAACTTTACGAGTTTTTTTGTGAACTACATCAGCAGTTCACAACTAAATGTGAACTAGATCACAAGTTCACAACCAAAGCCCAATCACAGTTGTAGTTCACAAAATTTCACAAACCTGTGAGCTTCAAATTTCCCCACAATATTTCAAATCGTGTCATTCATGTGTCAAGTGACGTGAACAAGTTATCCCAAGCTATTAACTGAAGGACACCTGTTTTGCTCCATCACAGCATTCTCAGCTCGACAAACCTCATTCCTCAAGAAACCTCATTCTTATTTTCCAATCTTCAATCAGTTCTTCAGTGTCACCTAATGGCCCTCACCACTCGTGCCAGTGCTAGACGACTTCCACCTACAAAGCAGAGCTCAGTATCTCGAGCCGTGCGAGGCAATAAGTCTATGGCTTTAGGATTGCGCAAAAGTCCAACTACGAAACCAACTAGAAAATCAAATCGATCTACAAGTAATTCTTCTAAAAATACAACAGCATCACGTCTTGACAACCCTCCGACAGAGGTTGAGAGTGATAGTGAAGACGACTTGCCAAATGACGAGGACATTTACAAGGCGTTGTCATCCGAGACTGACGAATCCGACACTGGCGATTTGGACTCGGACAATGAGGACTCCGACAATGAGGTTCTTGAAGCCCTTGCCCGAAGTGGACCAAAAACCAAGAAGCAAACCACCAGAGCTCCAAGAAGTAATACGAAACGAGTCCGGCAGGATCGGTCTCAAGAAACACCCCTTGCTAAACCTCTCGATGATCCTGACAACATAACTGCACGTCTTGAGGCACAGTTTGCCAATAGCCCTGCCAATCCACTCGATAATTTTGAACTTGATGATGAAGTGCAAGACAATTCAGTCCTGCCAACCATTCAAAATTATCAAGCGCTAGTTAAGGAGTGGCCAAGAAAGCGTATTACGAAGGTTCAGAATTTACAGAAGAAGGTGACATCAATTCCCCCACACATCTTAACCGAGGCGAAAGCAATCAAGAAACTTTATAAACATCACAAGAGGATGCTGGCGATGATGGGTAACATCACACCATACACTTTAGATAAAAGCTTGTAAGTGTAATGTCAGTCCACTGTTTTCATAGTGGTAAAGAACTGATCAGGAGTTCATATCATATATTCAGGGGTGAGCTGGGAGGTACACGGATTCCTGATGCATATCGACTTTGGTTGAAGTTTTCAGTTGAGGCTCGAAAACTAAACAGTGAGTCCACTTTTTTCACTAAACAGTGGCATCATGCTGATATTTGAATTGGGATTGCCTTGGATTGCAGTGCCCCGCAAAGGCCAGGCTGGAAAATTAGGTGATCGTAACCGTAAGCTGGGTGCTGCATGGAAAGCGTTGTCTTCAATTCAAAAGCGCGTGTTTCACCCTCGGGTCTTCTACACTTTATCCGGTCTTCCGGCCCCAACTAGCGACATGGACTCTGACGATGAAGCAGAACCTATTGAATTGTCGCCTGAGGATCGTGAGGAGCTCCAAAGGATATACGATGAAGCTGTCTGTTCTTCGAAGGTTTGCCAAGTGTATGCTAAGGCATCGAGTGGTATAACAGAAGGTCGAACAGTTCCCAAATACAATCGACTCTCTTTGAAGTGCGTTGAAAAGCTGAATAATCAGGTGTGTTCTTGTGATTAGTTTCTTATTATTATTCAATATCCACCAGGTGCTAATGACAACTTCCTATACCAGATAGAAAACGAAGCAAATCGCATGGACTTTGGGTACTATTTTCTTGCATCTAGTACCCATCCTGCCACTGGAGGTGATTCTGCGGATCCAGGGTGGTGTAAGGAGTATACCTCCAACCAAGAGTTGGCGGATTATGTGCGTAGCAAGAGCGATTTCCCGACCATCTTTGCTGCACAGACCCAAGGTATTGCGGTCGACAAAGTCATTGCTAGTACAATTGGCAAAAGGGAAAAGATGAAAATGAACGGTAAGCGTGTGGATCCTGGTGATAAGGTGAAGAGTGATCTAGCAGCATTGTTGAAATCAGATTTAGGTGAGCCGTGTGTTTTATGTTTCCTGTGATGAAGACTAACATGGACATATCTCTGCAGGAAAGGTATTGAAATTTGTTCCACCAGGGTTTCCTCGTGGACCGGATCCAGCAAAGCTCCTGTTGGGGAAAGGATGGAAAGTGAAGATCAGGCAGCTGCCTGGGTCTAGCCTCCCCCCTGAAGTATTGATGTTGGGCTTCAACGCAATGAACAGTCGCCGGTCACTTTGGTTGAATGATCTCCAGGCAGGCCTATTTAAATTTGAGAAGATTCCCGAGGATCAGGATGACTTGATAGCTGATGATGAGGAGGAACAAAATATTAGTGATGATCGGGATAACTTGTTGGCTGATAATCGGGAGGAACCATTGGAAAATGACAAACAGCTTGAGCTTGGAATCGAAGAGGAAGCTGATGAATGGAATGGAATTGGTGAATATGAGACTGACGGATGAGTGACGAGACACAAAGATTTTGAGGATTACTTTATTCATCATGGCCGTTTTTAGTTTTTTTCTTCTCTCAAACTATTGTTCTTTTTCATCTCCTCATTTTCTGTCTTGGTTTCTTTCTTTCTCATGTTTGTTCTCTTCGATCGATGTTATTGCTTTCATCGTTACATTTATGAGGGGTAAAATTTTTATTTTCAAATGTGATAGTAAATGCAATACAAATACGATCTGGCTATTTTTGATATGGGGCAATGAATATTGATAAGCGATCGTTTGGACATATAAAGTGATCTCCAAGACCAGTGATGGCCTTAAGGATACGAGGTAGTGAGAATTAAAGGGGGGTTGGGTAAAGGGGGAGAGAGAGAAGTTTGATCGATCGATCTTGACCATTTGACAATGTTGAGTTGTACCTGTATGAATGAATTAAGCGTTGTGAAATGTTCTTGAATGGTGTGAACTGGTAACTTATATTATCCAGTTCACACGAGTGTGGATCTTGAGTTGGTTGTGATTGTGAAGTGTTGTTTTAGTGTGAACTGGTGACTTGAGGTGATCGAGTGAGTGGTGAATCTCGAGTTGTATTGTTGAGTTGTGAATTGTGTGAACTGGTAACTTGTAGGTGGAGGTGATGAATCCGACGTTGTGCCTTGTTCTTGTGAGGCTGTGTGAAGTGGCTGTCGTCACGGGTTGCCAGATGTGAAGTTGTGAAGTTAGTTTGGGGTGTGGTGGACTTGTAGGTTTTGGGCTGGGATATAGTGGTGTCGGACACGTCGGTAGAAGGGAATTGGCAAAAAAAACTTATAAAAAAATGGGCGCCCGACTAGTCGGACGCGTCGGTGATGTTTCAAACTGAACATCGGCTTTTATCCGACCATAAAGTCTTGTTTTTCTTCGAATATTAGTCCAGAAGGCTAGTAGCTACAGGTGATGAATAGCCATCAGGGCAACTTCGGCAAAGTCATACGTCTTTGACTGAGCCATCGCTTCACCAATCTTCTCCTGGATGTAATTACGAACACCTGGTTGTAACCGTTCCACAAAGTCGGTGGTATGCTCAAAGGACAACCCAACTACCTTAGCATCTTGCTCGAACAAGCACCAGCGATCATAGAACTTGCTGACGTTCTCGTTAGGGCGCTGCTTAAGCGCCTTAAGTTGGGCCTTGACCGTGTACACCGTGGTGTGCGACTTAAACTGACCCTTTCCCAAGAATGGGGGCGATTAGGAGAGGCCATAGCGGCCTCAAGCTGAGTGAGAGCATTGTTGGAGAAGAGGAGTAGGGCTAAACGGTGGAAGAGAGAACGATCCACGAAGCGCAAGGTAGCCGCCCTTTCGAACTTCGCCGCCCAGATGGAAAAATCGGAGGACACCGACCCATCGAACTTCTCGAGTCCCGCCGTCATCATGGCCTTTTGAGCCTTAGTGGGGTCTTTCTCGACCACCTCCGGCCCATCCGAGATGATGAACGGCTTCCCTGGGGCTAACAAAACGGGTCTGTCAGCTACTTTCCGAAAATGTAACTTTGAGAGAAGCTGCCACTTACTTAGGCCCTCTCCCCCCGGGGAAACGAAACCACCGATGTCTGGTTTCACATCCTCTAAGGTCGTGCTCGCCATCCTGTCTGCTGGTAGAATGGTCTCGTCAGAACCCCTCTCAGATGCCGTGAAGAACACATCGGACGAAGAAAACTGAGAACTTGACTTACTTTCCATTACGGACTTACAAGCTTCTTCTCGTAGCATCCACTCCTGCCATTGATTGAATTGATCTTGCGTGACAGGAGCAGACAATTCGCTAGTACCGCCGGCGGACGCATCATCCGTCATCGTAGACGCGTCCCGCGTGGTCATCCCTGTGATGGCCTCCACGATGTCTTGCGTGCCGGTCACCCGAAGGGCCTCCTTCTGCTCTGGTGACATCGCATCGATCTCCTTAGGTGAGTAGTTCGATGACCCGTCACCAGGCGCCAGGAGTTTGGCCACTATAGCCTTAGCTTGGGCTTTCGTTAAAGCCATCTGTGAGTTCGAAAAAAGGAGAGGAAAAGCACGTGGGGAGAAGTAAAAATTTATCACTAATGATGAGCTTCTCGCTGGAATGTAGGATCCGGAGGTCGTCGGGGAAAATATCAAAAACGAAAAAAAGATTTATGAAGACAGGAAGGTTGACGTATAACTAACTTTTTGTTTTTAAAAGCGAAAGAAATGCGACGATATAACCCACGATAATGGTCTAAAAAAATTTCGACGAAGAAAGATATAACTTCTCTGGCTACCAGTGTAACAGGACCAGAACTAGGGTTAGAGAAGGAACTGTTTAAGTGACTTAGATGAAAACCTAACGGACTAACGGGGATTGGAATCTAGTGACTTAAGAGTAATTGTCGATAGGAATGATAATGAATCAGAGAAAGGCAATTGGAGAGTAAGGCACGGATTCCAAGAAGTAGCAATTCTTGCTTAGAGGAACTGGTCGAATTGCAAAAGGACAATAGCAGCTCTATTTATACACATAAAAGAGTAAGAGAGAAACTGAATGAAACGAGGTCCTTTGACTAGTGTAGGGCACGTTAGGTGCGGCGTGCTACTCTACTCTACTGAGGTATCCCAATGAGGAGTAGGCGGTGTCAGCCTTCTCCTCATTGGGCGACGTAACTGGGGAGCTGAGCACTGTGGATGTAGTCCACTACTTATAGTGCTCAGCACGTCCTTTTCTTACCCTTCCCGAATAGGGTAAGGGGTTTAGCCCGGGACCGATTGGGACATTTGTACGGGGATGCTTCGCATCCCTGCTACAGTAAGGTTCATTTCGTTTTTGAGGATTAGTTGGTCAATTCTGGCTCTGGCTGTTCGACTAACTGTTGGCAAAAATCATCGATATACCTTTGTCGAGACAACCTAACCGTATTCTATGTGCTCACCTCATTGATCATGAAAGATTACTGATCGACATTGAGAAATCACCGTGATACCGAGGCTGTGTATGGAGCAATTAGCAATTGAAGGGAGAAAACTGATACACATCCTGAAACTATATAACAAGCAAAATGCACGTTGTACTGACTTAACCCAAGTTTAAGCAAGAATCAGGGGAGCATGGGTCTAGATGAGCTCGAAGATAGACCAAGGATTGAGGTGTGAAACAGTGTTTGAAGATAGAAGACTGTGAACTTGGAGGTTTGGGACTCGGAGAGCCTCGCTGAAGACCATGAGTGTTTTGATCTGTTTCCCGCAACCCGATACGAAATACCTGTAGCCCAGCGGACCGCCCAGCCCAAAATTCAAGAACCAGAAAGGGCTTGTTATCTAGCCTATGCGATACGGTTGGTCTCAAATCACTTAGTATCATTTCTGAAATGGACATCAGAAGGCGGCGGATCTCTTTTGTGACATGCGTAAGCTTACTGTATATCACCTCGGCGGTTGGATCGCTGATAAACGAAGCCAGAGATGCAGCGATCTTGGAGCCTGAGAGGCTAACAGCAACACTAGAAATGCGTCAGTGACCTTTAAGACTCGATGGTAGCTTTTTGATGATCACGTCTCGTGCCCAAGCTGATTAGACTGACTCCTCGTGATCGCAATTGATGTAATAAGAGATTGTCAGTCCCGTAGACGATCGTCTTTTGCAACAGGGCTATCTCAACATCTGGAGAGGCGTAAGGACGATCGATGAGGTAGTAAGACACAATAGGTCACCTCGTGTCTATTTAGAAAGAATGCAGAAATTGGGTCCGAAGCTCTTGAAGATCAATCCTTCCGAAAGCCAGATAGCGGCTATCCAGAGGGATGCTCTCGAATGGGCAAAACACAAGCCCCACGTAAATCTTGCAGTTGTCACGTACTACCTCATCGAAGTGATGAAGGCGCATTCTCCCGAAGATACTCACAAAGAAATACAACGGCTCGCAAAAGGAATATCTGACCGTTTCAAGTTCAATTACCCCAAGAAGTCACAATACGCAAGGAAGATGGTTTTGAACTTCATGGATACAAAAATGTCCCAAATTGGTCTGCATTTAGTGATGGAAGGACTAAGCAAGGATTCTGGTGTCGATCGTGGGGTTGGTTTAGATACTTTAATCAACTCCCGGACACATGATTGGAAGAATTCGATACCCAAAGCAGACCGAGCCGCATATACTGAACATTACCAACGGTACATGAATCTGATCGAGGTCTTTGAAATACTCTCCGGTGCAGGTATACAGAACAGAAATGTGATTAAGAGTGTTAATGCAAAAACACCTTTGCGCCTCGCAAGGAAAATCTTTTCAGACGAGTCTTCGCAGCCCCGCCTCATCCATAGGTACCTGATTAACGCAAAACCACATGATAGATTCCAGCCCCTGGAATTACCCATTTTTGGATACGCGGTTATGATTGAGGGCGGCCTCCCCGCTAAAATTGAAGCAACAGTTCGCAAACTCTGGAAATCCTCAGGTCAAGACGATATCAGGCTCGCCTCCAGACTGAGTGCCAATCTAAATACTATTTTGGGTGGCAGAATCTATTGTCCAAAGAGGTTGAGACTCACCCGTGGTTATCGTGCACTCACAACGAAGTACACGACTGTTGACCCCCTGTATAACCAGATGTGGAAACGGGTTTCAAGGACTGTGATTGATGTGGTTAAGCTTGAAGAGAAAAATCCTGAAGAACGGTCGATATTATGGCGAATATTAGGATCAGCATTCATCGTCAGTTCAAAGGATTTTGAACGCGAGAAGTTTGAAAGACATGTAGAAAACAGTGTTATGTTTTATTTATTTATCAGAAGAATTGGAGAGGTTCTCGAGAAAGCCGTAGAGATCCATTTCCCTGAAACTAAACCTGAGGAAAAATTGACCAGATCGCAGTTTATGAGGTACTATTGGGCTTTGGTAACTTATCAGTCGGTTGGAGAGAAGAACAAAAAGGCAAAGACTGCCCACGCGAAGCAGTTTACACTCGGCCGGGTCTATCTGAATCATGTGATCGCTTCACGAGAGTTAAAAAACTTGTACAACCGGTTGAATCAAGAGGAAGAAGCAATTTTACCTCGTTCTAACATAGTGAAAGGAGTCAAAAGGCGCATAACGGGAAAACGGACACATTCTCAGACTGATCGTAGTGCATGGGCAAGAAATCCTGATGACGGACTGGAAACCCTGCAAAAAGCCTCAACGAGCTCGCCTGCTGGTCAATCAGTCATTTCAGACCACAATCGAGACAGACTGAACTTCAAGATACCTAGGAAAAAATCTAGCCGATACCCGCACTCAGTCACTTCAAACATTGCACCCCCTGATGAGAATGCGATAACTCAAAAAGCCTTACAGCGCTCCGCCAAGAAGAGAAAGTTAATCATAGATAGTTTAGTGGGTTCACACCAACGTATTCCTGGGGGCTCGAAGAAAAAACCAAGGATTGAAGCTGCTGTGAGTTCCTCATCAGAAGGTGGTGGGAGTCAATTTCCTACACAAGAGGCTGGCCCCAGAACGCCCTCCATGGATTTGACACAAAACACACCTCACTATCCACATTCTGAACTTCAAGCGGCCAGTCACGACTCGAACACATATGGTGAGTTGAGATCATCAAGTCAGCCACTTGTCGAAACTGCTGGTGCAAAAGCTAAAAAACCGGAGAACTTACCCTTGGATCCAGAACTAACGGCCTCGATCCTGCCAGCTTCTGGAAAATCTTTCCAGCCGAGTAGCAAGCATACCTCTTCCTTGGATCTCAATAAACCAGCGGCTTATTCCGATGATCATGATGTCCATATCATGCTTCCCGACTTGAATGAGCCTTTGGAGCCAATTTCACCACAAGAAGATGCTGAGAACGGAGCTCACGATACGCCAATGTATCCATCAGTCTTTGAACCAAATGGAGGTGAACATTCACAACATACTTCCTCACCACAAGTCACCAGCAGGGAGGAGATACCAGATCTCAATATATAATTTGGGTTTCCGTCTGGACAATGAACTAGATACACGCATATTCCCTCTTGTGCCCACACACGAGAAACATCAATTGAAAAATGTATACATGAAGCCTGACATTTTCCCGCAGCCTGGCCCAAGCGACGGGCACCGCCGGCTTTATTCTTTCAAACTACATCATCCTATACACCGTGTCTGTTTCAACGTTTCATGTAGACGTGAGCACACGAAGATTTTTGAATCTTTTTTGAAAGAGTTTCTCTTGTCCTTCAATCATGTCTTAACATCTTGCCTGGGTGCTCATGTATCACGCCTTTGTATTTGTAAACCACGCCTTTATCTGATGACTCGGTGCAAGTAGCGTAGAGCCATTGTCCCCTTTACTTAGCCAACCGAAACTTCTGTTGACCGCCATTGTATCTGTTCGCAGGTCCATCTTCAAGGACTGATTTTGAGAAATAATGGCAAAATCACGTTTTAGAATGATGATCAAGCAAGAGATGCAAATCATTGATTCGTATACGAAGATATAATCAGCTTCTTGGTTGTATCTCTCTCGTTGATCAAATCCCCAAAACAAGCATGCCTTCATATCCCAACTCCAACTCTGCTTCTTCAGCTCGTAAAATACATCAAGTGCGCAACTGGAAGCATGGGACTCCGGTTAAGTCACTCAAGGCCAATAATGCATTAGTAGCGGACGTTCTTCCAAAGTCTAACTCTCAAATCTGTCGGCTATTCGCTAAATTTACTAGAATGCTATTAGAATATGACCCCGTACATAAATCATACCCTCTTGAACCTACCAGTGAGGAACGTCTTCAACTAAAATTTCTCACTCAGGAGGCCACGATGTCAGATCAGCGGATCTTTGTCTTAGAACCTACAGTCTTGAGTTCACTCACCGACAATTCAACCAGACAAAGATCAGTTTTCCTGGCTGATCTTCGACAACATGGTATCCAACGGGCCACCTTTGACTGGAGCATGAAAGAAGGCTGTCGCTGGAATCAAGCGATGAAAATTCTGGTTATCAAGCACTGGAGACACGCCAAACAGAGGGGCGATTTTGGAAGCCTACCAATCAATCCAGCACACATAACTCACACAAAACTTGAGGGGATATTGATGCGATGGATTCGTGGACAAGCTTCTGCCATCCGATCAGGACGCAACACTCCTGAAAAACTTCGGGTAATCGAGAATAACAAGAAGAAGCGACAGGTGAGTTTTTTTGCTTGCAAAACTTATGATACGCTATTGATTTGTATGCATCCGATCCATTCTGAACAATAGTTATTCAAGTATCGTCGCGAGACTTTTGAACGTCATCTGGGTGAAGAGTCATTAGACTTGATCCCAGATGCTGATTGCTGCTCCGAGACTGAGTGGGAACCAGAAGAAATTCAACATAATAAAGTCGGGCTGGTTTGGCGAAGTCAACAGTATGCAAGTCTCTTGCATAGTCTTGATCGTCTTTCATACGAATACAAAGCACAAGTCGATGGAATCATCTTAGCCACTCGACGTTTTGATCAGTGTCGTGTGGACCAGTCCTCTACTAATCCGAATGCAGCAGTTTGCTGCGGCCTTCCTCAAAATTGCTACGATCAGGTGTGGTATAATAATCTCAATGATGATAAAAAGGTCAAACTAAACTGTCAACCACCTTCAGACTCGCTTAACAGTCTGGCCAACAAAATCGAACAGCTGTTGGTGAAAAAAACTTAGATTCATCTGGGCACCGGGTACATGCTTATATAGCTCATTTGCTGTGCGGGAAATCTCAGCTTTTATCAAAGGTCTTATCTTTGCTGAAATTTCATGACTACTGATTAGTACACAAAGTTTAATATTATCCTGTTCCTTGTGCTAGATGTGATCGAGTTGTCTGATAGATGTATATAAAGAGACTGAAGTACTATGTTGTTTATTTGTTATGGATTTCACTTTCAAAGTTTGGCTCTCTCTTCCTCTTCAGATGCTACACGGGCCTCATCCTATACATGTTTCAAAAATTGTGATCTGATTGTTCAACAAAGCGTTAGGGGTACAACTAGGTATAACTGAGACGGGCTGCGCGAAACCATATATTTACGTTCATAAGACATATTGGATCTATTCATCACTGTCTTCACAGCTTGATGACATGTCGATTAATGCCCAGATCAATAGTTATCAATCATGGTCAGAACCAAATGTTCCAGATGGATATATACGTGAACAGAAATAAACTAACCATACTCCTCAAGCCGACTACAATGTTTGTGTCCTGGGAAACTCCAAAAGTATCAGGTGGGTTTTCAACAACAACACAGTGTCCGAAAATGTGTTTGAAACCAACACACTTCTTGATGAGTGGACTACGATAAACCACATCAGCTTTGAGATGTGGCAGTGATTGATACGGATTCAAATTTTGATCATCTCCTTCAAGTGATGGAAAGCAGTCCACTAAGAAAAAAGGGGTCAGATCTTTTTTCAGGCGGAGTATATGTTGAATGACGTCATACCCAAAGTCGTGGGATTTTGTCTGATCATGTAGTTGAATACAACTATTTCCCTTATGAGTTGAATAAGGTGAGAAGATCTTGTTGGCATGTTTCCAGTATAATGTAGTTTCAAGTGCGGGGAGTGTATCAATTTGATGATGTCCAAGCTCTTGGAGGAAGTTGAAAATGATGGGTAAGGTGTCGTTGGATGGTACAAAAGACTGCCATTTTGGTGTGGTTGAGCCTGAAAGTTCTCCCAAACCAAGATTATCTCGAGTTGATGGATTCATGTTGTGATGAATATGTTTGAATAAGGATTTTTGAGTATGTGCTTTCAGCATGGTCCCTGCCACAGTACCTGTGATAAAAATGTACAAAAAATATTAATATCATACACACGGAAGTCAAAGAGAATTCAAAATCACCTGAGCGAGAGTTTTTGGGAGTTTGGACAAGGTTCCCAATGTTTCTTTCCCCGGCCCACGCAGCAGTATATGGAGCGGGCCCAAAACGCCAAATTTGATCGGGAAGGTGTTGAGCGTAATGCATGTTGGGCTTGGACCTGATATTTGGCCAAGCTTCTTGGAGGTGTTCACGGTATTGTCTTAATAGAATCCTGAGCGTTTTGATATCTTGCTCTTTAATAATCCTCAAAGTCACAATATTCAATATCTGAGTGACTAAGTTGATTGCAGTGTGAATATTGGCCGCATCGGATTTTTTTTCAGCGTTGTATTGATATGGTAAAAGTGATATAACCATATACAAACTGAATAGCACATGCCATTCCGCGGCCTTAGGTGTACCACAGCTAGCAGTGCCAAAGGTATGCGGAAGATGAGTGAGCCAGGATGGAATATTGGTATTTTTGATTGTATACCAGATGATCTGAAGTTTGTGTGGAGTGATCGCAGGGCCTTGAGTGGCAATAATTGTGCTATGGCTTGAATTTGAAGATTCGGATGGACTTTGGGTTCTGGAAGGCTCAGGGCTATTTTCATCGGATATTTGACTAGTGCTAAATTTGGCTGTTCGATGGTACTGAGTTCGTGAACTAGAACTGCGACTAGTTGAAGTGTCATGATGTGAACTTGATCGAGTTGTAGATGAGGACAAATACGAGGTGGTTGGAGGTTGAGTGATCTGGGGGGCCGAAAAACGAACAATATCGGCAGAAGTTGGTTCATGATCACCCAGCAGTGCAAGTTTCTTTTGTTGATCATCCAGGGCCTTTGCTGCAAAGGGAATTCGGAGATATGTTGACGAAAGGTCTTTCAATAGTCCCAAAATTATGCAGTGCATAATGTCAATGGTAGTAAACTTGATCGGGTCCCAATAAGGTAGCTGAGAAAAAGGTGTGGCACGGACTCCGTATTTTTTGACTAGCAATTGTTGGGAAGCAGCGGATGGAGCATCACACCAAGCTTGTGACTGTTGTTTATATTGTGACTTTGTGCGTCCTTGATAAAAAGCAACATTGACTTGATCAATGTCACGCGAAGTAATATAACATTCACTACAAAAGTTAGTTGACTTAGGCGAGGAAAATCCGGCGATCTTCTTCATGGCAATAGAATCTGCAATCAGGGGCCAAAGAGCAACTCGGATTAAGCGACCATGGGGATTCAGAGAGGTAGGCTTAAAAAAAATGCCACGCCAGAGGTCACAGAGCTCTTCGACTAAAGGTTTAAACAGATGATGAAACTGATTATAGTCAGGGTCTTTTGGACCCGGTATGATCCCGTAGATGAAGGTGTTCTCCGGCTTGTAGCGTGTATCGGGAGGCAAGCTGAGACAGAACAGTTGAACCACAGTCGCTGAATGGTGACGTGCCGAAGACTTGCCATATGGATTGAAAGCGTCGTTATACAAACCAAATACTAGATTACCGGCCTGCTTAGTATAAAGCTTGCCATCAAAACCTTTAAATGTTTTCCAGATCTTTCCGTCCCAGATATCAGAATATGTATTTTTGTCTGGTGTAGTCCTTGAAAACGAAAGGTCTAAAGCCTTTTCAAAATTGGGAAAGTTGAGCATGGTTGCTAGCCATTCAATCAAACGATGGTGCTGAAAGACCTTTCGGGGTTTCATTTGCTCTTTTTCTTTGTTCGAAGAGGCAAGTTCGTATAAGGGTGCGTTACATATAATCCGGTGGGCCTTGGAATTTTTTGAAGGTACTCGAAGACTATTGCAAGAAGTGAGAGCGCCCGTCGTTCCTCTTTTTTGCGCAACAATTGGTCCATGGAGTGCAAAGCACACAGGACAACACAATAATGTGATCATATTCGATTCGAGTTGAAACATCTTGATCACTTTGATGATGTTTCGGGGAATTTGTTTCCACACATTGGTCCGAACACCAGGGATTGTGGCGATTTTGAGGCAGTTTCTTTCGAATTTAAGAGACCTTCGGCAGCTGCGAATGCTTTTATGATCATGCAAGTATTCGTGGAGTATATGAAAAAGGGCCTGAACGCATCGTATATCCAGTAGAAATGTAATCGGCTTCTCGAAGGCAATGGTATTGAAAGTCGCTACAATATAATGAGGTTTGGATTGTACCTTTTTAGAGGTAGAAATGCGTGGAAATTTAGTAGGTCTGGTATTGGATTCGGTAGGAATCGGGGTGGTGGATTCTGCATCTTCAAGTGATCTTGGACGTTTGACGGCCGAGATACTTGGTTCTGATCCTGATGGCCGGGGCGCCGGAAGAACCTCCAGTTCTTGTACCTTGCCAAGATGTCTAGGATAGTTTGTCCGATGAAATAGAACACCGGTATGCAACTGGCCTCCTAGTTCAAATGTTTCCTTACAGTACTCGAGAGCAGTACAAGTGCATCTGATGCAGTTCGAATCAAAGTATGACATTGTTCGTAATATCCTAGGTATATGGAAAAAGATTGTAGGTGAGTACACTTCTGCTTATCGTGATTCATACTCCAGAAAGATTATGGTAAGGCTCACTGGTGAGGTCGACGCCTGCTTTGAAAGTCGAGAAAAAAACCTGAAACCGTCTTCGGGTTGGAACACAAAACAAAACTATGGAAAATTTGTGACAAAGATAACAGGGTTATGCGTGGAACTGTGAAAGAAAGAGGTTCAAATGGTGATGTCCTCAAGTAAATGCCGCTAGTTAGCTAAGATTTTATAGCAAGGGGAAAAGTTAATTAGTGGGGCACAATCAACAAATGATCGAGGGGGCTTTCGAGGAACCAAATCATGGGTTTGAGGTTCACACATACCGACTGGTTCCAATGTCGGTAAACTAGCTGGATCCAATGTTGGCAGATGATCGAGGCTGTTTGGTATTTTCTGGGTAAGATCGGGGGTTGTTGAAATTGGTGAAATATGGAGCACTCTCGAGTAAAGTAAGATGATTACAGTGCAGTGGGGGTTTGCTTAGAAACAGTTCAGGCGGTGGCAGTGGAACTGGTATTCTTAAATTTCAGTTTGGAAAGTCCAAACACGGTGTACACAGTAGGGTAAGCTTCTTTCCAACCAATATTCACACTATTTACATCGGACACTAAGGGTACTCAAAGTAAGTATGTACGTGTACATACTTTTTGCTATATACTTTTTTTGGCGGGGAAGGCGAGGCCAAAAGTATATTTTTTTTCTTTGTCCCCGCCAAAAAAAGTATGTAGCGAAAAGTATGTAGCGCTACATACTTTGCTTTGAGTACCCTTACTGTTTATAGTGGATCCAAACCAATAAAGCATAAACAATGAAATGATCCAAACCAATAAAACATAAAGAATGATAAAGAATACCACGTTTATGCTTCTTTCAACAACTATATACACTATTTACATTTCCAGACACCACTTATACTCGATCACACCCAAAGACATGAGATTCAATAGCAGAAGTTTTCTATATAATAACATGAGATTCAATAGCAGAAGTATTATATATAATACGGTGAGACTATCAACCTGCTGACATCATATTTGACCCACTTTGCCTTGCATCTTCAGCAGCCAAATTCGCCCTTGATCTGAAAGACCTCATCACATCCTCAATCGCTTGTCTAATATTGACAGGGTTGTCCTCATTCAATTGCAATTCTTCTATTCTCAAACCTTCCTGCAGGTCATACCATTCCGGCGAAATGAGTGACAATTGAAACCCTTTCGGAGGGAACCAATCTTTGTCAGCATCGGGGGCATATACACCCCTTTCGACCAGTTGTTTCGCATTCCTAATGTCTTTTGGAATCCTTTTGCGCTTCCAATGGGCCTGGTCAAGTAGACTAATGAGAGTATCGAGTTCGGAACTCCGCCATTCGAGCCTCAACTTTTGACGAGAGCCGCAAGAATTGGTTGCGACCAGTTCATCATCCGAATGGATGTCTTGATGAGACAACATCATGAACTCGGGCGAATCTCGGCCAAACAATCTGGCCGCATTTTCCAACCTTGCATCGTAAATCTACCAATTGTCCATGTATGAGCCTGTGTTTCCTATCAGGATCACACATAGGAGGAATAGACTGACCTTTGTTTTGTTGAGCCTCTTGTTTGTGACACTTTGAGTCCTGACGATCTTCTCTTCAAGAGTTTTCTGACCCGCTGGAGTCTTCATCAACTCACAATTTCGAGTTTGTTCACAATATCCTGAAGCCTTGCCGGCACACCAGCGTCGGAGAACTTCTTCGCGGTTTGCAGCGGTATTATCCTTGACAAGGATACCAAACTCTTTTGCGCCGTTGGCATCGTAGGCTTTGACCCAATGAGACAGTATGATTGTAGAAGTTGCAGAATTCCAAGGCGAATCGTATGGTGCTCCCCAGTCAAAGGTACATCTAGGAAAACCCGCCATAGATAAAGTAGCTTCACATTGAGATATGAAATGATAAGGATATCGAGTTCGAGCATTTGACAACATGCGTGAAGTGAAGATGACTGGTTCCATTGGTTTTTTCAGAGCTTCCATTTCTGCAGCATCTTTTTCGACCACCTTCTTTTGCTTTTGGTTTGGTTTGAAATCGGGGGGTTTGTTCGACAGGTATCGACGCATTGCTTTGTCTTGTGCTTCGCGAATATAAGTCTCTCAAACTTGTTTTCGAGTTTGCCAAGCGTTGCGCTCCTCTTCGGACGGAGGGTCAGGAAGCTTTGGTACCCCAGCATCTTCCAAAGCCGAAGATCCTCTTCCTTTGCGCGGAATCCCCATCAGCATGCGAGTGAATTCCTGGATAGCCCTTGCTAGAGGCGTTGCCGCTTTGGGAACCCGGTGAGAACCAGCTATTTTCCCAATACCTTCATCCCGGTGTCTAATATCAGTAAGAACCTTCAGATTTGCGGCCTTCATCCTTTTACGATCCAGGATATCCTGTTGTGTAAGGTCGCCATCTAGTACCAAAGTAGATAACCCATCAGAATGATCATGGGCAGCCAATGCGGTTTCTGACAATCAGGACCCACCAGAACTGTCGTCATCATCTGAATCTGTGTGCGGATAGGGGTTGTTTTGATCTATATACATAAGGAAATAGATAAGTTACCATCAGATCTCCAAGACCAATTACAAAAACAAACATGATAAATGAGCACAAACCATCATTTGTTTGATTTTCGTCATCAAGCCTTTGCTTATTTCCAGAACTATTTGACGGACCGGGAGTGATTTGTGTACTAGTAATTCGACAACTCATCTTGAATATATACACAAAATTTGAACTTCAAGCGAAAGGAATTTGAAAAGAAGAATTTTAAAAAGAGGGTGGCAATGAAGCTATACACAGTGTTAAAGAAAAAGAAAAGATAATTTGACACTCGAAAATAAGTGGGAGGTTTCAATCATTGATACCACTGAGGTTATGAACGCCTCCAACGACTCAACCTTCGCCATATCTGTTTGTTTGAGCGGTAAACGGTGCGCTCGTACCACCAAACCGGCACAACCCTACATCCAAGTCATCAATGCAAGGAGTGGTGTCATTTACCAGTCGTGTGTTACTTTCAACCTCCCACCGCGATTTCCAACCTCCCTACACATTATACAGAAGCATTTACCAAACACCAATTGTCTTACGCTTTGTTCTTACGTTTTGATCAATACCAAAGGTTCGGCCTAGTCAGATTGTATTGCATTAGTCAGGGTATTATGTAGAACCTCAGTTTTGGATATCGGCAGTTGTACCACCTCTTTCCATAAAATTCGTTCTCACCTAAGTACTGTTTTGTCAAGGGCTTTTCCATCGGAAACGGGTGCAGAAGCACTCCCCAAAATCCCACGCCTCCACATCAACACCTTGATTGAATCATGATTTCACATATTGATTGAATCATGATTTCGTAAATCATTTCAAGAAAACACAGAAATTGATAATACGTGTATGAGATAACCACTGTGTACTATCAAAAGGTACAATCCCACCTTTTTGAAACACTTCTTGACCTTTCATCCATCGCTATCAGACCCATGAAATTTGAAAACCATGTGGTCTGACTTCTACTTGACTTGATTCTTATTTTGTATCAAATTATGTCTTTGTTCAGGCACACAAAGTTTTGCCACATCACACTACAAACAAATGGTTCAATTCCGTAAGGAATTTGAGTTTTTTTGGTTCAGAATTTTGATTCCAAAAAAAAACAAAATTCTGTGACAGAATTTTGACAGAATTTTGATGATGCAAAAACAATCAAAAATTCTGTGACAGAATTTTGACAGGATTTTGGTTGCCAGAATAAAGTGTACAGACAATCAAAATTCTGTGACAGAATTTCAGCAGAATTTCAGCAACCAACAAAAATGGTACAAAAGAATCGAAATTCTGTGACAGAATTTCAGCAGAATTTGAGCAACCAACAAAAGTGTACTCAAAGAATCCAAATTCCGTCAAGGAATTTTGACAGAATTTATATTCTTTCTCAAGACAGACAAAACAATTGGAAAGTGTTTCAATTGTAAAGACAGAAGACTAATCAGAGTCAAAGGCAAGTCTCGGTCAGTTTATACTTAAAGCCAGTCACACAAAAAGATGAGAGGAGCACAACACGTCAGTTTGTAAAGACATACAAACAACCTAAGCAATAGCAGTACAACTAAACGGTAGACAAACAATCAATTAACAGCAATACATCAAGCTGATTGATCAAAACCCAAGACTCGAACACGGTGATCAAGACAAACAATCTAAGAGCAATCTAAGCAACATTAAGAAACTAATCTAAGTGATGACAACTTAAGACTTGGCAATCATAGATGGCTTTCTCAGCTTCACAAGCAGGCCATTCCCATTGAAAACCATCAGCACCAAATAAAAGGTGTTCATACATTTGTTCCTTTTGAAGAACCCGGGATGCTCTCAATTGAACGGATGAATCCAGAAGGTATGTGATCTTCTACTTGTTGGTCAAGCATAGACAATGCACTTTGTCCAATGTCCAGCTTTCCATGTCTACGATGGTTAGATGGCGAGATCATGTCTGTATCTCAACATCAATTTCAGCTCATGTTCTGTTTGGAATTAAGTTTTAAGACTGACCTGGGTTTGAATTTCTGCGAACCCTGACACTGTAGGGTTTGTCGTCTTTCGGCTCCTTGTATCTCTTTCTGGATTGAGATTGAATGTTGGACTGCTTTCGCTTGGGCGTGGGAGTGGGTGTTGAAAGCGATGTTGAAGGTACGGAGTTTGAGAGCTCTGGCACGGAGAAACCATGATCGCCAGGATGACCTGTAGATAATGGAGATAAAGTCAGAACATCATCTAATACAAAGGCCAACAACATACCATAATCGAGATTCATCACCCCGCTGAGCATCTCTGCGCTGCTCATCAGAACTGATGTATCACCAAAATCCCCGCTGATTGCGCTTTGGAGGCCTTGCCGAGTGGCACTGCGCTTCTTCTCCAGCTTGAATTAAGTCATCAAGTTCATAAATCGTTAGTGAAATCATTCAAGTGACGTACTTTTCTAACGTGTTTGAAATGAAATTAAAAATTTGGTTGAACAAGGTAACTCACGCAGTCAAAATGATCTTTCAGAAGAGCCTTAGCAAATGACCCAGGGTACTTCTCGTTGAACTGAGTAGTGACCTTGGTCCAACCAGCAGAACTGAGCCGTCCATCAAGCGTTTGATCTTTCCTCCGTTGCTTGGAAATTAGTTCAGCAAGGTAACCGCTACGAGTTTCGTAAACATGGGTTTGATCTAACATGATGGAGGTCAAGTAGAAATTCAGATTAAGAGTAGAATCAACTGAAATCAAAAGGACGGAATGGAAATGATACAAGCAATCAGGACGGACAAGCAAAGAAGTGAAATCAAAAAGAAAGAAAAAATAGATTGTGGACAACCAGTCACAAGTGATCAGACGGATATAGGGACAGGTGATTGAGAGTTGCAACAATACAGTTGAAATGTGAGAGAAGCTGATAGCTAGAGAAGAAGAACTTGATCTCGGTTGAATGGATAGTTTTATATCTAGGAAACTCTGAATACACCACCAAGAGGGTACAGGACAGGGTCTGGTACAAACCCTGGGGAAAAAATACATCCTAGGGTTTGGCAGTTCTTGCTGTGGAACCCCTGAATCCAGCGTTGGATTGGCCGAGTTTGGATGTGAGATGTATGAGTGCGAGTTGTATACATTCGCGGTGGAGGCTGATGGTTGCCATCGATGAGGGGAGTGGGGATTCGAGTGCACATCAGGCAGCCTAGTTGACTGTGATTCTGGTCCCTAAATACGACGGCGTTGGGGTGGCCTTGGTTGAAGTGCATGAGGTGTATGGGTCGGTGGTTACCAATCAGCTAATGTACCAAACTTGAATTAATCCCTCATCTTCTTCGGATAAGGAGAAGTATAATGCGAAGTAAGGAATACATTGGGTTTGATAAGAAAACAGACCGACTGACTCAAGCTTCTTTTGATCACACAGAATCTAGATGTCATGAAGTGCCTTGACAAGGAATTCAAGCAATAGTACATAGTAATAAATGAACGGCGCACTCAAGAAATTCCACTGTTTACCAAGTTATTTTGATCTTCACCATTCCATAGGTGATCGAAGAATTGCGTTCTTCAAAATAAAATCGCAAGTCGCAAATGAGCGGCGGGTGCTGCTATGGTGCTTATCATTATTCCATCTACTTGTCAAGGAAGACATTATAGATTTGTTGGATTTGCTTGGGGTTTACATGATCCACAAAAACGAAGATATGATAAAATGAGACCATACTCGATGATTCAGATTCTGATACTTTTGAATTACAAGGAATTTACACAGTACGTTTAACACAAAGTTTAACTTCTATCGGTTTAAGTAATTCCGCTGCCTTTTCCAGGGGGGTTTCAGTCTTGACCAACTTGTCTCCAATCGGATATTCATCCTTTATAGGTGGTACGGCTTCCGGTGTAGGCGCTGTGGTGGTTGCATCTTGCCCTTTCATCTTCGACATCGCTATTGGTAAAAAGCACATACAAACAAATCCACAAACAGACCTGATGTTCAGCTTTGATCATAGTCAGTAAAATACCCGAAACATTCACCTTTCTTAGCCTCGATCATAGCTTGTGCCTTTGCTTCACTTCGGCCATCTTCTTGAATGCTTTCTTACTCAATGCAGTCTCTTCAGGTTTTCCATTTGTCTGAGTTGGGTTTGTGCCATTAGCATTTGTACTTTCCGACTGGTTAGGCTCAGGCGGAGCAAAGATGTTAAATTCTGTGAGTTCAATCACGTCTTCTTTGGCTGAACGACGGTCATGAAGAGTTAAATATATTTAGATCGCTTGTGAAACAGCTCGGAAGTATTGGGGATGGGTGTAAAGGGTATCTTCAAACTTGAGTAAGCTACAGGTTATTAGGTACAAAGGTTCTGTCAGCTTCGAGATGGAACTTAGCAATCGTGATAGCGAGGACCAGCTGCGACAAACTTGGTATGTGATTGGAGAGTACTTTTACGTGTACAATACGTGTGGAAGTCGTATTGGTCTTCCGCCCATACTCGATAGATCTGCATCATGCAACTCAAGAACCATCAATACACGTATTCTATATGAAGGAGAATATTGAGATGTGAGATGCTAACGTCAACAATCTGATGGAAGCGCTTCAATGCAACACCCCAATCACCCACTCTCAATCCGACTCCAGCTTCTTCAGCTGCATACCATATTGCCTGCGTCTCTACCAAATCGCTTACTGGATCAGGTGCATCCTTACGTGTATAGATTCCGATTCGCTTTCTTGTCTCTGTGAGGAGTTTGGATTGAGTTTCTCGATCGGTCTAAGCTCGAATTGACCGCAGGATATACTTTGCACATTTCGAGTTCAAGAATCGATCCTGGCCATCTAGCTCTCGCGCTGCTCTCAATGCATCTGCTGCTTTTGTGAAAGCCCCTGCTCGTTTATAAATATGAGCTAATGAAAGAAAGAGGTCAGGAAGAGTAAGTGTATGTTGGATCGCAAGTTGAGCCACTTCTAGCGCTTGAGAAGTGAGTCCAAAGTGTGAAGAAGAATAAAGTGGGGCCAAGAAATGTAAGATCCAAAGATAGGTTGATGGTAATTCTGTGTTAGCATCACAGCTATGTCCAAATTGGCTTCGTAAGTGTTCTGCAACGGCTTGAATGATACGAGCTTTCTCAAGATCGGCCAAAAGGGGTTTAAGATCGTTGAAAACGAAGGGGATGCCTTTGCTAAATCTATCGTAAAGATATGACTCTAATTCAGCTTCGAATTGAGTGCCAACTGCGTGATCGAGGATGGTACGCTGAATGAGTTTGGAAGTTGGATAACGCTCAGTAAGATTTGTCAAGACTTCCATATTTGACGACTGGCCATCGAGTATTTTGGTATTGATATAACCATTCAAATAAGTCCGATTTTCCGCGTTACCCTCGATTAGATCGAGCCAAGCCCATTCAGCTGCTTGGGTTCTACCAAGATCTGTGAGGAGTCGTGCGCGAGCCAACAGATAAGCAGATCGATCTAATACATCAGATGAATGACTTTCTAGATATGCAAGTGCTTTTTGAGGCGGTGTTGTGATAGAAGCCTTGAAGAGAGTGAGCTCAGAGCGTTCAAAACATCGATCAGGTTAGTCGTCCATTGCGTGGCGAGAGCCATCAGTTGTGATAATCTCTGTCTCAGGTGGTGCTGGCATGTAGAATTCTTCGGAGTTTGGTGAGGGTCCATCCACAAGAGGGCTGTTCGAAGTCGCCAAATGTTCCATGACAAATTCAAAAGATGTTGAGGTGGTCAAGTAGCTTGCTGAGGTGGTGAAACTGTGGGGCCGTAAATGAAGTTGAATCGAGTTTTAGTGGCAAAGGTTTGTGTTAAGGTAACGGTGATGAGTTAAACTTTGAGGTGGTGAAAGTTCGAGTTGAGTGGTAATGAGTTTGGGTTGAGATGGTGAGATTTGGTGTTGAGGTGGTAAACATTCATGACCAGCATTGCTACTCGGAACATTGTATGAGTTTACGTAAAACTGTGTTTTCCGACAACAGTTTTTTGAGCCTTGAGGACAGGAACGAAGGTCATTCCATGATGACTGTCGGGCTGTCGGGCTTTCGGGCTTTCGGACTTTGGTCCGGTTTCTGTGCAGTGATTGATGAACCACTCGGCCAGTATTTGAACGGTGAACAACCGTTTTCAAGTCTACTCAAGTCCACGCGCATTACCGTGGTCACGACTCACCGTAAACCGGTTTGCTTACCAGTTATAGATCACCGCAGCACAACCTCGCCTTCGACGGTCTGATTAATGATGATCATCACTGCTGAATGTGATCTCCTTTTACCCTTCCTAATGAAGGAAGATGCTTCTATGAAACATTGAAATTCCCTTCGAACCATCAAAGGATGGCAAGGAAGATACACATTGATCTCAGCATTATACTTGCGGATCAAAGTGAACGTCATCACCAATCAACTCGCAGGTTGTTTTCCCCTGGATCAAAGTACAAATTCACACTTATTGTTGGGCTTTCTTCAATTGCAATCAAAAAATCTCTAAGCGGTGTAGTTACCAGTTCGAAGAGACCGGTTTACAAAACTGTAAAACGGACACGACATGGTTGTGGAAGGTGTGAGAGCCACGACGGCCTGAGATCAAATGAAAGCACTATAGTGCAAGAGACCACAAGCTTTCACCCGGTCCAAATGAGAGGAAGGGTTCACCAAAAGCGGCGTTGCGTTGCTTTAATGTGTGTCAGCGCCTCTAGGCATCGTCATGAAGTGTTTCCATTGCCACTGTGCCTCGTTGCAGTCCTCATACCTCATACACCCTCGAATGAGTCCTCTATTTTAAGATATATTGACAAACACTCATAGAGAACAATACAAGACCATCTCGAGAAGAACTCTTGTACCCAACAATTGCCTCCAATACCTCAAAGCCTGTCCCTTTTCATCATGGATCAAACCGGCACACTCTCCGATCCCAACGTTCGCCCTCGATCAAAACGTAAACCAGCTCATGATTCTAACCCCCGAACTAAGATACCACCTAACATACGTAAGATTATGGGCGACTCTACCATCACAGTTGAAAATTTAGACTGACATCTTTTGGGCTTGTCACTTCCAATAGACAATGATCGATGCTTGGCACTCTTAGAAGATATGAGTCCCAAGGCGCTGACTGGCGTTCTGCGCGAGTATCGCGTTCGCATACGACCAGGCACAAAGATTGAAGGACTTAGAGACCTGTACAAGAAATGGGTTTTTCCAGTTCAAGAAGAAGCTTATCTCCCACCGGCTTCGACATCAATCTCGAGTCCAATTCACGAAGGAGCAAGCGTTCTTGGAGAGCTGAGCGCCACTCACAATGATCACGATCCTGGACCATCACAAACGTGGCCCGCGCATCCTGCGGAGTCTGATGTGGGCTCAGAACAGCCAGTTGCCGTTCCAAAAGTATCTGGATTTCATCATTTGAAGAAAGAAGTCCTCCAAAGACTCTTAAAAGACAACAGAATACCATTTTCTGGGCTTCGAAAGGACAAGTTGATTGAGCTGTGCGACCAGAATGCTCTGACCGGTAAGCCTTAAACCATCACTCTGAGCTACCGAAACACGGTATACTGACAATTTGCTTGCATGTTCGCCACTCAGTACCCACAGAAGGCACCGCAGCCAATTCACCAGCCATCAACTCAACTGCTGTCACTTGCGGCGGCTCAGAAACTCAGGTCCTTTCAGAAATACCGCCCCCCCTTGAAAGAACCATAAAATCTAACCGTCGCGCTCCAGCTGGAAAAGCTTCCAAGCAAAGCAATATCCCCAACGTCAGCAAAAAAGAAAAATCCACTGATTCAACACAAGGTTGCTCCTCCGCTCCCAGTTTCACTGTTTTAGTGCAGTCGAGCTCCGATCTCAATGACCATCATGCTGGATCTTCACAAACGTTGCCCATCAAAGGTTCTTCTAAGCAGCCATTCGATTATTTGGCGTCAACAAACCCAGAAATTCGAGAGTTCTTGGCAAAAAATGGAGTCTCGACCCCCTCTCGATCGAACAAAGATTTTCTCCACTACAAATATCTCGAGTGGCAGTCAAAGAAATCTACGCTTGATCTTGCAGAGTGCGATGTGGGCACAGGACAGCCAGTCAACATCCGAAAGCTATCTGTATCTCATCCATGTAAGAAACAAGTCCTCCAGAGTCTTTTAAGGGAAAACGGAATACCATTCTCTGGTCTTTCAAAGGATAAATTGATCGAGCGGTGCAAAACAAATAATCTGACCGGTGAGCTTGAAACCTTCATCCTTGGTTACTGACCAACATGATGCTGACAATTTTATTGCTTGTTGATGTTGCAGTGCCCAATGATGGTGCAGCCTCCCAGTCGGCATCCATCCAGTCAAGCCTCATCACTGACAGCGGCTCAAAACTCCCAGTACTTTCCGATACACCGCCCCTTCTTGAAAGCCCTATAAAGACCAAATGCCTGGTTCCAGCTGACAAAGTTGAAGTTCCCGACGCAACTGCCAATCTTAGTAAAGAAGCAAAACCCAGTAATCTGATACAGGATTTTGAAGCCAGTTCCAGTACCGAATCGTCGCTCGGGTATCTTTGCGGTTAGATTCCTATCAACACTTGATTTTTCCTTCTACTTTCAATATTCACTGATGGTTACCATTTCTCTAGAGAGCTCTAAATCTGTTGACCAACAACACGGCTCTAGCGCCCCTCGCGAGGAAGATGACGCAGAGGCAAGCATTGGAGATTCAAGTACCAGTATGGAGAACGTAGAAGGTAGTGAAAGTGGAGGGGAAGGGAGCAACATAGATAGCACGAGAGAAAGCTCAAAGAACCAGAGGAACGAAGTCCCCCAACAGTCAGAGAAAGGCTTTACATCATCCACAGCCAGTTCCAAGCTTGCCGAGCCCCTGGTATGCCAGACCGAATCCACGAAATTTATAGGTATGGTCCATGTCGTTAAATAGCAATTCCTTGATGTGTATTACAACTTATCTCAAACTGTCTTCCTTCACACTTCATTCGCACTCGGTCACTCCACAAGAGGAATCAGCAAAATCCCTCGATTGTGATCCACGTGGGTTGTCTATTGCTAAAGGCTTTGATTACATTTCATAATTGAGTTTTCGTTAAGTTTTTTGCTGACCAGTCAAATGACTCGTGCAGGTAAACCAGAGCCCGGCGCCGGCGCCAAAGTGCACGAGTTTGATTCACGTCAGTTTCCTGCCACCAAATGTTAGCTCACCGGTGTAAATTCATGATGTTTTGTATACTTTGTAGGCAACCGATCTACTTCGACACAGGGCCAAGGATGTGAGGCCTCACACAATCAACATCGTGGACTAGCTGATGTAGCATCCGACCTTCCTTCACCACATTCACTTGGCAATTCCCCACACGTTCGAGAAGCAAAGGGTAAATCTCGGGAGCACAACCCAATACCGCCCCAAGCATCATCCTCGAGCCAGCCCCAAAATCGGGGTTCCTTTTCTGCCTCGCCCGGGAACACAGATCAGACTGCGTCAAAATTGGACGTCATCATGAGTTACTTAGAAAAGTTGACTGTGGGCCAGGAATCAGCTGAGCTCAAAACGCTTCAAACCAACCAATCTTTACAAAATTTGGAAATATCTTTCGAAAATATGCAGGTTGAGCAGTCCGATGCATCAGAGAAACTAGAAAACCTTATCAAAACAGTATCAAAATTATTGGACTCCAACGAAGAGCATCATACAGTGAGCTCGAGGCGAAGCAGGCCACCCAGTGGAGCGAAAAATCGCTACACTTCTCAAGGTGGAAAGCTATCGGTTGGTCCCACGTTTCCAGAGTCGTCTTTAATTTTCCAAACAGAGTCACTAACCAATTTACGCAACTGTACAGGGAGCCATACGATTGTGTTGTGCCACATTGATCGGGAGAAGGGCAGAAGAAGAGACATTTCCTGAGCCTGCAAACGAAGCTGAAAAGCGTCAGTGGCTAGTGGATCTACTTAAAGAACCAGCAGGAGCTCAAATGGGGAGGGTTCCAGGTGATAGTCCTGATCGCCCTGATACGCATTTCCCTTTCAAATCTGGCCCTGGACACTTGAAGGCATCAACCACACAACTTCAAACCATGCGCACAATGCTATTACAACACGGGGTGAAACGTTTCCGACCAGACTTAAGCAAACCTTACAAATCGGTCGACAACTCATTTCTGTGGGGTTTGGCTGTTAAAATATTCCTTAGGCTGGTCGAAGCGGGTGAATACCCTGGGGTCAGCTTGGAATCGGCTCCACGGGAGATCGTTGAGGCTGAGTTTCAACTGCACGTCACTGACTGCTTGAGAAAGAGGTGAGCAATACCCTCATGTACCAATTGATTGCCGATCTTCTGATAATTGCACACCTGGCAGAGATCGAAATGAGCGAAACCTGACACCAACAGAACTTGCCGCCCAAAAACGTCGAGCAAACAAAGCCTCGCGGCTTTTCAGCGTACGCACATTGTTCTGACCGGCCTCAGAAAAGTACCCGCTGACTTGTATTTCTTGTGCAATAGTTGCGAGAGTTGCGCCAAACTACTGCAGCAGATACCCCGGGCCTTGAGCATCTGTGTTATATTGTTGCTCAATGTTGTAGCGACGATGAGCTACAAAGCGAAGATGAAGACGACACTGGGATAAACACTGCTGCTCGAACCAAGACTTGTGAAGTCCTTGATTTGGGATGGAGGAGTGAAGACTGTGAGAGCATCATGTTAGCTCTGGATAACCTACGCAAAAGTTACCGCAGCATGGCTCCTTCAACACCTCGTGGGCTCCCTTCTCGAGTCCGGATCCGGCCTGAAATAAACAATCGCAAGAAAAGCGCAATGGAAGCACCAAAAGGGCTCTCCATTGATTGTTATAGGCCCTCATTTTTGGCTAGTAGAACCGAAGTGGAAAAAGCCTATCTCAAAATCAACATGGTTCCGGGGCTTCCAAAATATAAAGATATCTTGTTTTAGTCCGAGCGATGTGGAAAATGGCGGCCCGGCACCTTCATTGTGCTGTCATCATACAATTCTCTCAGTTCAAAAACTTTGTTTCAATTTGGTCATCTTGGTTCTTTTCAGTTTGTATCATCATCATCATTCATCATTCATCTTAAAGGAGAACATGCAATCCAGCAGAAACTGATAAAACCTCCACTGACTCCCCTTAAAAGAGTGAGTTTTGCCCGGCCAAAGTTTCAGCCTCGCAAGACGTGGCCAGAACTGATGTGTAACGCGGAAGCTCACTTGGTCGTTAGATTCAGTCGCATATTTATGTTTGTTGTAGTTGTGATGTCATGTGTTTGCCATATTTAATTTTTGCAGTTTCTGTTGTTGTACCAATTTGTATTGCAGAAGATTATGCTGATATTTGTAATGTGATGATAAATATATAACAATTGATCCCGGTTTTTCTTGGTGCTTCTTTTCTGCTTTATGAGAAATAATGGAACCTAAATGGAATTTAACATTACAAGAATCTATTAAATTGCCAAATGAAGTTAGTAAAATTGAAATTCATCAACGTGCACTTGATCTACATTCAACTAATTCATCTAAATCTGAATCGCTTTCTTTTTTTTGATTTTTCAAGAGAAATGCATTCAAAGAACATAATCTTTTATTCTTGGCTACTTGGACATATCTTTTAATTAATCTGGAATGAGAGTAAGGTAGAGATTTTGATTTTACCATTTAACCTACATGCCAAGAAAAATGACTTCCAAAGTCAAGAAAAATGTAAATAGTTGTAATTTATCTGATATACTCTATAAGAAACGAGTTCCTTCAATCAATCAATCAAAAAAAAATTCAAACCTCTTGCGTATTCTCAAATTAAGATTGACTTTGGAACGGAGTTTTTACAGATAGGTTATTACAATCTCTCGTTCTCATCGAATAGGCCATATTTCAATTTTGCTAGCTTTACTTGTTTTTTTCTCAAGATGAATCCTGATTAATTCAATTTCTGAGCTCTTAGTTCTCTAGTCCAGAGTCCAGATGAATCAGGAAAGCCCCAACAATCTTACCCGCCAGATTTATAGCAATTGACGGCAAAGTTGTGAAAAGCTTTTCTGAATTTTGTGTTGTCGGTAGAATTTTAACACTTTGCGAAGACCAAAGTGATTCACTTTGAACTCGGTCACAACTATTGAACTAGAGAACAAATTGGTTATCTGATTTCATCATTCTTGATTTCTAAATTCACTTGTACCAATCATGTTAAAAAAGGGTACTTGATCTATATCATTCCTTCTTATATACACTCAATGGTCTTTACTCGTTAAAACAATCATTTTGAGAATTGGTTCGGGATTGAGCTTTCTTTGCTAAGATCATACAAAGGACGTTCAAACACGGTTTCGACGAGTAAAATGTTTGATTGAAGATTCGAGTTCTTTGTGATCGAGAATGAGATTTCTTGATGTTCAGTAACTTTTCGAGAAGCTAGAAAATGATTCATTTGATAGATTTGAATTCCCAGATCGATCAAAAAGACAAAATCAGTTATCAAACTTATTTCCAAGAAAGACAAATAATCATACCGAAAGGGTTTCTTGGATCCTTAGCATAGGTAGCAGCTAAACAAAAAAACCAAAACCAAAAGAATAAGTCACAAAGATACCAAAGGGGTTATTTGAGATTGAAAAAAACTTACAAGCCAACATCGAATTTTGAACTTTGTTGATCAAATAAAAAGTGACAGCCCCGCCGAAGATGAAATGACTCACTGGTTTCCAAACAGGAGTAGGAGCACCTCCATATCATTTTGATGATGTGATTGATCGGATTAGATTGGTTGAGTCAATAATCGTTTGTTCGGCTCAAGATCGATGGCCTTGTGATTAGGAAGTACACCAGCGACCACAACTTCAAGGAAAACGAGTTCACAAACACATAAGAATCAGAATTTGATATGATGATACCATCTTTGCCAGGAATTTCATGATAACTCACTGAGGAATACATCTCGATCTCCAATTCTCCATGGTGGTGGTGTTTCATCTTTGATTGATTCTTTGCCTTCACATCTAATTCCAAGTCCAGTAGATTTCACTCTAGTTTCTGACATCGATCCATACTATATAAAAAAGGAAACTCGATATCTTGGTTATTTATTCAAATAAATCATTCTGAAGAAATGGAAGAGATTTAAACTTACAGATTTGTATGTGAATTGAAGTTGATAAGTTGGTAAGTCAAGAGTGAACGGCAATCGATCATGATCACTCGATAGGTGGAATTCGATTGGGTGTGAAAATTGTCGACGTGGCAGGCACCGAATTGGAGGGAGGATGTGTCTCAGGACTCGGAGACGGGGTTCGGGGTTCGGGGTTGACCCAATCCACGGTGTGTACAGGCTTGCTGCGCTGCGCGTCACCTGTATCCGGGGGGGAAAAAGCAAAAAAAATGTCGAAGATGACATTGATTCCTAGAATAGCTGTACTTCTCGGGGCCTGTTGAGCTTGTGCCATTATCACAGACTTGGAGCTGATCCTAAGCGTGTGTAACAATCCAAACAACATCCTGGGATGTTTTTAACTGGTAAAACACCCCCAGGAATTTTCCCTCCATGAGAGGATGACGGCGGCGAAAACGTAACCCTCGTGATTGGTGGCCAAAGAATTGGAGCCTGCGCAAACCGCGGAAAGTTTTGGCGCGGAGGTGGAATGTGCGGAATGACTGTGGTTCAATTCGAATTCAGTGCTCTAGTGCAGTTCAATTCAAATTCATTTCTCTATGATATGGTACAGCTTGGAAATATTTGATATGTGAAAATTCGAAAGTTGTGGTGGATGTCAAAACAATTCACTTTGAAGTAGATCCATGAAAAGCACAACAACAAATGATAATGTTTGAGACTTTGATCTCGATGATAGAAAGAAACCAACTGATCATGTTTGAGACTTAATGTTTGAGACTTTGATCTCGGCAATTGAAACAGAGCAGGTGATATTGTTCAAGCCTTTCATCTCAAAAAGTGTTCAAAATTTCAAACGTTGAGGCTTGAAATGTGGTTCGGACGACTGGGTTCTAATATCAATCCAATGAGTTAATGTTCATTGGAGGGGTACATCGAGAATCCGGCAATGATCCTCACGAACCCAACATACATTTCACAAAAAAGTCTAAGATAACATGATAAAATGGTTTGAGACAAGCGTCAAAAAGAAATGTAATCAAGAGAAAGAGACATACAAGAAAGAGACGTTCAAAGGAAGAGTGGAAGCCGTGAATTCAAAAAGGGCAAACTTGAAAAATGAAAAAAGTGAGAAACAGTCAGAAGGTAAGATAAAGGCAAAAATCAAGACGACACGTCACTACTTGGGGCTGAGGATCTTTGTGCATGGGATTTAATTTTACATCAGGCTTTTGGAGGAGGGAGTATTATAATCCAAGAGAATCAGCCACGTTAGAAAGCGCTTTGCTAATTCTCGGGGGCGTGAGGTCCAGCCTGCAAGGTGTCTTCTGAGCAAAGAAAAGAGATCAGGAATCAGCTTGGACAGATAGATGAAATATAGGGTGGTCTCTAAGCGTACCTAGCCATATCCCAACGTTGGCCGCTGAACCCCCAGACTCCGCCCAGACGTTAGTGACCATTTCTGACTTGGGCTTTTGTGAGGCAGGCGCTTGGTCAATCAGTCCATTGGGCAATTCAATATCGGTGTGATGCCCGCTGTACACTGAGAAGCCATCCATTGCAGCAGTCATCTCGGCCACTTGGTCCAGGCCGGTGAGAACCTTCTTTGTTCTAGAACGGGTATTTCCAGATGGTCCGCTTTGGAGGGATTCACCAGAAAGGCTAGACAGCATGATGGTGGTGGGTGAACTCAAAGTTCGAATTCGCTTGGCTGTTTGTTTGGCATTCAAGATGATTTTGGTGGTTGCAGGCGCCTCAAGGGGATTAAAGGAGTCGGCTTCGGCAGCGGCAACACGGGGAGTAACAGTGGTTTGGGAGTCGTGTTCTGATATGTTTGCAACTATAGTATCATCAAGATCTTCACAGAAGGCTTTGTCTCGCGGTCGTTTGGCGTGCCCACCCAATCTACGGTCAATCAAATCAGGATCACCCCTCACCTCCCAAAGCCAATCTCTCTCATCTTTGCTGATTAAAGTTGACCCGGTGATGCGGTCCAGAGAGGAGTTGAATCGAGTGGCCTGAGCAACGAGTGAACCACACGACTTCTTAGACTCGTGTTTTGAACCTGTTGAATGGGAAATCAGGTCACGTCGGATATTCTTGATGAACTGGTCGCGTGCAGTTGAGGTTGTGATGGTCTGCAGGCATCACAAGTCAATTAGTGAACCACAAGGTATATTTTTATGGGATGGTATCTGAGACTGACTGTGTTTTGTTCAGGGCAAGCCATTTCGATTCGTGCTGGGGCTAGTTGCGTGCAGTGTATCTTCAAGTATACAATCTTAATGTCTATCAGGAGAAAAGGAAGTTGAAATGGAAGATACGATGTAATTCTAACAGGAAAGGAAGTGTTGGCGTAATGTGGAACTTCGATGATCAAGAGACAACTATGAGGCCGATTTTATGAGCTACGAATGATGCACGCCTTATAAGCAGGGGCTAGCATTCCATTTGAACACTGCACACTGCTCCGAGAAATTGACAATACGCCAAGGCGTTGTGTGTCTATTTGGAAGGCCAGTCCGGACTGGGGGCAAGCAGCCTGGCCCAGCCAACGGTGCCCTGGGTAGCTTGCAAGGGTACAGCTACAAAATCCAGAGCAAAGTTACGCGGCATACTATTCAAAGAAGGTCTCTAAAAAGATCTCTCCCAGATTTGGGAGAGTTCACACTATCAAGTGGCACTCTACGCAGTGTGTCTCTTGCGATCCTCCTGCGCGACCAGGTCTTGTAGCAAAGAAATTCTAACTCCCACTATGTAGCTTTGCCTCACCTAGGCTTTGCGTCAACAAGGCAAAGTAACACCCTTTTAGGCAATCACAAGATGGTATGGGATTTTAATGGATATACATGTAACTACATAGATACAATTGAGAGTCGGATTTGGGCTAGTGGTTGTACCGGGGGAAGCGATCCCTTTTTGACTAGGGCGTGATTATTTCTTGTATTGCGGTTAGCATTGTGGTACACGGCACAACGAGCATTCAGGGCATTTGGCCCTAGTTGGCCATCTTTGTTGTTCCGTTGTCAGGAACACGTTGAGTCTTTTTTATTTACTTTCCCTTGTATTGTATTGGTTCAGTCGTCATCTCATTTAGATCGATCTTGTCAATGAATTCCTTACTTGTAACTCTTTCCATCATTCCACATTGCATACGCCAGCCGGCCATCAAACCAACACGATTTCTGCCTGCTTTTTGCACATCGACTCCCTACTAGAATCTCTGGACGCAAATAAATGGCTCCTCTTGCCGGCACGCCCATTCACGTCAAAAGCACTGTTCGGTTCGCGCAGAATACTGAAAGCATAGATTCCGGTCGACCGGCACGCAGTCAGAGCATCAAAAAATGTCACAAGATCCTCACGCCCGCGGTTGTCATCCCATACAGCCCGTTGACTCATTTAGACGCCAGAGGAAGACATACGAGCCAGAGCAGCTTGCAAATCAATTGTGACTCAGAAAATCAACACTTTGGTAAGTGGTTCTTCACGGTCTGGGTCTATAGTGAGGATATGAGCTCATGAGACATTGCTACATCATTTGTGTCATCTTCAGTTCGAACACGCTCTCAAGCTCGTATTGACATTGGACACCAGGCACCCGCCGCAAAACGTACTCGCCGTTCGGACATTGGCCTTGATTCTTATAAACCCAACCAGATCTGTCTAGACCGAGTCACACGATATGAACGACCTTTGACACGGTCATCCTCTTGCTCAAATTCCTGTTTAACCAAGCCAGAGGCAAGTCAAAAAGTGGGGCTAGGCCTTGCGCAGATTGGTCCCAATTTACCAAGCCCTCAAGTGGATAGCTCTCATCCTGTGTCTCCCTCCCGATCACCAAGTGGAAGTCGGAGAGCCTGGGGTACCGGTACGATTTTCCAGACGCAGGAACCTAAGGTACCCCCAGGGCTGGCGGTGGACCAAGATGGTATGTTTACTCATTTGGTAAACATAAGGGCCTCTCGGCAGGAAATTACAACTAATTATCTTTGATTTTGATTTTATTCAGATCATTCAGTGGTAAATGAAATAAATGAGTTGATCAAGAGCCCACAAGACATCAGCGTGAGTATGCTTGTTAAATTTGCACACCTGTTCCCTATTTCAAAACTTAAAAAGAACTTTCTTGTTTTTTCTCTTTGAAGGCTCTAGCAAAGAAGTTTTCAACTGATAAATTATTGACGTTGAATAGAGTTACTGCAATTTTACTTGAAGAAAGATTATCTAAGGATATCTTAAAGCGAAAAGATGAGGGTCATTTTGGACAGGAATGCAATATTGGTCAATGACGTGACTCCGTCAAAGTATGCATAAAAATGCAAGAGTGTCTTTTCAATATTCCTGACCTCAGTAGAGATAAATGAGCAGTTATTCCTGGTGCAATGATTTTTGGTTGGCTGGCCAGATTCTCAGCTTCTATCTTGTGGGCCGTGGACTGGCTCTTTCACATACATTTTTTTCACATTTGTATGCTGTAATGGAAAGTGTGTCAGCAAAATTGTTTCTTTGACACCGCTATGTCTGTGTTCCGTGTTGGCATACAACGCAAGCTACCAAACATTCAATTGCTATTACTTCTCACTTTTCCTCAGACAAATTTGTTTCATCATACTTTGATTATTGTAGTTGAAAGTTTATGGAGATGACAAATTCTCAGAATCGCAGTTTGATCACATTTTGTGCAGATTCTGGTTAGGCCTATCAGATTCAAACCATGGATTCCTAAATGATGTTAAGGGGGTTCAATGTGCATATTCTGAGGACTACCTCAGCGCTCAATATCAAAAGCAAATATACCAAGTTTATTTAGACTGTTGCTTTGTTTTTCCTCTTTTGATGATTCAGATGACAAAATCTGTCTCCTTATAAAACTTTTCCCAATATTTGTGTATTCTCTTGGTCCACATGACTTTTCTATGTGCCTTGCTGAGAGATTCAGGAAAATTCAATCAATGTGACAGTGTGCATGATGTTCTATAGTGATGTTTGATTTGATTTCACATCCATGATGTGTCCACAAAATCAAGATCAAGTCATCAAAGAAATCAAGAGGATGAGGACTCAAGAAGTAACCACTCACAATTGCATATTTGGTGAGTTTCCCAGCACAAAACAACAACTTACTTAGATTGAGCATCAGCCACCTTGACAGCTAACTGGACCAAGTCTGGATCTCATATATTTCAGGGTACTCTTAAACTTTCTTGGTGAGGGGCAGGCGTCCAATTCTTCACTCCTTGATTGTGTGTAGTCTTGATGCTACACAAGATCTGGGGAGGTCAAAATTTACATTTGACAACATGTCATTTGGTGGAGGTAATCTGGAAGAGGAAACTTTCCTGCCAGGATTCACTTTGATGAGTTTAGGGAGTTCTTGTGGTTGGCACATGCCAAGTGGTATGTCTATTCATGTCAGCACTTTATTAGAGGACCCAAGGCAACAAAGGTATGTACTGTTGCACTACTCTGTACTGTTTTGCTTTCTAGTTGATGGCATATAAAGTTCATTTATGGTATACAGATATGTGTTCTGGAAATTTCCAGATACTCTCAGAATGGCCCAAACACAAATTTTGGGTAGTAAAATAAACCTATAAGCTCACACTGCTTCTTGTACACTCCAATGCACAGCACGGGGCTTATGACAACAAAGCACACTTTTGCCTGTGAGGTAAATTGGATATTGACGACAAAATCTGTGCTCCTTATAAAACTTTTCCCAACATTTGTGTATTCTCTTGGTCCACATGACTTTTCTATGTGCCTTGCTGAGAGATTCAACGAATTTGAGAAATCACCAATAAATTTGATTCCCAAAGTTAAACAATTTTGTGGATGATCCGCAACCATTGACAATTGAATCATTCTAGTCTTGACTGAACATGTGATTGAAAAATCGAAGACAAGAGCTGGAGTATACATATACCTAAATCCTGCATATGTATGTATTTTGCGGGTACAGTTTTTCTTCAGCTCAAGAGAAGATTCTGTGGTACATATCACTGGGCAAATAGAGGAAGAAACACCTCAATGTACATGAGGACAAGGCACAGGCAGATTTGATTTGCAAGTAAGAGAGAAATGAAAAATATATGCAAGTAAAAACGTAAAACAACAACCCCAAATTTACACATTGACAAGTAAGAGAGACATGAAAGACACATGCAAGTAGAAACGTAAAACAAGAACCCCAAATTTACACATTGAGAAGAGCTATGAAAGGAAAAACAGTCTAGAAACCCCGTTTCATGCGTCAATGAGCCGCGTCGTCTTGGTTGGTTTGATTCACATGTACATGACCCCGCTTGGCAGTGGCTGCAATCTCAACAGGTGAACCCAGTGAACTCAGAGGGGTCGAAGTATAGTAGACTGAATTCATTCCGATGTTTAGGATGCGGTCATTGTAACAATATAATCAGACCACAGAATCACAATGCGTAAAATTTTATTGGGCTCACCAGGTGAATTCAAAGTCATCAACTCGATACCTAAATCCTTCAGGAGCGGGGAAGATGGGGCTGACACATATATTCCAGTCAGCTCTCCGCATTCGTGATTGCTTGATACTTCTACCAACGGTGGGACATCTACCGATGGCAGTGAGGAGTGAGAGGGGGGGCAAGAGTGGGTGCCAAATGACACAGGGGGCAGGCGCTCGTTAGCCTTCTCAAAGGTCCAAGTAGGGTCCAGCGACCACTTAGATTCCATTGTATCAGCTTTGTACGACAGTTTGGTCCCGGTGGGCGTCGATTGATTATCCGAAGGGGGAAGCAGACGGACAAATGCTGGTTTAGACTTTGGAGAAATGGGTGAGGCGCCTAATCTGGGTCGCACACCTATCAAGGGACCAAATGTTGGATCAGCAGGAGTTGTAAAACGTTTTCAGTGAAGGCTTACCATTTTCTGGATATATGGGACCCAGGGAAGCCAATTCTCGGAATACAGATGAATTGTAAGTGTTGTTGATTTGTTGGGCGGCATTGGCATGATCAGTCATTTCATCAGTGTCAAGTAGAAGTTGACCATATGAGTCTTGGCCAGCTTGGATTGATTTCGTCGCATGATTGTTCACAATGGGATTGACTATCTCGTGATGATTGGACGAGTTTTTGGGTGAGACAGCGGTTGGTGGCTGCTTGGAAGTTTCACTTCTTTCACGTTCCACTGCTTCTGCTTCCAAGCTAGATGGTGAAACATGGATTAAGCTATGAGTAGATGCAGACAAGCCAACGGTGACAAATGAGATGTAAAAAAACCCACAACGCCTCAATTATTATTCTCTCGTGGGAGGTATCAACGAGCTGGAGATGTTCGGTTCCGTCCATGTGACAGAGGAGACTCAGAGGTGGACGTCTTGGAAGTAACGAATTTCGAGGCCTCAGATGGGCAAGTAAAAGGGGTCCTTTCTCTTGCACAAAATTCTTGCATTTCTGGATTCGCTCCAATTCCAAATGGTCTTCTCTTTTCAAGGTTTCTTCCTGCAGGCTAAGAGGAAAAAAATAAATCACACACCTAAAAGAGGATAATAGTTGAACGGCGGGAGAGCAATCAAAAGTACGTACCATGCTTCGAGGTGAATCAAGTCACTTCCTGGCTCACTGGAATGAGGATTTAGTCCGTCGGATGTTCTGCCGGATATAAAATTATCCCAGCGGTTTCCCTCTTTCAAATAATCTACCGCCTTACGTTCAGCTGCTTCTGCTTGCAACCTGGGAGGCAGAAATCATTTCAGTCGTGAGCTGCAGAAAACTTGAGGTCAGTTTACCTACATTGCTTGAAATGGGAAACTTTCCAGGGAGTCTGTGGGGACTCTGATTGGTGATGGGATTTTGAGTGAATGCTTCTTCGAAACCCTCGTGCTTGCACTTGAAGCGGCCAAGTGATGACGGGATTGAGGGGGTTGAGAGGGCTGTCTTTGAGAACTACGAGAATGATAGGGAGTCAGTGTGGATCCAGATGATGTTTCTTTGTTTGGGATGGCGTCACGGTACCTGTCAGCTGCGGATTTTGCAAGAGGAAGTTTTCCAGAATGCTTCTGCGATATATGGGGATGCGAGGCTGAAACAGTGGGGACGGGAGATAATTGATAATGTTTGGTCCTGTCTTCCGGAAAGCTATGGAAAAGGTGATCAGTCAATGCAAAGCAATGCGAGCAAACATGACACTTGAGCTTACATCAATGCGGCGGAGTCACTTCCAAGTGAACTTTGGGCTGAAACTGTTGCCGTGTATGACTTATGGGGACGGTGTCTGGAGGGATCTTCAACAAACTTGGAGCACGCAGTATCACTAGCTGAAGGATTGATTCTAAGATTCTCCGCGGCCGCCACTAGCGATGGGGAAAGAAATGAGCTTTTTGGGCCAAGGCTAAGCTTCAGATCGCCCGGCCTGACCATCATGTCGCTCAGATCGATGGCACTGGAACTTCCTCCCCCCCAATGCGCCTTAGGGGTAGTTTTCACTTTGGGTGAGGATCGGTCGGTCAGATCTTTTTTGGGTTTCATTTTTCCGGAAGACATCTTGATAGACTGGACTTTTTGGACAGCCTTGACCGCAGATGAGATGACTGGCTTTGATTCAAGGTCTTCGATACCACGGGCTTCTGTTTGGGAAAGTTTGACTGGGCGGGATCTAACAAGCTGTTTGTTGCGGAGCGAGCGCCTGAGTCCTGGGTCGGGGTGAGGCGTAGTGTGATAGGTGGCAAGCTGCGAGGCGGGACCTACCAAAGAAATCAATTACTTGCGGTCAGAAAACCTAGCGCACTCCGTAAAAAAGACAAGATGGGGTTTAAACTGTACGCACCTGCTCGTGCCAATTCCAAAGCTTGGAGCAACATGGTTTCCCTGGGTACTGACCTCTTCAAACACGCTGTCTTGTCTCTACTGTAGATATACTCCCGCAGTGCAAAATCACCAAGTTTCCGGATGTATTCTTTCTCTTCTAGAAATTTTGTTTCTGACATGTCGTTGGATGTGGCCCGAATACACCAAGCAGGAGTGAATTTAGGATTCTTGGTTAAACAGACAAGGGATTTGAAGAGAACTTGATTGGAAAGGTTTGTGAAACGGAATTGGTGAAGGTGTCTAAGGAATTGATTGATGATAAAAGCAAGCACCGCAAAAACAACGTTGAACTGTGCTTATGTACCCTTGAAGCCTCTGGCACCCTGCCGCAAGATTCGATTTTGCGCTGATAGGCTGCGCATGGCCGTCACAACGGTAATCCGTCGTGACAAGACAGGGAGCCCGTGTATAATCCACTGCTACCAGGCATCAATTGGGTGAAGCTGTAGCATGACGTTGAATGAATGGAAACCCTCAAAAAGAGTAACCTTGCCTGCATCCAAGTCATATACCTTCTACGCAACACGGCCCCCCGAGGGTAGCAGTGTATTATGACGCAAAGCGGCAAAGTGCTAGATGATAACAGTTCGCTAACTAGAAGGTCTAGTCAGGATCCGGGTTTTGGCGAAGAGACGGCAACCCTTACCCTGAGGCCGTCGATCACATGAGGGCATGGTATGAATACTGTTGGCATTCCCTGACTAGTGCCTTGATAGGCAAGTGTTGCCGCGATCAGGTTAGAGCAGAGCTCACCGTGAACTACCAATTGTGGGGTATAATGACGCGATCAATGTGTATGTCCCTTGCCTTCCTTCGACGGTTTGAAGGGAATTTCAATGTTTCAATTCAAAACATCTTCCTTCATTGAAGGGTAAAACAACATCACATTCAGCAGTGATGATCAAATAAAACATTCGAACGTTGGGGCCGAGGTCTCGCGGTGGTGATCAACTTGAATACGGTTGTTCAACCACATTTCACAATGTACTGATTGATTAAGCTTATCGTTCCCTGCGCGGAACCCGGATCAACGCCCAAAAGCCATGACACCGGTCTTCAAATGAAAACGGGGTTCGTGGTGTAGTGTATGTGTAAAACCCCCCGGCGGGCCGGGGCTTTGTTAGGTTAGATTTTATTTCGGCGCAAATTGGCGTTCTCATCGCTCAACATCCCCTTCTCGACCACTCCTACGAATTCAACCCATCGCTCGTCTTGCCTCCCAGCTCCACGGATCCGGTGTTTTCACTTCAAACAAACCGATTCGACGCTTCAAGTTTCAACTGATCATGTCGGTGTTGAGTGTCCCACGTGTTGTGGCTTCCCGCTACGAACACCAGGGGCATTCGTCCCGCTACAGATCGACTTTCGACCAACCCAGCCAAACCGAAGCAATGTTCTATTGCTGTTCTGCTCAAGAAATACCAATGACATCAATGTGTGAACTCGTCCAATAGGCTCGTCTACAATCCTGAGCCAACGCTTCGCTCAGCTTCCTCGCCAAACGACCTCTACGGCTGAATGAATCCAATGCTAACTTTGGCTTGCTTTGTAGGACAATGTACACCACTCTACCGTGACCATTGGACCGACTCCCGACTTTGCTCCTCTAACCATGACTCCTACCGAACGGCTTCCCAGCCAGACCGAGAAGGATTCCAAGGCGCAAGTACTCGATCTCCTCTTGCAGATCTACAATGCCATACGCAGGAACAGCGACCGTGGAGCACCTAGACGAGTTTGTCTTTTTCTCCTTATAAGGATAGTAGTTACCTTCAGCTGATTTCATCTTTCATTTCCAGTCTCCTCGCATGGTTTTGCTCTTTCGACAACTCCTGGTGCTGATTATGCTAGATATTCAACTAAAACTACAAGATACAACAGGCTTGATGTGTAGCCGCAGGGCAATCCGGCTACTCTTCCGAGGTAAGATGTCCTTCCTATTGTGTTGAACAGCGAAGCTGTTATGCCTTTTGCCTTGATCTTAGTATATTTAGATTCGCTGATTCCTTGGCCAGCTCTTCAAGAACTAACTCTCTCAAGTCTCAGGCCTGGCAACTACTCGTTTTGTAAGCCTTCGCTCCTCAGTTGATCGAAAATCCATATCTGACTCTGTCTTTGCTATCATAGCTGCGCTCATGAGCAATCAGTTTGCACGGCTTGATTTGTGAGTATGATTCCGGGTTCGAATCATGGCTTTCATGATACTGAGACCGTTATACTTTAGAATTTTCCATTCACCGAAGAAGAAACTTTGATTAGTGAACCAATTCGAGTTCGACTTCATCAGCCTGCGCTTGCCGAAGAAATACGACAAGAACAACAAATCACTGCAACCGCTTTAATTTCTCTTATTGGCAACTCTATCGACGAATCTTTAAATCTTTCAACTCTCGATCTCGAACCGAATCCTCCTACCTATGCAAAAGCCCTTCTCACTCGAAATTCAGTTAATTGGAAGAATGCTACTTTTGAAGAATTCGACTCTTTCGCAGCCAATCATGTTTCTGAGATAGTTGATGAAATACCCGATGATCAAAAACCAATCACCACTCGCTTCGTCTATACAAGAAAGTTTGACGAAAACGGATTTCTCACAAAATTCAAGGCTAGATGTGTCGCTCGAGGTTTTCTCCAAGAAGAAGGCAAGGACTTTGAAGAAACTTTCTCCCCTACCGGACGCTTGGCCACTCTCCGTGCTGTTTTTGGTCAAGCTGCTACAGAGGATCTCGAAATCCATCAAGCCGATTTTATCACCGCATTCCTCAATTCTGAACTTGGTGATGGCGAAACGGTTTATATTAACATACCTGATGGTTTTGTTGATTGGGTCAAACAACTCTCCCTGGATTCACCTTTTAGATCCTGGTTGCCTGCGCTTTTATCTCGCTGTGGCTGGCTCTGGCTCAAACTTCTCCGATCCCTTTATGGCTTAAAACAAGCATCTCGTAGTTGGCATCTAACGATCAAAGCCTGGTATTTAAGACATGGATTCATTGTTAGTAATGCAGATGCTTGCTTATTTGTCTTTTGTGGTAAGAATGGTGAAAGGATTTTAATTTATATATGGGTGGATGATATTGTTGTTGTTGGTAAGAATGTTGGCTGGGTACTTGATGCTTTGAAAAAGGACTTTCGACTTAAAGATTTGGGACCGGTGAAAAATATGTTAGGTATGCAAATTGAAAGGAATCGTGAATCAAGGACTCTTTCTATCTGTCAATCAAAATATATCAATGAATTACTTAGAATTTATGGCATGGAAGACTGCAAGTCATTGGGAACTCCTCTTCAATCAAACTTGCCTATCTTACCCGGCACGGAAGAAGAGGTTATGGCATTCAAGTCCAGCGGTCTCAATCATCGACGTGCTATTGGTTCTCTCAACTATCTTTCCCAATGTACTAGACCCGACCTTGCTCACCCTGTCAGCTTACTATCCCAATTTCTCGACAAACCAACCATGGAGCATTGGGGTCACTTTAAACGTGTTCTTCGGTATTTGCGTGGGACTAGTACCCTTTGTCTTACTTACGGTGTGCAACCTGTCAATGAAACACTTCTCAAAATCCAACCTGACACTGCTGGTCCTCCCGTCGCTTTCTCTGATTCTAATTGGGCTGGGTGCACTTTAACTCGGCGTTCTACTTCTGGATACACATTTATTTTCAATACTGTCGCTCTTTCCTCTAGTGAAGCCGAATATAAAGGTTTCCTTGATGCAGGACAAGAAGGCATGTGGATTTGGCGGAGGGTCTCCCCCTGGAAATCCAAATAATGCGATTGGCAAAAGATTGCATTTTGGCCACGTATACGTATTCGAAGGATTTACATTTCGGCATCGTATACGTATTCGAAGGATAACGTATGGCAGAATTTCGGATGTGAAGTTTGTCATCAATCATCTTGACTCACTCTTCATATCCCTCCACGTCTATTTTTGATTCCCCTTGTTTCTTGTCTTTTTGAACTGACTAGGTAATGTACTTTGTATTATTCACCATTTGTCTTTTTCTAGTGGTCTCTTTCAAAGTTAGCAAAGCTATCAACCGATGCTAGAGACATAGATCATGGTACATACGGCAATAATGCTACCGTCGCCAATCATGGAAACTCTGGCGGATCTAGAACGGCGATCCCCATCAAGAAACCCTTACCAGCGATCGATCTCAAGCCAATTCCACCTCCCAATACGAAATCCCCAAACTCCGAGGGTCTGCTCCTTCGACTAGTCGGGCCAAGGGTATCAACAGGGGTAGCCCTATGGCTGCTTCTCATAGCTCTTCCAGTATTACATCTACCGTCTAGCGCTCTTCAGCTTATGACCATTGGGGGGAAGAAAGACTTTGGAGTCCGAACGTTTATAGTCAGACTCAGCCCTAAAAAACTCACTGCAGCTCCCACTACACTTTTTCTCCATGCTCTGTAATCAAAGTGGGACCCTCAAGGAATCTCCTGGGCCTATCGGTAGAGATGGAAGATATTGTACGTTCCACTGCTTCTTCATTTTTTCTATCACTAAGTTCTTTCTTCTCCCTAGTCTTCGACTGCTCAGCGTCCATCCAAGACAATCGCACGCGAGCCAAATGGACTCAAGAAAAGTACCCCCGACCCAAGCGCTACTCTAAACCATTCCCTCTTTCCCAGTCCATTTTGTATGGTCATGAGGAATCATCGAGCAATATCACCTTGGCTCGGCCTCATCATTTCGGATCCCTTGAAGTAATCGGTCTGATCAATTGATTCGTTTCAAGACATTGGTAATATGTTGAAGTCTGAGTTGTATGTTTGTTACCTGTTTCTTGTTGTGTGAGTTTTGAAAGCAATACTGACTGTGGCTGTTTGGCATGCCTCCTTAGACCATCAGTCACTGGATCTGAGTTAACCCTAGGAACTGTTCCCACAAGCACATTGGATCTGGTGCGTGATTGTTTTGTACTCTGACTGGTCATTGATCATTTGCCTTCCTCCTCCCTACAATGTACACTGATCTCACTCCGTCTCCCTGTAATAGTCGAAAGAAATCGAGTCCGCAGAATTTTTCCTGCATATGACAAGACTGATCGTTCCAATGATTTGAATGTCTGGAGATTATGTACTTCCAGAGCGGTAAGTCATGCTTTTTTTGTTGTTTTGCTAGATTTTCAACCCGTGACTCATAACAAGTAGTCAAGACCTTTAACTAATTTTTGACGTTTTTTTGGACTTAAAATTCACATCACTTGAAATCACCTCTACCTCCGCTATATAATCCTTCATTTCCACCACTTCTTTGTTTGTTTTTCTTCATCTCACTTGTTCATCAAGTTACAAATAACTATATCATAATCACCATAATCTTACTTTACCTTCTTCCATTCAAACTAATCTTGACCCGTTCAAATCACCAATAGCTATCTAACATGTTCTCTTCAACTGCCGCTCTTTCCGCTTTCCTGCTCTTACCTGCCCTCTTTGGTCAAAATACTGGGACCGACTCTTCTACCACTAGTAACACTACCACTACTCCCAGCACTACATCGGGCACTACTTCTTCCACTGCTCATGGAAATGGAACCCCTTTTACGGTCCCAACTGTGACTGGTACGACTTGTGGTACAGCTCAACAAAACTTCAATCGGTGTGTGGTGAGTTGGATGACACTTTCTACTTCTGTTTCTTTCCTTTTTCACTTCAAGAAGCTTGCTGATCGTCCACTTCTTTTTTTCCCATATTTGCTCAATAGGCGAGGGTCGGCAAGGATATCTCGGCTTGCCCTCCTACCGATAACATTTGTCTTTGCGAGTAAGTGCGTTTCTTGTGACATGTGTCTCACGAATCTCCACGCTGATGTTAATCACTTTTACTCTTCTTATCAGACTGACGCTTACATCGCCGCTTGCTACAATGCTTGCCCTGATTTACAAGACTGTGCTGCCTACAAGGATCAATCGTTACAGCACTGGGCCACAGCCAAGATCTCACCCCCTTCGACTTACAATCAAACTTCACCAGTAGTCAACACCACTACCGCTACCACTACCACCACCCCGGCTACCACTACTCCTAGTCCTACTAACACTACAACATCTCCAGTTACCACTGCTAGCGCCTTTGCTCGTGCCTCAGATGCTTCAAGCTTTGGATTCTCATAGGCTTTGTTTGGTTTCACTACCAGTCTTTGCTCCATTCTTTTTGTTTAAGAGACGAATCTGTCATCATTCTTTTTTTGGAGGGCTAGTTTATTGTCCTCGGAAGAATTGCTTCCTTTCTGTTTTTTGCAATTTTTTCTTCATTCATTCTATCTTTATCAGCTCAAATCTGATCAATGCGATTCGGATTGGGCCTTTTTTTTAGTCGTTGTTTTTTTGTATTTTTGTGGTTCTTTTTTGCAATATGGAAATCCTGCAATTCGTTTTAGATTGATGCTATTTTATGTTCCTTAGTATGCCCCTTGTGGACTTTATTTATGAATCATCTAGAACCTCGCTCGTTGATTTTCATTTTTCTTCACAACGTTTGTTCGCGAGCGGTGTGGATAAGCCAATCTCAGGTATTCTACCGTTTGCTTTAAGTTTGATCAGACATTTTGACAATCCAGGGCCAGAAAGCGAGCCACCCTGTTGTTCTGGTAACAAAAAAAGACAGCCAACATATCTTGGCGGATTGCCCTTAAACAAGACCCCAATGACAACAACTCATGAAGAAAGAAATATGAAGAAGTGGTCAACACGGTATTGCTCACACCTTTGGTTTGGGAATTTTTTGTTCTTGACACAACAGAACATTCATAATTGTCTTTGGCGCCGGGGTTTAAACACTCAAGGCAGAAAAATTGGTCACAATTCAGGGAACAGGACAAAAGACAAGTGTGAGTAATTAAATCAACAATGAAAATTCAATATATATAGGAACAACCTATATCAAAGACTCAAAGCTCCCCAACAGGAAAGAGCAGGTGTGACCCTCCTTTGAGAACAAGACTGACAATCAACATTGATCCTGTAGCAAGGAGTTAATGATGAATCTCTATGATGTTAATGGGTTTATGGAATCCATCTTTGAGGGAGGTGAGTCTCAGCCAAAAACGTAGTGCAAAGTGATGTTTTATATTTAAACGCATTGCCGAAGTAAGAATAAAGATGAACAAATTGGAATAAAAGTTTTTGACAAGATTAAGTTGAATGATGATACAATGGGGGGGGCCTTACACATTGCTTGAGCTAAAACAAGACATCTTTGACGCTTTGGAGCCCCGGAACCATATTCACTTCGAGATAGGCCGTTTATGCTTCAATTCTACTGGCGAAAAAAGGGGCCTGTGACAAGACTGGTGATGGTGACGACAGTGCCTTTGCAAAGCATGATTGATCATTGACCGCGCTGTGGTTGGCTGTAGGCAGAGGCGACATCATTCATTGAGCTTCGAGAGTAAACATGTGATGCAAGAGTTGACTGACCTGCATTGTGATCTGACATGACCACGTCGCCGACAGTTGCGACATCTGACTCTACGATGCAGGTGTCTAGCGATGGCCTCGTCTTCCAAGAGGGCGCTTACAACCCAATGGCTATCGACTGGAACTTGAGGGTGCATTCTAACAGCCTGCTCGAAGCGGTGAGTGTTGATTTCAAAAGTTTCGGGCGTTCCCAGAATCAGCAACGCCGCGAATACATCATCCCCTATGCTCATCCCATGCCTTTGAAGATCACGTCGTTGATTCCACATGCGTGCAACATATGTGTCAACAGTGTCGGACGTTGAGCTGTATCGACACAAGAGAAGGTCTTCTAACTGGTTCAGCCGATTGGCGAATGGTATACCCGCAAATAATTGAGTAAGATGGGCGTAACGTAGTGAGGGATGTGGTGAGACACTATGGATGATCATGCGTAGGTATGGGTCCGTGGAGTAATGTAAGAGCTGGTTGACACCATCGGCCAGATCCTGTTGCCAGAGCGGCCACGAAGGAAGCACCCCTGGGCTGAGGTACACGCTTGCGCCTTCTACAAGCGCCAGGGATTCTTGCATAGAGCTGTCCCAGCTATCAAAGTTGGAGCCGTCCGCAAGCAACGGAACAACACTTTGGGCCATCTCTACAAAGTTGGTTTGAAACACGCCAGAGGCGTTGGTGGTCGCGTTCGGTTGAGTGTGATTCTGACCACCAAGTGTAAAATGGCCATCCATATTGCGAGTGTAGCAAGGAGGTGATGATTCCACTAATGATCGGTATGCCTGACAGTCTGTGTGTGTTTTCGTGCGAGCTAAAAATATTACTTTCCCAAAAGAGACAAATGTCAATTTGGGTATGTAATTAGATCAGGTTGAAGTAATCGTGGAATAAGAACCAACTGATGATAACGGGATCACAATGTGACAAGGAAATTGATTGTACCTCCTTGCGTTTTGAGGTGGGACTGTCTGTTCAAGGGAATTCGAGAGTCGTCTTGCAGGAGAGTGAGGAGGGTGGTTTGAGATATTTTTCATGGGTAAGGGAATCCTGCCTTTGACAAAGAAGGGTCACATTGTCTTTATATCCACGCCTCTGTGCACATATATTATGGAGCAATACCGCTAATTGACATCAGTCCTTACCGCGTTGACGCGGCAATGTGCTCCAGGCCATACATGATCTGGACCAAACTAGCCTTGTCCAATCTTGTTCAATCATCATGGCCTATCATGCCCACTATCCTCACCACCTGAGGTGCGGTGGAAAATTACTTGGATCATAACCCGGGGCACCGTCGCGTTCCCCACGACTCACGAGCATGATACAATTTGTTGCCTGTTGCACACACAAAATGAGCAACACCTTTTCGTGTGCACCTTGGTCTTTCCTGCCTCTAGAGTTGCCCGCGTCATGCGACCCTATCTCATCTTAGTGTTGTGGAGAACGGATTATAACCTGGGGCACCGCGGCGTTCTCCACGATAGAATGCTGTTGAGACCTGGAGACTTGTTTTAACGCCTGTTGCCACCCACAAAATGTCCAACACGTTTTCGTGTGCACCTTGGCCTTCTCTACCTCCAGGGTTGCGCGCGTCATGCATGATAAGCTTTGGTGTCCTACGGCTTCTGATGGAAGCATTCAACAACCGCACAATGATATATAATCAATGACTCTGTGATTGTCACATGGACTTTTTATGCGCTTTCCCTTTCAACACCCAAAAATCACCTTCATCTCCTTTACTAAGAATACAAAGTACCCATCAACTTGTCATGTCACTTTCAAAACCCATACCTGCGGCCAATAAATTTTACCACAATGCAAAGTTGCTTGGCCAATTCTATAAGATCAAATTTACTTGTGAAACTTGTGTTGACTTTTGTAAAGAGATCAGAACTTCCTTATCTCAACTCGCGCGCGCAGGAGTTGATCTCCCGGACAACTTTGTTTTCTTTATGGTTACCGCCAAGCTTCCCGAAGAAATGGCAATGAGGGTCGAGAAGTCATTGAACAGTGATCTCGACGTAGACCTTGTCTTACATCAAATCCAGCAAGATGCAAGTCAACAAATTGACGCTGCTAGTTCCAATGATCCTTCAGTTGGTTCATCTTCTAATGTGATCACCGCCTCGCCTGATGTGTCGAACAGTAAGTTTTCATGCATTTTGATATATTGGTCTTTAATTTTCCTTGTTTTGATTGTGAAAAATTAATTGTTTATTTCAAAATTGTGGTGTTTCACATAGCAATTGAACAAATACTCTTGGACAGCACAGGCATCAACTTTGAAATTTGGCAAGACGCCATGCAGAAGAAGCTTGAAGACCTTTTTCTATGGAACACCACCACAAGACCCCGTGTACACATCAAAGCTTGTGATTCAGCCTGGTTCACGATGCTCGAAACAAAATCTTATGATGTTATAATGGAAAGTTTAGATGAAAGATCCGCAGCAATCGCCAAAGCTTACAGTGATCTCAGCTTCAAAACGGGATCTGGCTTATGGCAGTACCTTCAGGATAGATTTTCCACGACAACTTTCGACAGAAAGAGAAAATTCAGTGCGTTATGATAGCACACCCTGAATTCAAGCAATCAATGATATACTTGATTCAAGACACCAAACTGTTGATTTGTTGTGATCTTTCATCACGAATGTTGTATGTTGCAGGTTGGAGTGATGATCATGTTCTCAACTCTTTATCTCACGTTTTTTTTCTTTGTCTTCGTTATGTGAAATTTGCTCTTCTTGTATTATGTACTATTGCATAATTCATTTTGTCGTTTCAATATGATGTTATGTTTCATCGATCCTGTCCCCTTTGTCGCTGGTCCTCATTGTTTGAAATGTTTTAAAATAGTAATGGATCCATAACACCATTAGGGATAACAGTGGAAGTGTCAAACAAAAATATAACAGATCATATGAGACCTTACGCGAATTCAAAGTGGGATGCGGAATTACAAAATGCCAGCAAAACTCCAGTCGTTCGTGCAAGTTCGATTGAACCCTGTCATAGAATGCAAGTTTCTCTCCTGGTCTGCTAATAAAGTGGACAATGTTGGAAATCCCGAGGTGATGAAAATGAAATATGAGGTACGACGATATGAATGGCTTTGCTTCATGCCACGACGAGGTTTCTTCAGAGAGTGAAGGGTATCACTTCTACCGATCATTTACCAATTCAATTCAAATAAAATCGAAAACGAAGGCAGTGAGAAGGTGGCTTGAGAAGCTTTTGTTCAATGTTTGGAAGTGGTATTTATAGTCACTCGACTAAAATTGAAATCTCATACTTCAGTCATGCTTACCATTGTCTGATTCATGAGAGTATTCAACACAAAAATTTACTGGTTGGTTCCACGGGTTTTCTCAGTCTTTGGAGACAATTAGGCAATATACATTCATCTGCTGAAGGCAAAAATGCATTGCAAGGAAGCATCGCGTGAATGTTTGATCAAGTGATAAATTTGCGGGGATTATTCTAAATGGTTGCGCTTGCTGTCTGCTCGAATTAAGAGGAAAATACGAAAATCCTGAAACGAAGGGTATAGGGCTTTAACAAGCAGGCTGGCATTGTAATTAATCTCACACATGGGACGAACAGAACTGGACAGCCTTTTTTACCCTGGCTGACAACTGCCTACACTGGTGTGAGACGGTAGGAAACGATTATGTGAAACGGTAGGAAACAATGATGTGAGACGGTAGGAAACAATGATGTGAGACGGCAGGAAACAATGATGTGAGACGGTAGGAAAAGATATGTGAGACGGTGGGAAACAATTATGTGAGACAATAGGAAACAATGATGTGAGACGGTAGGAAACAATTATGTGAGACAATAGGAAACAATGATGTGAGACGGTAGGAAACAATGGTGCGAGACGGTAGGAAAAGATATGTGAGACGATAGGAAACAATTATGTGAGACAATAGGAAACAATCAGGTGAGATGGTACTGATGATGGTTAATGGAAGTAGACAGAGGCTGCATCTAACCACAACACTAGCATGGGGCGGCTGGAAATGATTGAATAGATTTGAACCAATGGGAGACTCGTGACTCGGGGGGAAATGGTTTGAAATTGGGATAAAAAGATGCGTCCAGCGGCACATGGCGCTCACCCAGATTCGGCCCAGAAATAGTCAACACCTGCAACGGGATCATCAGGCGTTCGCTCACGATGTTGGATATATATTTCGTAGATCTGTAACAAGACTGGTTTGCTGGTTTGCGTGGGTATCAATAGATTTGGCTCTTGCTGCTGCAAGGTGAATCGGAGATGATCGACTCCAAGTGTGATGTGGTGAGGTGCTCTGCAGGCTGATAAAGTTGAGGAATAAGGTGGGGGTGGATCTTCTTCATGCTCGTCGCCAAACACTTTCTGACGGAACATCCTTTCTCGAGCAGCCCGGCGTGGGGGGATTGGGAGACCAGGGCAGAAATGATTCAAAAGATCGGCAAGCACATCCGTAGTAATCCAGCGTGCCGATGGGTCAAATTCACGACTTTGATAGTACTCCCAAGTATACCCCGCATAGTCACTGGTTTGCGCTGCCGCTTCTCTGGGTGGGCTGAAGATGAAAGGTTCCAGAAGCGGCTTGACGTTGGAGTTGTATGCAGAAATCCAGAGGTCTTTGTTAATATAGCCCCGTCTGACAGGTTTGGCGTGTGGGGCAAAGAGCATAACCATCTCTGTGATATTGGGAATGGTGGTGCGAGAAGTTTTCAGATTAAGATTGGGGACAAGGAACTTTTCACGCATAGTTGGAGATAAACCGTTGATTTTGAGTTGGATTGCATGGTCAAAACCAGGAGCGGGGAGCGGAGTAGCGTCAGGGGCTGTGGGAGGTACTGAATAATTGATTGGGTGTGTCGGCGTTGATGTTGTTTGTGCTGTGTTTGGGGTAAGAGACTCCAAGTTTCTCATCGCCTGTTGAATCCGCAAAAGCATATCAAGTTGTTCCGGGGATAACTGGGCCAGAGCTTCGAGAGGTGAAAGCTGAGCTACAGCAGCAGGTATACTAGAACCGCCAATCAAAGGCTTGATTTCGGATGTGTCGCTCATGGAGGCGTCATCAAGAGAGCATTCGATGTCGTCGGCGGCCATTGGCTCTCTAGATGTCGAAGGGGCGTGCGGCATGTTGAGACGGTGAGTTACCTTTTGGACAGGTAGAGAGTAAGTTTGTGACAAAGCAGGACTGATACAATAAGTCTTGTCTAGAAAAACTTACTTCGAGAGATGGACAACAACAGTAATGGGGATAAGGAACAGGAGCAGTGAGTGGCGAATGAAAAGGGGTCTTTGGCCGATTTCTTTGGAAGCGATGTGTCTGAGGGGGTCTGAAGGATGTTCCAACTCCATGAGGAGCTATATATACCATTCGCATCTGCTGCATACAGTTGAGATTTAATCCAACTGCACCATGTTCTTGGACGCACTGGAAAATGACACATTCTTGCCAGGGTCACCAAATCTGCTCATACCTGGCGATCAAAACCAATGGGGAAGTCAGTAGTCAAAATCAGCTTCGTCTGTTGCTGATACATCCGATTCAGGGTGCGCATCCGTAGTGTTTGATTTGGCATTGGGTGTTACACATTCCGGTCGTCTTTTGGTGGTGGTCATTGCTTTGAACACGGGTTGCAGTTTGAAGCGGTTGGATCATTATTGAAGACTGGCCGATTTATGAGAATTGAAAGTAAAATGTGATGAGGTAGGATGTGCAACGCGCTGTGATCAGCTCTTCCTTCGACAACTCAAAGGGTAATATCTTCCTCAAACGAGGGTCCGAAGGTAGAACTCTTCCTTCCTTCTGCACGAGGAAGGGTAATTAAATATCATGAAAGAACAGTTGTGATCATGAAAGGTCACTCGACCATTCAAGAAGCTTCATCACCCTACACATCGCCTCATCGAGAGCAAGTCAGTGCTACGCGATCGTATCTGAATGCCACCTGCGCCGGTATCCGTAAGTTTTGTTTCATGTAACCGCAAAGTCAACTAATCCAGATCTATCTTTTTTGGGAAAGTATGGATGAGGATCGTAAGTCTTCTGTTTCACAACAAAACTTTAGGGCATTTCGCTGTAATCGTGACCATACCCAATCCTCACATGGAAACAATGCATGTTTCCTCCTGTTGATTGGTGATGACTTTTACTTTGATCATAGCAGAAGTATAATGATGCGATCAATCTGTATGCCCTTGCCTTCCTTCAATGCTTTGAAGGGAATTTCAATGTTTCAATGAAACATCATCCTTCATTGAAGGGTAAAACTAAATCACATTTAAGTAGCAGTGATCATGATCAATGAAACATTTCAACGTTGGGGCCGAGGTCTCGCTGAAAGGTACCGAGCCCGTCCCGTCTGGGTACAAGGCTAACCCAATTGGGGCAATGCTTATAAAGTGGCCTGTATTTTTGAATAATCTGAAAGACGGATGCTCCCCAAATTGGCGCTCTCATCGCTCAACATCCCCTTCTCGACCACTCCTACGAATTCAACCCATCACTCGTCTTGCCTCCCAGCTGCACTGATCCGGTGTTTTCACTTCAAACAAACCGATTCGACGCTTCAAGTTTCAACTGATCATGTCGGTGTTGAGTGTCCCACGTGTTGTGGCTTCCCGCTACGAACACCAGGGGCATTCGTCCCGCTACAGATCGACTTTCGACCAACCTAGCCAAACCGAAGCAATGTTCTATTGCTGTTCTGCTCAAGAAATACCAATGACATCAATGTGTGAACTCGTCCAATAGGCTCGTCTACAATCCTGAGCTAACGCTTCGCTCAGCTTCCTCGCCAAACGACCTCTACGGCTGAATGAATCCAATGCTAACTTTTGCTTGCTTTGTAGGACAATGTACACCACTCTACCGTGACCATTGGACCTACTCCCGACTTTGCTCCTCTAACCAATGGTCGTAAGATGAGCAAATCGTTGAGTAATGTGATTAGTCCCATGGATGTTCTCGATGGCAATATGGTACAGTGCCCCAGATCCTCACTTTTAATCCTTGCTACGATCAATCAGCTGACTCCGAATTTTCTTCTTTGTCTGTCTGGAAACCTGCGATTGGCTTTCATTCAAATGATCACGTACTTTTTGACCAACAGTGACTTCTAATGGCTTGCAATCTCCGTATATCTTGAACGTCTATCGTTTTGCTCTGGGTCCAATCTTACCACATCTCGCTGAGGAGATATCATTGTACCCAGAGACTAACAACAAGGATTCTTTCGAAGGCTTCAGTATCTTTTGCGAGCAGTCGCCTGCCTTGGTAAGCTGCCATTCTACTTTAAGCTCGAGACCGTTACCAAGCTTGGCTGATGTTCAATGAGTTCTTCACCTGCCCTTTGGTGAACGCCCGCTTGTGATTATGACAGCAGGAAAGCTGGCGAAATCCTCTCGTGCACGAGCAAATGACTAGACTGTTATCTTTGCGAACTACACTACAAGTCGAGCTTGAAGTGCTTAGGAAGGAGAAGTAAGACGGTCTTCATTTGACCACTCTACGTTTGCATAGGTTGAACTGTCGACTTATGCAAAGATTCTATCTGTAGGAAAATCACGGTTGCGTCCGAAGTCAAGGCCGTGTTTGATTTGTCTCGCTGCGAAGCTTCTAAAACTCCAGTTATGTCTGACCTCATAGAACATAGTGCGTAATTCTTGACCTTGTGAGAGTTCTTTTATAGTCTCCAACTCTAACTAGACATCACGGATTGGATCAGAAGTTGAAGATCATAATGCGCTTAAGAAACGTTCGATCAGACGATTTGGTTCTCTTGATTTCGGTCGTCAACTCGAATCACGATGTAAGTAAATCTAAAAACTCATGCGTTTTACATAGACTAACATGATTAACTTTTTGATTTTAGCCAATGAGGATGAAGAAGATGATTCAGAAGACGGAGAAGATGATGAAGATTGTGATGATGAGTCTGATGACGGAAACAGTACCGATACTTCATCTACTTCTAATAACTAAACTCTAAATACTACAGCTCCTACTTACACAGTACCCACACCCAAGAAAGTCCCTTCCTGGAACGCTACTGAATCGACCAAGAAAGATACTACTCCTTCTTATACTGCTCCAGAGAAGAAAGAGCCCAAAGTTGATGTTTCGGCTGGGGTTTTTGTTTTGACTGGTTTCTCTGGTGGGATTTCTATTGGAGCTTCAACTTATAGTGGAAAAGCCACTTTGTTAGTTACATTTTTTCTCTTCTTCACCCGTCTTGATAGTTTATTAATCTGATTGTTTGAATTTCTTTCTTCAAAATATTTAGCTTTTCTCAAGGAGGTGTTGCAGGTGCTTGTGGTACTGTTCGTCAAGACTCTGATCATGTAGTTGCAATTGATTCTTCAATGTATGAAGGTGGTAATTTTTGTGACAAAACAATTGCAGTCACTCGAGTTTCAGTAAGTAATTTCTTATAATTCTATTTTTGGAATACTTTACTTATCTATAATATCGTCTGTTTTTTATCTTAGACTGGAAAGTCTATTCATTGTACTGGGGTAAGTTGTTCATCTTTTTTACTATGATTTGATGGATATGATGCTAATTGATTTGGGTTTTGTTTTTTGTTTTTGGTTGGGAATAGGCTGATGAATGTCCTGGATGTCCTAGTGTACAAAGTCTCGATCTTTCTATTGGTGCTTTTAATGCAAGCCAGAAAAATTGATCAAGGGATCTCAATTACCCGTTTTGAATTACCGTTCAACATTTGGTGTGGATCTTGCGAAGCTCATATTGGAATGGGAGTAAGGCAAATAATCAATCCGTCCTCACATGAATCTTATACTTGGTCGTTGACGGACCCTCAGCCATCTTTTGTTGGACAGGTATAATGCAGAGAAGAAAAAAGTTGGAATGTATTATAGTACTCCGATTTTTAGCTTTCGTTGTAAAGGTCATTTGTGTGGAAATTGTGAGTCAGAATAACGATTAAAAACTTTCCGTGATTTGACGCCCAAAAGCTTTTGGAGAAACTCGACGTTGAACCAACACCATTTCATATTACATTCAGGGTTCGAGATCCAGACAGATCCACAAGTCACTTGTCTGTCTACATAGCACATAGTTTCGAAGTGTTCCTCTATATATCATGAAGAAATCTCAAAAATGCGACTTTTCAGAAAAACGAGTCTTATACGTAGACATTGATGTTCATCACGGAGACGGTGTTGAAGAAGCTTTCTATACCACAGATCGAGTAATGACCTGCAGTTTTCATAAGTATGGTGAATTTTTCCCTGGTACAGGTGAATTAAGAGTGAGTCAAACGAATCTTTTTCTTACAACGTAGATGAATGTTATATTTCACAATTTGAAATGATTTTTATGATTTTGAAACTCTTTTCGGTGTTTTTTTTCCCTTAGGATATTGGTAGTGGTAAAGGAAAACGTTATGCTGTTAATTTTCCTTTAAGAGATGGAATTACTGATGAAGCTTATAAAAATATCTTCGAACCTGTAAGTGCAAAAATTTGGATTTCTTTCGCTGATGTTGGATTACTTCGTACTGATCTTGTTGTTTGTTGAATTTTATAGGTGATTATGAAGATCATGGAAACTTATCAACCTTCAGCCATCGTTTTACAATGTGGAGGAGACTCCCTGGCAGGCGATCGGTTAGGAAGTTTTAATGTCTCTCTAAAAGGTGAACAAACATTCAAGTTTCTTTTAAGAAAAGTGTTGCATAATGCTAAGAGAATCATTCTGTGACCTAGGACATGCAAACTGTGTTCAGTTCATCAAATCATTAGGGCTTCCGTTACTTTTACTCGGTGGTGGTGGATATACTATCCGAAATGTGTCAAGGACTTGGGCCTTTGAGACTGGATTGGCTGCTGGTCAAGAACTGTGTCGAGGTAAGCTCATTCTACTACCAACCTTTCACATATGATCCCGACTTTAGGAAAGAAAAGGATGCCTTTCAAAGGCTAACTTTCTGTTTGTTGACTGCTTGGTAATCCAGAAATTCCCATGAATGAATATTATGAATATTTCGGTCCGACTTATCATCTAGATGTTCCTGCCTCAAATATGGAAGATATGAATGTTAATAGATATCTTGAAAAAGTCAAGGTTCAAATTTTTGAGAATTTAAGACATACTATACCTGTACCATCACTTGAAATGCAACGTTAGTTTCTTTTTTTCGATCAGTCTTTGTCACTTTTTGACTTGACTTGAAATTGATAACCTTTTCGTCTTGGGATTAGCAATGCCTCGATTACCTCATGATGATATGGAAGTTGATGAGGACTTAGATGATCCCAATGAAAGGAAACCACGTGGGTGATTGTTTTGATTCTTTGAATAAACTACTGATATTATCACACATCGTATCTTGTTAACTAACACTGAATTTCACATCTCTAGAGCGGTTATTGGATGCCTTGGTACAAGGTGATGATGAATTTTCTGCCAGTGAGGATGAAGGAGAAGGTGGTAGAAAGAATGTTCAAACATATAAAACCCAAAAAAATTGGGCCGAGAGAGAAGGCAGATGAAAAAATGGAAATTGATGAAGTCGAACCGCGTACTCAATTCCAAAGAACACAAGAGAACGTCACACCTTCAAATCCTTCAAAGCCCGAACCAAATAAACAACCTGACTCAAGACCTTCAAAGATAACTGTCTCAGTAGCTCCTGAAATCGAGATGGCAGAAGGGGAACCGTCTACCTCTACATTTCAAATCAAATCATCGACTCCTTCTATTGTAGTCCCATCTGAAAAAACCTCTGAACCAACCAGTCAAACACTTTCGAATGTGATCATGTCCGATTCGGATGTTATTGCATTACAACAAATCTTGGATTCCGCTGGTTCTGATATGTCATTCGATGCTAGTCTTCCACCTGTTCAAGCTACTCTGCCACCCGTGCAGGCTACTCTTCCACCTGTGCAAGCTACTCTTCCACCTGTGCAAGCTACTCTCCCACCTGTTCAAGCTGCTCAGCCACCCGTTCAAGCTACTCTTCCACCTGTGCAAGCTACTCTGCCACCTGTTCAAGCCCAGTCACCTGCTCAAGCTACTCGTCCACCAGTTCAACCTCAGCCACTCATCCACCAGTTCAAGCTACACTTCCACCCGTTCAAGCTATCCATCCACCAATTCAACCTCAGCAACCCGTGCAAGCCGTGCAAGCTACTCGTCCACCCGTGCAAGCTACTCACCCACCTGTGCAAGCTACTCACCCACCTGTGCAAGCTACCCACCCACCCGTGCAAGCTACTCACCCACCTGTTCAAGCCAATACATCCGCTCAAACTCAGCCATCCGTGCAACAGCCACCCGTGCAAGCTCCTCGTCCAATTGTCCATCCAGCTCCAGTCGATGTCATACAAACTGCTAGCACGAAGATTCCCGAAGTGCGTCATCCTGATGATGGACGAGTGAAAATTCAACAAACCGCAGCTACCGCCTCTGCCATCGTATATCCCAATCTTCCAGTCACACCAGCTGAAACTGATAAACCAAGCCGACAAAGTGAAACACGGGTTCCTGCTCCGATAGCTGCGGAATCGATTGTATCATCCAATCAAGTATCAGAGCCGCCGAAGCCATCACCCATCGTCAATCCTATTGATGCTAGCGCAGGTCCACAACCTTTGATTCAACAGACAATCGCCGATCCCAACTTACAAGTGCTACCTGAACGTCAGATCCTTCCGACAACTATCGAACCATCGATAACACCCAAGGTGATCCAACCAACAATAGCAGTAGAAGTAATCCCACCACTACCTATAAATTCTCAACAGGCGAAAGCGCTTCCTACTTCTTTACCGGCTACAAATGTGATGACCTCTAATCTCACTCCAGCACCTGTTGTTGTCACTCAGCCAAACGCGGGCAGCTCACAATCTATTGCTTCCATCCAGTAACCTGTTGCTTCTGATGAGGTCGTAGATCCTCGACCTGCCCCTATCATGTCAGGTATGGTCTCCTCACTATCAGCAAATCTACCAACAACACCAACACCTCCAGTCATTCAATCTTCTTCAAACCCGATCACTTTAAACCCAACTCCCTCCAACCCGATCACATCTGATAAAAATGGATCAGATTGGAAAGATTCTATCAATCCAAGTTTAGTTGTTGTTCATACTCCAGCTCTCATTAATGAGACGATGACGAAAGTGGAAGCTGAAGCGAGTCTCACAACACCTCAAGTAATTTTAAATGAAATTCAACCACCATCAAATGTATCCTCAAAAGCTTTAAGTGTGATGGAAGAAATGGAATTAGCAATTGAACAACAACGTAAAACGCAAACAGATCCAAATCCAACTAATCTTAATACACCTACAACAATTCAACAAAATCCTGAACAAATCACACAAAATGTTATTTCCGGTAGTAGTAGTAGTAATACTTCAAATCAGTATGTACAACTTGATCGATCTGAATCATCATCTAATCCAATTACCAATCCTAGAATAGATGAAACAAAAACATCTGATGTTGTGATGAGTGCTATAATCGAAATGGATCCACAATTAAATTCGAAACTTGAATCAAATCCTAATCCAACTCATCCTTCTCAGCCAACTAATTCGTTTACGAATCTTCAAAGTTCTACAACTACATGTGGTGATACTACTACTACTAATACTGTTGAGCAACCCATCAATTCTATACAAAATCATCAAACTGGCGAAATTCCAATGATGGACGATGTGGAAAAGTCTAGTGCTAGTACTACGGGAATTATTTGTGAAGCTATTGATCCTGCTATTCAAGGAAGTTTAAGTAAAAACTCTGGGAATGATCAATAAGATTGATTTTTTGAAATGATTAAATGAAAAAAGCAAGATCAAGAAAGGGAAAAATCAACGGTTTTTTGTTTGATTGGTTCAAAGTTTAGGACTTTTATATGATTTTATTTAATATAATCTTTTGTTTTGTTTTAAGAATTGTTTTTGATCGATTGAAGTGTATATAATTTTTGATGTGATTGTGATGTGATGTGATATAGATAGTAAGAATGTCTTGTAAAATTGAGAATTTATGAAACAAAAGGATTTCTTTGGATTAGGTCATTATTTTGGTATACAATGGGTATCACTAACAAGTAAAGTGAAGTGGTTTGATGATTGAAAAGCAGAACTGACAGCAAAATCGAGAAGTGACGAATCTCTTCGTAGTCGGTATTCCTTACCATCAAATCTCGGACTAGACGAAGCAGATCAACCACTTTGGTTGGAAGAAGCTGAAAAAGCAAAGACTCTGATTCGTGAGGGGCAAGCAAACACAGCAGCAAAGCGACTCAGACTGGAAGCTGAAACAGGTCTTCCATTAAATAATAAACGAGCTCCAACAATTTCAACTCCATTGGCTAGTTTACAAGACCGATTGACTGCCAATACTCGAAGAACTCTCGACCCTTTTTTATCTTCTTTCTCTTCTCGATCTATTGCAACCTCTCGTCTTCGCTCTTGGCTTGGTTCATCTCACATTGTCGTCCGGCCTACACTCTCTAAATCATCATCTAGTTCTATTCTCAAAGCGCCGACCCCTCAAAAACCCAAGCTTGAACAAAAGTGAAGCAAACCTATCAAGATACTCACAGAGTACGATAGTGATTGAAATTATCATGTCCATTTCTATCTGTTTTGCTTGCTCTTGGACATATCTCATGTAAACGTTTTCAACAAGCTCGTATTACGCACATGCATTTATTCAGACAAGTGTGAGGTATTTGTAATACTTCATATAAGAAGGTAGGATGCATTGTACGAGGCAATGCGTCACAAAGAGATAGCTAGAAGATATCCTTAAAAGTCAGTAAATCAGTCTACAAGTATCAAAAGGAGAAAGCGAAGTTTACATTAAAGAAGCTTGACAATTCCGATTGCTAATCATGAAACCTTAAAGGACTTTAAATCTTTCCCCGACCATCTTACATATTAGCTTGACTTAGAAGCAGTTCCCTCCATAGATTGACTAGCCACAACAGATCCCATACCTTGAAGTGACATTGGGACAAAGATGACCTGAAGGGCGATAGTTCAAAGTTTAGATTTGAGTTAGTTAATCTTAAATCAGTTTTATCGAGTTATGCGAAATATGGTTGCCTTTGAATCACTCTGCTTGGCCATAATCTGGTTCGCTTCAAGCTGACAAATTTGAATAGCTGCAGGTGAAGATAAGCTGAAAGAGTGAAATGCCAGCTTCAGCTTTCTCTTCCTGCAGACTTCAACTCATAGGTTACTTACATTTCTGCAGCTTGTCGCATCAGATGAGCAGCATCTACTTCAGCTCGCGCAGCGATAACTTTGGCTTCACCCAATCGTTTCTGTTCAGCTGCACTTGACAATGCTTCTTGTAATTCACGTGAAAATGATATCCTGGATCAAGATCGATTCCGCCTGTTATCAGTGTAATGTGAGGTATTTAGTCAAGAATCCTATAAAGCGGTTCTAGATATCACAGAAACTAACTTGAATTCCCCATTTTTCTCTATGACAGAGATGATAAGCCCAAGGGAAGAAAATAAGTTGAGTGACGAAACAAATCCGTGGTATTGGAATTTAATTATAATTAAAGAAATAAAATGACGAACGAGATATTCTCTAAGATCTCAGCTATCTCAATTGCAAGACTTTCTCTTTCAAAAACAACAGATTGTAGATTACGACCACCTACCACGGAACAAAGTGTAGTCTGAGCCATTTTGGTTAAGGCTTGTTTGACATCATTGATAGCAAATGCAGCTTTGTCTGAGTTTGCATATACCGATTGAGGGTTCGTGACGATCTTGATTTTGCTACGAATAGAAAGTTCAAGAATTCGATGAACTGAAGAAAGATAAACTAACAAGGATTTGTCTGTAGGATGAAAAATATATGAAAAAGATTGGCTGCTGTGACAATTTAGCCATCTACAGGGTGTCAAGACCAGAAATTTCGATCCAGACTTACAATATGCACTTTCAACATGCCAATACACGACACTGTCAATATCCACATTCACTGTGTATTTGGTGACAGCTGTTTGCCTGAAAAGGAGGGATCAATAGGATCAGTTTTCCGCTATAGAGCTTGACGTTTCTGATCATGCTCACCCGCCAATGGCTGCCACTTGAATCTTAACATCTACATTTCTCAATCTTTCGCTAAAAGGGTTTACTTTGATTAATCCAGGATCAACCTGAGATCGGTTCCATTCGAAAGAGAGAACGCAAGTGAATCAGCAAGTCAACAGGCTGGAAATGGGGTTGAGATCTTCTATCTGTACATTGCTAGATGACTCACCGATTTATAGAACTTTCCAAACTTAGTGACGAGTCTTTGTACTGGGAGAGTGGGTTGTTTGTCAAGATGGATAATTGATAGGTGATGATGCATTTCTACAACGGGAACAAGATTTTGTACACTAGATTTGAAGAAAACATAGCAAAGCATACAGTTTGAAAGAAGACAGTATTGATTCAATCCCTTCACAGTGACAAGAAAAAAAGGTAGTATGTTGATTATTTCAGTTTCGATCCAAGCTGATGAGGCCTATTGTTTCGACAATGCATTCCGGATCACACTCCCCAGGCTTGTATCTTATGTATCCGCAATGAGCAATAAGTTGTGCTGCCTCAATTATTATAGGAGTTCGAGCCCTGTAGTAGCAAAGGTGACCATGTAGCTCTGGCAATTTCAGTCTCTTGAAGGGATTTCCTTTTGCAGTAGGTACCTCAGTGAAGATGTCAAGATGAAGGTACTCGGTGGTTATCACCTCGCGGTCAGTAGGCCTCCTAGTATGTTTGAATATCCCGAGAATTTCTCCAAATCTTTGGACCCTACCTTCAGGTGTGTCAACCCACAGGGTGACTACTGCGTCTTTGGGGTACACGGCAAGACTTGAAAACTTGATTCCATCAATATGCAATGAAGTTTTGACCTCAACCTGTGAGCTGACGGGACGAGAACCGCCGCGGTGGATGGTATCAAGGGTTGCCCACTCCAAAGATGATACCCAGCGGATTTTGTGGATGTTCTGCCATCTGTGGTGATTGAGAGTGTCGACTAAAAGTGTATGGATTGAAATATTGAGCTCTTCAAGTCGATCTGATGAGTGGGCATCCCTGGGAACAAAAACAGGGGGGTCATAGAGAGCCCGAAGCTGCGGCAAGAAAGGTTTGAGTTGTTGAGGGATTTCATTAGACTCCAAAAGGGCTCGCAAATTACCACCTTGACAAAAGCCATTTAGAAACGTGACCTCTAGTTCACCTGGAGCATTACAAATCTTTCATCAGTTCATCTTCATGTTCAATTTGTAAGGAGACCATGGCACGAACCCAACCGATTATTGTTGCACCCCTTGAGTATGGTACCCATCAGTCTCTCAAAGGGGAAACTCCACCAAGCCCGCACCGGCCCAGATCTCTCAAGGCATTCAGCTAGATGAAAAGCCATGTGGTGGTTCGGACGCAGTTCCACATGTTCGAAAAGTATGACCACTCCTTGAAGATACTGTTGAAGATGTGATGTGTAATTCTTAATTCGATCCTTGGTCATAATCCGCTTCAGTGCTAAATTGACCAAGCTAACCAAGTGCCCAAAGTTTTTTGACAGCGACTCTTTCACTTGGTCGCCATTCCCCCAAAGCGGTATTAATATCAAAACCAACTGAATGGTAAACAAAGTACGCCACTCATCTGCCTTCAGACTGCCAAATGAGACTTTGCCTAGTTTTGAAATCCCTTGCTTGATCCAAGAAGGTAGTTGAATTCGAGGAAGCATGTGGTTCACATGATTGAGTACAGCTGAGTCGAAGGTTATTTTGTCCAGTGCTGGTGGGATCCATTGGCCAGCCCAACCACCGTCCAATGGTTTTTCGGGTGGTTCAAAATCCTCATCATCCGTTGAAGAGCTTGATCCGAACAGCAAGTCCAAAAATCCAACCTGTGACCCATCTTGGTCTATGTCTTGTTGGTCTTCCCAATTCCAAGATGCTGGCAGAAACGGTGTGTTCCATATTCTCGTGGCGTCAGCTTGAAGGTCTTCGACCTCGGTGCGAGGAATTTTGGGAGGAGTCTTATGTTCTTCTTCGTCGTCTGGATCGTCAATGTCCTCCATTGCCCAAGCGTGTCGACAGTGCCAGTGAAATAGGCCGAGTAGTAAATTATGCATGGAGTCGACTACGTGATACTGAATGATATCCCAGTAGGGGAGCTCAATCAGGACACAATACCTGAGGCCATGCTCCTTCATGATCTTTGCCCGTAAGGTTGGATCCTTTGTGTCGCGGGCTACCATGGACCACTTTCGGTGTTCCTCCAATGATCGGCGTGGCCAACTTTCAGGGTTGAAGTTTGATTTTTCATCCGATCTCAGGAAACAAATGGAGCACATGATTTTTGAAGTGACCCCAGGAAAACCCAATGTTCGGCGTAATGCAATGAGATCCGCAACAAAAGTAAGTAACGCTGCTCGAATCACTCTACCTTGAGGGTACCGGTGAGTTCGAGACAGATGCAACCCATCTCTCCATAGAGTCAAAAGTTGGTGGACGAGAGGCCTGAGCATTGAATTGACTTGTTCAGTCTTGGGCTCACTAGGTCCAGGGGCGATTCCAGCGACAAAGATATTTTCAGGTAAATTTCGTATCTTCCAAGGCAGTGTTAAACAAACAAGTATGTAAAACGTGATAGATGCATGTTTCCCCGATTGCTTGTTCCCATAGGGATTGATGCCGTCTGTGAACATCCCAAAGGTCAGATGACCACTAGAAGCTGTGAACTGCTTGCCATCCGGGCCCTTAAGCTCCTTCCAAATTCGGGACTCTTGAATGTCGGTGACTGGGAGACTGCTGTCATACGGTTTTTGTGATTGGACGAGTGTTGCATCCATGTGATCTTCAATGTCTGGGCGACTAAGAAGCCTGCCAATCCAATCCTCGAGGTCTTGAAAAGCGTATGTTCTGATTGGAGTAGACACTGAGCGGCCTTTCAACAGAATCTCACCGCATAAATCTACTTTTTTGGCGAAATCATTGAGGTTCTCAGATCCTGAAGTATCTTCCCCATCTGACCCTTCATCAGATGTGCTGACTGCAACGGTCCCAAGATGGCTAGATCCTCCGTGTTGGGTACAAGTCGGTGGAGTCTGATCAATTTGGTATAAGGTGAAGCATCTAGGGCAACAAGTCATATTTGCAATCCTTGGGTTGACGTTGAGCCAATGCGTGGCAGTTCGGATATCTTTGGGAATCTTTGAGACGGCCAGTCGGATAGATGTTGATAGGCTACCATCCAAAGCCAACAGCAAGAATGACACCATTGATTGAAGTAGCCATGAAATAGTCCTTTGACTGTTTTGTTCCAATATTGAAAGCATGCAAGCAGTCAAAACCACATGCAATAGCAGTGGATGGGAGTTCAAAATCATAGGACTGAAGAAGCGATCTTAACGCAATGCATCTAGGGTCAGCCATTTCCTCTGTTTGAAACCCATCAGCGCATCTGTATCGCTCACCACAGCTATAAGATTTGGCATTTCCTACGCTGGCGCGCCTCGGTTCCGCATCATCCAGTCCCAAATCAAGGCTAGCGCCGTTAGAACCTAGAACTGGATCCCTGAAAAAAGACGATCAATCATATTAGGTTTGTTGTCTTCACACTGAATGTTCAAACACCTACATAGCGTCTTGAGAAGTTGATCTCATTTCATTTCCTACGCTGGCGCGCCTCGGTTCCGCATCATCCAGTCCCAAATCAAGGCTAGCGCCGTTAAAACCTAGTACTGGATCCCTAAAAAAAGACAATCAATCATATTAGGTTTGTTGTCTTCACACTGAATGTTCAAACACCTACATAGCGTCTTGAGAAGTTGATCTCATTCCCACGGCAGGCTCCTCATGCGTTCGTGATGTGGCAGGCTCGTCGTTTTGATTGTCAGGGCATGTTAGTACCGTTGAGATTTGATCAGCCCGAGAGTGTCGAAGAAACGTGGTTTTAGCAACTTCCGAGCCTGGCTGCACTGTGCCATCGAGAGCAATATGTGATGTTGAACCACATCGACTCGATGTACATGTACACACCCACTTTATGGTTCGCTTTGTTTTGCGTGGCATTGAGAATGAGAAGTTATGTGGAATGGGTTGGGAAGTTGTCGCAATCAGAGTTATACCAGAAGGTCAGTTGAAGTCATGATCCAGCAGTGTCAAATGCAGTGAAGTGCGGAATGCAACAAGATTCAAACCACCTGATGTTCTCCTATTGCAACTTGCTGTTAACAGGTTCTGGACTAGGCACACTTCACAGTCCTAGTAGAATAGACCAACTGACTTCACACTACACAAAAGTCCCTCCTTTTGCGCGGTACTGGCCCGCTCAGATTGGTTAAGTTTGATATGAATCTAACCGGCGGTTATAGTCCACTTGGATAACTTGTTATTCCTTGTTACAAGACTAATCAAAAAAATCTAGAGATGGCAACATGTCAATGTTGCAAGTGCAACGTTTGAATCACATGATATGCCCTGTCGCAACGCTTTGAAAAGGCCTCGCAAAAACCTCTGAAGATGGCAAGCCTATAAGAAGACTGTTCACGCACTTCTGATCTTAGTTTTCAAGCTTTCAGAGAAAGTCCTGGAAACCTTTTCATTTCTGAATTCATCAGCTAGACAAGACTGGTACATATCTAGTCTGCTAAGCGCGATCCTAGTAAGAAGTTATAATTGGTTTTCAAGAAAAGTATTGAGGTTGAATTTGATGGTTTAATTTTTAGTGGAATGCAGACTACCACGGATATGGCGTAGCAGGGTGAAAACAAAAGCTACGTAGACAAATAAGATGCCGCTTTCAAAAAAAAGTCGAGTTAACAAGCAAGCTAGTAAACCTAGTTTTGTATATATTGTTTTTGGTATGTCTCTACTTTCTAGTCACGTCTTTGTTGCTTTCAATGTTGAGATCAACGCGACCTATCTAAGGAGATGATATTTAGTTAGTTATCCTCTTACCATAATTCAAAGGTTCAAGCGGATGCCACCCACCCACCAACAAGATAAATATGCAAATCACATGATAGATGTCTCGAATGAAATTCACCATCTGAAGAGCTTTGCCCCCGCCCAACAACGATCCCCTATGTAAATGTTCACAGTGAATTAGGGATGTCTGAAGTTGTCGAGACCTACCGCTGTCGTATTCCCGTCTTTTGGTTGGATCTGATAGAGTTTCGAAAGCTTCTTGTAGCTGTGATCCACGTCAAGATAAAGCACCAAGATGGCAATGAGGCTTTAGTTTGGGATAGATGAGGAATGGGGAGGAATCATGCCGGAAAGGAAACCGCACTTGTTGGAACATGTTGGCCGCACCGCCTTTATCTGGATGAAATCTGCGACAAAGGTCTCGATATGATTGTTTAAGCTGGGATGCAGTGAAGGAATGAGAGACTCCAAGGATCTATACTTAGCAAGCGGATGTCAGTCACTCTCATGTGTCAGTGTCGAAAGAGCCTCCTAATCTGATCTGGGTAAAAGAAGAGGAAGGGGAAACATACCGCATAATAACCCTTGGGGTCCAGTGCCGAAACAATGAGAGGTGGGGGCTCTGGACAAGATGAACTGGACTGGATTAGAGGGTTTTGCGCCGTGGTAGAGTTTCGAAATGTTGTGTTACTTTCTGGTGAGCGCTCTTGGATGATACTTGAGGCATCAAGCTTCGAGCTGATAGGCCACTGGTGTTCCTTTGGAAACTTTGAGATATGCTGACAATCTTGCTGAGTGGCTTGAGATAAGAGTGATCTGATCATGCTAGTCATATGTTCCGTGTTAGGATTTCGTAGCGGTTCAAAGTTGTAGACTTGAGCATGATGAGCCAGTACCGCTTGATCAGCATTTTGAATGCGAGTCCAAGCTTGCTTCACTGTTTGAGTGTCATTCCTCTTTGCCTCTTTCAATGACTTAATTCTGCAGACTAAGGATGTGATCTCTGGATACAACGGATGAGAAGCGTCAATGAAAACGTGGGAAGTAGGTTTACTAAGATGTTCAATCGCCTCAGTTGCTTCAATTGGTTTTGATAAAGCTAAATGGCATTTCACTAATCTCAAAACACGTTTGCCGATTGATAATCTTGATGAGTCCGATAACCAGACTGGTAGGTGGGTAGATCTAAAAGATTGTAGCAGGTCAGCTGCGGCCGGTGTAATTTGATTCAGGGCCATGTAGGCTGAGGCTCGATTGGCGAATGAGGTGGCCAACCCGGCAGGAGCTTCTTGATGAGGTTGACAATTGAGCGGGTAAGCTTGTATAGCTCTGGTATATAGCTCGACCGCATCCTGTTAAAGCAATTATAATGTTGAGAAGTTGAAGCAGGCAGCAAATGAGTATGGGCAATGTAAACTTACTGTATAGTTTTTCTCGTGATACATGTGGTTTCCGGCTAATCTAAATCGTTCAGCTCGGGCAACCTCGTTGGCGTATGCAGCTGAGCTTGATACCTCAAGTATGAAGTTGGAGACATCCAATTGGATGGAACCTGGTCTACCAAAAATTAATCTAGATTGACTCTTGATTGAATTTCTACTAGATACAATACATGAGGAAGTCCTGAATCGCATAACACTGCATTTTTTTGATTCGGAAAGACTTTCATGATTAGACGATCTTAATCTCGGAAAACGTTGACCAGCTTCTGAAGTGTATTCCCTTTGTCTTTTCTTCGAATTTGGTTTAGATCGATGGTCGTCGTTTTTGATTTCCATTGCATCTGACTCAATGTTTTGATGATCCGGTAAGTCTGGACTTCCACCAGAATCACCAAGTCGGGTACCGGAGGCACTAAAAAGCTAAAGGATTGGTATGTGAAATGATCAGCAATTGGTTAAGTTTGTCATCATTCAAAAGAGGAAACTTTTACCTTGATTTCAGATGGTTTGGCGGCGGTCAACAATGATGCTGACATCTTCGCTATGATGATTGAAGTGACAATGAGCAGGTTTGATGAAAGGAATCAAATCCAAGAGGGAGACATATTTAAATTATGCGGCGGGATGCTTTGGGATACAAACGATTATATGTCGTAATTCATTGTGAGAGGGTCTAAATGAGTGTAACTTCAGGTTTCCAACATATTTCTGGGAAGTCCTGTTGGCAGGGAAATTCCGTCCGCAAAGAATTGCACCCAGCTAGGTATCTTTCTGAATGTGTTTGAATCCTTTGGATTCCGTGTTCTGTTCGACACAAATCCAAGAGGTCAGCTCCGTAGAATGAGGTGGAGGAATGGCTCAGGGTCAATGTACATATATCGAAACTAATTGTGAGAGGGTTTGGATGCATACAACATAAGGGTTCCAATATATGTCTTTGAATATCATGTTGATATGGAAATTTCTGCCGACTACTTGTTTTGTAAGCCGTTACTATCACATTCCAGCTTTGGACGCTCCAGGTTCCTGCTGATGCATCCCCATTTGTCAGTGCGGGCACCGACTTTCACAGAGGCGCGTACTGCGAGCAACATGACACACACCAATGGACTGCAACCCTCTGTAAAGCCTTGGGAGTGTCCGCGTATCTTCAACGGCCTCCTCGCATCTCGTTTGATTTAACCTCCATTCATGGGTAAGTCCAATTTTCTAAAAACATTTATCGAAAAAGAATGGTCACTTTCAATCAATTAATTATTCTTTTTTCTCTTTCATATAAAATAAAACTCGAAAACGAACGTGCTGAAGCTGGTATAAATGTCTTTTCTTTCGATCAGCGTGTATGTTTCTTACACGATTTCAAAATGGATTTGTTTCGTTCCCAAAACTGATTATTTTTTATGTTTATCTTTTCCTTTCAAAGAAGCGATTTGATGAAACTGCAGCCCAAACTAATACGCAAGATCAAACTTCTTAGCCACAATCTTTAACAGAGGCAAATAATTGTAAGCTTACCTTTAAATTCTCTCAGATTTCATAAGTCATGATCTCATGCGTTCCGAAACCACTCTCACAATTATAATTTGTTCAGGTTGATTATTTGGGCCAAGGAGAAACTTTCACCTTCGCTCAACTTTTCGCTCCTTGCCACCGATTTACCTCCTTTGAAAGAAACTCCCGTGAACGCCTCGAGTCTATCACAATGGAGCCATTAACGTTCAAAGTTCAGGTCCTAGCCCAGTATCGCACCCCGCCACTTCCTCCTCTCGTCTCCTTCGCCCCGTCTCACGACGCACGAATTTTATCCCACCCGAACAATGATATGTTACTGAGAGGTCCATTCAACTCATGGTAAGTCCTTCGTAATCGACTATTCTTGGATGTGTTCACTAATAGATTTTGTTTGGTTCATTCACCACCTCAGGGGATATGATATGGGTACAAAGAACATCTTCACTGTGCTAGACGGCAACTGGACATTTGATGTATGTTGTAATTCCTATATACTCTTCTTCGGTCAAATGATTGATTTAGTCTCGTGTCGTTTAGATTCTAGATCATGACATCGTGGCCCAACTACTTTCAAGCGACGGTGTTTAGCACAGACAAGGTCCGGCAACGATTATTCTCCCACGAAAGCAGATATGGAGCTGGGTCACCATCCTATCCACTCGCCCCGAGGAAATCAATGATGCACAAGGACCGTCTCTGACTTGGATGTAAAGGTAACTGTCGATAAGCCTTTTTGCCAGTCGAATATTGCCATTTCCCACTCTCCTGAGTTATTTTGAAAACACAGCGCGACCCTATCAAAATCATCCCAGTAAGTTCCGTAATTCAACTTGTTTACGAATGAGTTCACGGAAGGTATGCCGTCGTCCTTTTTTGGAAAGGACAGGTCGTTCACCATCCGAATTGATCCATCGCCATTCACAGCACTGCCCATTGGATTTGAACGAACAAATCCAAATTTCTCGAACACTTGCTGGTGAGTAAACGGGCCGGCAATTCTACCAGCTCTCAATTCTTTCGCTAAGGTAATTTCTATCTGATCCTTCGCCGCAGTTGCTGATCTATGATCATCAGGGGTGTTCCACTGCATACCTCCTATCGTACGTTGAGGTATACCAAGGCAAAACCCATCCTTAAGACCATCTGTGATGTGAGGAATGTCTTTCTCTAAGCCTACTTCTCGCATCAATCCTGCCCACTCAGCAACCACCATCTTACAGGAAACTGGAGCGGGCCATGTGTTTTGGAACGGTACTGTGAAGATTTTCCGCTGCCAGAAAGGTATTGGTTCTTTCGTCCGCCGTATCTCTCTTTCTTTTTCTGATTCATCTGAACTTGATTCGCTAAATTTTTCAAGCTGATCTCTACGTTCGACAATTCGCGGACAGGAACCCCTAACCCTTCCAACTCCCCTGTCTCACAAGGTAATGACGTCACGGTCTCACTTCTAAGCATGGCAGGCTAACAACGCAAGTGATGTTTCAGAACTTCTCATTTCTCTCTCCGTTTTTCTCGGGGGTTTACAAAAAATCCTTCAGACTACAAAGTACTGCGTACCACAACAAGATAACAACACAACACCCGAAATCTCGAACAAGATCACCAAGATTCCGCATTTGACCCAGAGCATCATCCCCAGCCGTAACCAAATTAATCGATAAAGATAAAAAAAGAAAAACCAACAACACAATCATTAGTTTGCCTATGTGAGATTTCACTCAATCACAAGACAAAGTGGTGAAATAAAGCTTACGTGCTCTGAGTTTGTTTGGTTTTGGTGCGGCTGCACTAGCCCCTGGTTTGTAATTTCTCCCGTGTTCCCATTTCTAGGATATTTTCGAAAGTAGTTGTTATTCTTCTTAACATATGGCTTTTCATTTCCACCACCTCGTTGGCCACGATGATTTACTGCGCCAGAATCTGCGACTTTTTCAACCACCACTGGAGCTACAACACTTACTATTTGTCTACCAGTTGAAAAACTGAAACCAAATTTCGAACCACCAGGAGCATACGGATTGTCCACGAATTGTAAGTCGCCTGCTCTATCAGCTGCGAACCTTGCTTTGTCTAATACAGCTCGGTGAACTCCATTTGGAATCTTGACAACATCTTCAAACATTGTTTTGCCTTTGACTTTAGATTTAACAAGTTTCCGGCGTCTAAAAATGACAGTTCTGATTTTCAAATCATAACTTAAACCTATCATCCAGCAGTTGTAAGTTATCTCTATGTCTGATACGATCTTCTTATGTTTCACAACATAATCCGCATAAGTCTCTAAACCATAAATTTCTGTGGCATATTGTTCTTTCAAGTCACGCATCTCTATGAAATATCCATAAGTGAGTTGCTTTTCTAGAGCTCCGCTTAACTCCCCCGGAAATCGAGGCCAATAGCTGACTTGAATCTTCTGCATTTGTAGATGATTGACCAACGTGAAGAGCATCGCTAGTAGTACCTTTCAGCTTTGGGTTCCACTCATCGTATGTCATTGCAACAATCGATCCAAATGAATCGTTGAATTCGGTGACGAACCTCTTGGCTTCGTTACCATCCTTGGTATCCAGCGCTTTAGTCAAAGCCTCTAAGAAGGCTTTGCTACCTGAACTCTCGCTACTGTTTAACTCGCGGAATGCTAAGTTATTACAGAAGCAATGGGTTGGAAGCAAAAAACGCATAGGGTAAAAATACGTAAGTATCTTTTCCCTCACTTTCAAATCAAAAGAAATATGAAAGTTTTATGTACACATTGGACTTCGCAGCGCGCGAAGTAGCTAGTTCTTGATATGAACTGATTCGCACCTCGGCAGCGGTCTCGATTTTTGATTTTCAAGAAGATAATCTACAAGCCATGCGCACTAGTCGCAAAAGACAGCAGGTACGCATACCATACTCCCTAGATATTGGCGCATCAAGCAGACCTATGGCGTATACAACAACCTGCACATCTCCACAGATCACCATCTAGGATTTTGGCGCGCAAGGCAGCCGATGGATCTCACTTGACGGAGCATCAAGAGAAGATGCTGGAAACGAAACAGGGATAAAAAAGGGCGGCTAAAACACACCATCAATCGGGACGCCTTGTTCAACTTCCTTAAGACCCACATGTTGAGTACCTTTACGACGAGATTCTTCCAACCTAAGTCTTTCTTCTTCTCTTCTTCTTTCCAACTTTGCTAACTCTTTTGTCTTGAGTTCCAAAGGCTTGATATCCGCCGAATCTGATTGGGTATCACCATCATCGCTACCGCTCTCACTTCCTTCACCTTCAACGTCGTCTCCACCCTTCAAGTCTCCAGTATCTTGACCCGGAGCTATAAGCTCATCCGTCTCATCAGGAATTCCAACTTGGCCTTGATGATCTTGTACGTTTTGAGTATTACTTGAGGCTTCGACTTGATCAAAGTTAACATCCGTTTTCAACATTCTAGACTTTGCTCGTTGTAATCTTCTTGATGCTGGTTCTTTTTCTTTGGCTAACTTATCAACTTTATTTTTATTTGCTATTAATAGCTAAATCTTTCTTATTTTCATTCATCCAGACGGATTAAATAAACCGACAGAGAAATGAAAAAATAGTGGAAATGAGGAAACGAGCATCTTGAGAATGTGAAAGCAATTTTTTTATTTTCGAATGCTCCGCGCGGAGAGATCAAGAAAATAAAAAGAGACTCCCAATGGCAGTGATCAAGCGTTGAATACTCGTATTGGTCTCAAGAAGCGGCAAGTCAGGCTTCAGCAAGTGTATGGTGGCTGGCCTGTTTACATTATTCTACTGGCACTTGGGCAAGTTCTTGGCGCCACAAGTTTTCAGCTGTCTTTGTTAGGTGGGACTAGTTCGCAGCCAACTTTTGATCTACACGGTGAGTCCATTAACTCTTCATGTGTATTGTTTGTGCGGCTTGATTCTGATGAGATTCTAAATCCAACGGGCATTGGCTGTGTGAAGATTATCGGATCGATCTGCCGGTATGCTTCGAACAGCATCGAGCCAGCTTCTTGGTATCTTTCGATGCCGTGGCTCTTCTCATAGCCTCAAGTTTTTACGCATTTGCTACTGCTGCTGGATTCCGCGAGTTCCCTTTTGCAGCGCTTCTATCACGGATCACATCTGACTCTGCACATCTGGTGCTTTTCAAAGTCTTCTTCGGCATCAATTTTGGAGAAGAGGCCGGAGGAGCGAGTGACACTTGGGTTTTCAGAGCTTGTGTTGTCTAGCTCGTATCTTTATCTCATATGTTTTGTACGTTGGCTTGGTAAGTTTAAACTTCATCCACGTCAATTTACCTTGTGCTTGCCCTCGTTGACTAACCTGATTTTCAATGCTAACCGACTTACTACCGCAGCGTACCGGGAAGGGTGCCTAACTTCGTCAAGACTCTGTTCAGGCGGAAACTCGCATTGTGCTAGCTCTCTGCTGAGATTCTCCGTGATTACTGGCTGTAAACATCTAAGACCTGATCATCACGCTATGATTTCAAAATACTAAATTGTATCTATATCATAAAGCTCGGGACTGTATGGCCAAAATTGGTCATCCCTGTGGACTGGTCACGTAATTCCGTATGATCTTGTTACAAACTCTGAGCCGAGTCTACGTAGCACGAGGAGGATGTTAGACCTTGCACGTTGCCAGTGTGTTATGTAGACTATAACACAATGTTTCTTACTTCATCATCTGCACTCCCTATCGTTATGCACAGTTGTAAGTATGTACATATTTCATATTTGTGGAATTCGTGGAATTTAAACATGTTTTCCATTTATCACACTTTTACACATCATGAGGGTGTTTACCAATCTTACATAGCCTCACATTGGATTGCAAGTTGGACACTGCGCTTCTAGAATCTAGATACAACATTTGACCACACGTAAATCCACTTTACCAAGATCTCATTCCTTCTCACTTGATTCTCAAGAATTAAGATACAGGCGCTAGATACAGGACCTCTTCATGCCAAAATCAATGCAGCACAACTGCTGCATTTCTGATAGATATTGAACAGAACTCAGGGTATATGAGACTCACTCTCAGGGCAAGGATGTAGCGGAAACCTGTGAGAGAAGAACGCCTGGGGCTGAGGCACGGAAACGGCGAATGAGCGCTATGGGGGTGGGGGTGGCGATAGGGACCATGATTAATCATCATGACACACCCTGACTTGACCTGACCGTGGCTTGCTCATGATAGGTTACGTATTGCATCGGCCACATTTCTAGACAACGTATCCAGTACGTTTGATTATGCTTTTTGTGTTTCACACGTGTACTCCCGAAGTCATTGCTGACAACAAAATCCAGTCACAATGGTCATCTTTCATGAACCTGTTTTTTCACAACAAATTTGTTGTACCCTGTTGAACCTCAAAGTCAAACCCCTTTACAGACCCTGTAACCGATGATCGCAGTATGTGATCACTTTTCCCTTCCCTGAAGCATTTCACTAAGACTTACAAAGCATCCGTAACATCCGTGATTTGCTCTTCCAGGATATATATTCTCATCGTGCCCTGCTCCAGCGTCGAAGTACCTCTCCCTCCAAAAGACTGGATTTATCATCACTTCGGAACTGTCGTATCACCTTTCATTCATTGCGCTCAACCCCCACGTGTTGTCCACTACTCCTTTCAGCGGAACTGTTGCTAGACCCACCATTCCATCTGGCATGTCTGAATCCACCTTGACAATCGATGAATGTTTTGATTCACCTCAGCCACCCAGGACTAAATCTGAACGCCTAGTAGTCACAGTTAAAACCCAAGGTTACACTCTGAATGTACATCAACTCAAGGAAGCTCTGACCAGAAAGGGCTATCCGAACCTAAGCGATGCATCTCGTATAACGCTCCTCATTGCAGACGGTAAATAATCCTTTTAATTTGTATTAACACCATTCTATGTCAAAACCAACCTGACTTACCTCATCTGCTTTCCATAGGTCCAGGGACATTGTTGCCCGATGACATGATGGCTGCAGAAATACCAATCAATTCCTACATCTTGGCCTTGGTTTCGCCAAATTCCCTCCAAGCTACGCGACTGAACTCAAGAAACGGTATTAACTTGCCTTCCATCTTGTTTGTTTACACCATTTCATCCCTCAAAACTTTCGTGAAGATGCCAAATTCGGTGCCTCTATACCCATCAGGAGGTTGGACAGCATTCAATCTCACTTGGAAAGTAGACTTATTAGAATTATTCACGTATTTCTCACGGATGGGCTTCAATGCGGACTTGGTAGTTGAATCTATTCGTCAAACAGATGAGGCGTCTCTTCGTGATGCTCCCTCCGGTACTTTGAATGATGTAAATACCCATTGGAAAGGATATCTTGCTCCTCACACGATGTTGAGGCTTTCCAGTGCTGCTGAACTTGACAGCTTATTAGCTTCTCAAGGTCATTACCGTCACCGGTGTGCATCTGAATTTGAGGTAAATTTTTATTTGTCAAATTTAAACATCAAAACCTGAGCTGACACTTTCTTATATCCATCCATTAGGTCGAGAGTGCCTCATGTTTTTCTGTGAATACATTTCGTAGCACTTCGACTGTTCGATGTGGACCAGATGGATCCACTCCTGCAGTGTCTATGGGCCCCCCATCTGTCATCATGGCCACTCCGTCAGAACACGAGTCAGCCTACGATGACCTTTTCTGCCAAAACTTTAATCAGTCCGTAAGAGTAAGCGCCACCGCTAGTGTTGACACCCATAGTAGTCCAGGCAGGAGTCTGCCTGATCGAGGTGATGAATCTCATGTGTTGCGCCATGAACCGTCCCTCATGTCCATCCAAGTTACCGACTTGCGTCAAGTAAGTTTTACATCTTGCCTTTTCTGTACATCCTTCTCGCAATCCAAGTCCTCATGTGATGAATATCTTATGATCTGTAGACAGTCGACCAATTGACTCGGCAAATGGAACACGTGATGGGAGAATTCCAAGGATTGCAAGAAAGACGAGTTTCACTCACAATGCAATTAGATAGCTTACATCAAGAAAACTTACATTTAAAAGAAGACTGTCGTGCGGAAGCTCAAACTGTTGAAACTTTATTACAAAGCTTTGGTGAATTAGAAGCTGATAATCACGCCACTCAAGCTGGGATCAGGGCAGAAGTCCAAAGTGTAACTGTTGTTTCAACTTTCCTAATATAACACTTTGAAAACTAACATGATTATATTCAACATTGCACAGATATCCGAAAACTTATTGGGAGTCGTCACTTGTCCAATATGTTATGAACAATACGGATCACTATCGACTGACACAGATAGAAGACCGATCCACCTGTCGTGTGGTCACATCTTCTGTGCATCTTGTCTAGATTCAGACTGGAGAGCTCGCTATGCAAGTGGGAATCTTGAGCCCCATCGTTGCTTCAATCGTTGCGACGCGGTGGATCCTGATAGACTGGGTGAAGTTTACCTATTGGAAGAGGTTCAGGCAATCTTGGCCAGATTGGAGTCTTTTTAAACAGTGCTGGGTGTACCAACATGTGCCTGTCGCCAATGTATTAGTCTTCGATTGTTTCTGAGCGGGGACATTCTCCACAATTTCTACCTCCGCATTCTTTTGGGTTCATGTGTATGCTGGGTTTGACCAGTGAAATATTTCTTCTTGTTGTTGGTTGATTTTCTGGTTCTTTCTTCACCGTGTTTGTCCAAAGTACATAAGCGCTTGTACCACTTGGGATATGATTTGAATTGCCTTGCATCATCAAAAACTAGGGTGAGATTTTTGACAATGGACAAGATTCGACATTCCTGACAATATTGTATTTTAGCCAATTTCTTACGCTTGTTGACACGGGGCCTCTGTCGTTTGATATCATCATGATCTTATTCCTTGATCTTTCGAGCTCCCACTTTTCTCCCTTTCATCATTTGTAAGAAAAACAATCACCTTTTCCGTCCTGGCTTACCATTTCTATTTAGATGCCTATGAGTAATCGACCTTTTGTGGTCCTTTTGATTTGAGAAATGTATTTACACCCAAATAATCCCTTTGACTCAGTGTCAGCCCAGCTGAAAGGAGTTGAGAGCAATAACCATCATATCTTGAGAAAACATTCAATGTGTCGTCCTTGAGTCTGACAGTGTGTGTTTTTGTCTTAGGGGCCCACACCATGGCACTCCAGTCGGCCAATGGCATGAATGAGAGGGCGTGGCAGAGCCGTGTGGTACTATTTTCAATCAAAGGTTAAAAAATAGCAGAAAAATATGATTGCAGGGTCAAACAAGAGCCCAGATCGTCATATGGATATCAGCTCTGTTTGAGTGCATACCAGTCCTTTGGCTAATGGCAAGTTCTTGGTCCAATTGACTTTATCGCCTTTATCTGTAGATTCTGGTGAGTTGGTAAAGAGCGCAATACCATCAATCCGTCACCAATCTCTCATGTCATATCGTATGGAAAAGATTCATTGGGAAGAAATTACACCCATGGCCAATGGCAAATGTCAACGCTTCTGCTAGCCATGGCACTCATCACTCGTTGCAGTGATCAAGACCATCTTTACCTGTATCACAATACACGGTTCCCTGACCTGAGGGTTTGTATGGGCCCTAGTAATCCCTTGATCCCTTCTGGTCAACGTAGGGGAGCAGCTGCGGCTAGATCACCAAACTTATAAATAGCATTTCACTTCAAGTACGGTAAGTCCTCCTTTCACAACCTCTCCGCAAAATTCAATCAAGCTGACTTACGAGTCCCCTATACATGCACGACTCAAGTGCAATCAACCCTTCCGACAAACCTTCCAGCCCTACCTCTCCACCTCCACTCGATGAAGAGTCCATTGCCCCATTAAACTCGGCGGAAACACATATGCTATCAAAGCTTGGATCCATGCCGATTAGTGAAGAAAGTTGGAAGGAAGCTTTGGCCACCCATCAGCAGAAATTTCTCTTGCTCAATACTCAAGACAATCATACACTTCCCAGGACGGCTCCGGCGACAGAACCTCAAGACAGTTATAATTCAGTGGTGTTCCAAGACTTGGCATCCCTCGGTCCCCTGTACTCCGCTAAACCTCTCAAGCCCAAGCCAGCGTTCCTCCGGCTCCTTCCTCATCCCGACAGCACATCAACCCGGAAGAATCCTACTTTGCCTCCTTTGAGTATCAATCAAGCCGCAAGTTTGGGGTCTGTTGACCGCGAACATCATCCCCAGTCTGACAGTACAATCGGCTTCAATATGTCTTGTGCACCTTTCAATCCCCTGATTCCATCGCTAGATTCCGATGGAGTTCTTGACGGTGGAGGACTCGATGGGATCTACGTACCAACCTTGTCGTCCCCTCTGTTGATAGATTTAGGGAACGAGTTGATTTCCTTGTATTCCCCAGGTGAGTCACACAAACTCCATATGCAGGGAATGAGACTTACTCTGTCCCGTGATTTGGTAGAATGCCCATTCAGTAATCTCACGTGGGATGAGATTACCCCCGCCACTACCTCCTGAAAAAACAGACTCATTCGACTTTGCGCCTGGTTCAACCATGTAAACCACCTCAAGCAACCCCTCCACTTTGCCTAGAACATGATCTACAATCTATACTACTGTAGTTCAACTCTTGACACAATCCCAAAAGGGTAGTAGCATAGCTCTCAGTTGATGTTTTGTATTCCTTCTTTTGAATCTCAATTGATGTTTGGTATTCCGCGTTTCTGGAAAGAATATGACATTTCTTGTACATTTGATCTCATTGTTGGTAAAGAAGAAAATTACAGCACACTCATTTCCATTCATCACTCGCCACACTTCCATCTCATGTTTGCTTTATGTTCTTAGATATACAAAATCAAATAACTAAAATCATGCTTCTGTTTTTTGAACAAGTTGCCCATGAGATTTTCAAAGGGAAAAGAGCTCCTCTGAGGGTGAAGATATCAGGATTGCGGAACACTGACATTGAAAACGTAATTTGGGGATTCAATTTTGGTTCCAGGCTTCCCCTGTCAATTTTGGGTATGCGGTCAAGCCTTATGAAGAAGGACTTTTATCTTTTCATATTTTTCATAGACGATTTCTACAACAAAAAACAAAAAACATTTTTTTTTACATTTCCACAAAAAAAGAACAACATCTCATCTCGTCTGATCTAATTTGAAACTTTTTCTTTTTCCTTGTCGAATTGTACACATCACATTTAATGATTTTCATCATTGATTCGATTGATTCATAACTAAATTTTCCAAAGCTCAACGAGATGGGAAGTTCTATAATTCTAACTCTGTTTGATCTGTTTATTCGAACCAACACAACATTTCATGACCAGTAACTTAACCCAAGAGAAATCCAACCAAGACATAAAAGAACGACATACCTCTACAATCAAATCACCAGATCCAAGACTATCATCAGGTCCAACAGCCACTCTAGAAACCTTACCACCTACTGGAGCGATCACATTTTGTTCCATCTTCATAGCGGACATAATACAAATCGGATAACCAGCTTTAACTTCACGACCTTTCTGTACTCTGATTTCAACGACGACTCCTGCCATGGGTGATCCAACTGAACCTGGATCTGCAGTGGCCTTTTCTCTATGAGCTGTCTGAAGAAAATTCAATTGATTTTTTGTTAGCTTTTTGTTAGAGATGAGAGGGATGGTGTGTAAGCTTACTTCAACTGCTGCATTACGTTCTTCTACTTGTACTGCTCTAGTCTCTCCATTGAATTCAAAGAACACTTCCCTGACTCCTGTTTCCGGACTATAAAGTAAAAGATTGATGAAGAAGTGGTGAAGAGATAAGTGATGATCATTTTTTTTCGGAATCCACGACAAAAAAGAACCTACTTGACTGGTCCAGAAGCCAATAATTTCACAATTAGTGTCTTTCCTTGTTCGATCGCGATGTGCATCTCTTCATCAACTTCAGGTTTGGCAAGGAAATATCGGGCTGTTGTTCATCATCATTTTCACGTTAGCTTAATGTTGTCTATATTGTTAAGCGTTTTTGGTCAAAGAATACGTACTAGGTAAGATTGACAAGTCACCATACTTGGTCAAAAAGTCTTTAAATTCTTCATATACTTTAGGGTGCATGCAGTATGATAAAACGTCCTAAATACCAATCCAACCAAAAAACAAGAATAGTCATCCGAAAGACCAACAAATCTAGTTTATCCGCTCTTGATTCTACATCTGATTGAGTAAGCTTGTTGGAAACTAAGAATTGCGCAAAGTCTCCAACTACTTTTGATGATGGGGTTACTTTGACTATATCACCACATAATAGATTGGGATCGATCTGCAAATGACCCAAATTAGTAAGGCGATAATGTGATTGGATTCGAGAGCGATTACATAAGCTTTCTTCACAGCTGCCCATTGTGTACCAATACCAAGTTCTTGACTTTGGAAAATCAGGTTAGTGTATTGACCACCAGGCATCTCATGTCTACATTTTCGCACAAAGCGCATATGGTCAGTTCCTCAAAAGATCATTTTGACTAAAATCAAAGTACTCAACTCATAGACACCAGAGTCGCTAGCTTTCACGTGAGCATCGAAACTTTTGTAAAGCGTTGAACATTGAGACCAGTAAAGCTATCGAAATAAATTTGGAATTTGTAAAGTCAGTAAGATTATGCGAGAGGATGAGCGGTCAAAACGAAACCATGATTCAAAGCTTGAATATCATCATGTCGGATTCCGGTTCCGAGACCGTTTTGTTCGAGAGCGGCGCAGAAAGCACCCATTGCGCATTGGATTTGTCATACCTGACATGCTATCGATTGCACAATCCACTACATCAGCACCTGATTCAGCACATTGTAACATGGTCGCAAGTGAGATACCAGCGGTATCGTGAGAATGAACGTGAATAATGATTTCTGGATATTTTTCACGTAAACTACCGATTAAGCTGTAATATAATTCAATCGAATCAGTTTTCCGGAAACATTTGACGTCTATACACAAAGTGACTCTTACATCTTTGCAGCGCGAGGTGTCAATGAACCGGCCATATCTTTGATAGCAAGCACATGAACACCTTCAGCAACTAATTCAGCAGCGAATTTCATATAATAATCTTAAGTATATTTAGTCTTCTTGGGATCTGCTACATCACCAGTATAACAAATCGTAGCTTCAACTACACCTCCAGCTTTTTTAGCAGCATCAATTCCAAGTTTCATATTTTCTAAATAATTGAATGAATCAAAGACTCGGAAAATATCTAATCCATTCTCGACTGCTTTCTTGGAGAATTCGTAAATCACATCATCAGGGTAAGAAGTATAACCTACTGCATTCGCTCCTCTGATTAAGGTTTGAAGTGGAATGTTAGGTACTAATTTACGAATCTTTTGTAATATTTCCCATGGATCTTCGTATAAGAATCTCATCGCTACACAAATGTAGCTCCGCCCCAACATTCAAGTGAGTAAGCGTTGGCTAAAGCGTGACTGGTTTCGCGAGCAATGTTGAGTATATCGATCGATCGTAAACAAGTGGCTAATAGAGATTGATGCGCGTCTTTCCAAGTTGTATCCATGATCAAACATCCTTTGTAATCACCAACTGCTTTGGCGAATGCAGCACGTCCTTGAGTCTTGAGAATGGCTCTCCAGCCTAGTTCACTTGGTCGAGTCACATCTAAAGGCATCTCGGGATCGGTTCGGTGGGCGAAGGGTGGGATCACAATTTTGTCTTTCAAACCAGGTTCATCTTGTTGACCCTTGGTACTACTTCCGTTGACAACCAAGTCACCAAGATATCCAAGGAGTTTTCAGCTCGGTTTTGACTGCTGATCAAGTGAAACAAGGCTGGGGTATCATCGGTGAACTGGAAGGAAGAAAATTGATACACAATGAGCACCTTTGCAGAATCGAATGGGATAGAAGTCATCTACAACTCATAGTGGTCCAGGTTTGACAGGCTACAAAAGTCTCATGAGACATGACCCTGAACAGGAAAGTAATATTGGTCTTGACTCCTCGGATTCGAAATTCCTGGACATTCAGTTTTCGGAGTACAAAACTCAGTAACTGTTCCATAAAGCATATGAATTTGATTATAGAAATCTAAAGCTAAATCAACAATCCAAAAAGAAAGAAATTGATCATGAGGATTAGGCGAATTCGGTACTTTGAGGAAATATGAGATTGTGACTTACTATTGACAGCTAACCATTTATTTAAATCTTCTCCTTCTGGTAACATTACAGCTGCTCTTGAGTTTCCAGAACCAAGAGTTGCATCTGCATACCTATTTAAATACGGTTTAGACTATTGTAAGTTCTAAAGAAACAATCAACCGATTTTCTATAAGTGGATTGAAGTTTGCTAGGTTAAATCCAACAATCAATCACTTTACAAGTTTTGATGACTGATCGTTGTTTACCACCTAAAGCCTGAGTTCGAGTGGAAGATAAACCACAGAGAGCATAAGCAGCGGCGTTGAAGTAATCTAAACGTTCGGTCCAAGGTTTATCTCGACAATGAAAGATCGTACTCCAAATCCAAGCGTTCATCCCAACAAAGGTATTACCGAGGTATAGGTTTCGTCAAAGGCCATGAATGAGGGATGGTATGTTTCAATTGATAGTAAGAGAATAGATAAGTAAGTAAATTAAAGATACTAAAGAGAGCAGATAAAGGTTCCTGAATCCCATGCCAACGTTTGAAAGGCCATTTGCCATGGAACTGTACAATTCTACCAGGAGGTAAACCTTCGAGTTCGACACCAGGAGTCCAATCTGGTTCATCCCACCAACCTTCGAATGGTTGATCAGGAGGAGCGATTGCTTTTGGTAGCTTTAAAACCTTTTCGGTTAGATCATGCATACATCTATAAGAGCAATCATCAGGAGAAGTCCAATGAAAGAGTCGAAGTAATTGATGAGGATCTGAGTCGACGATATAACATTGCCTAAAGTTACATTCATTAACCCCGACGTTGATAACCAGGTGAATAATCTCCAGGTGAGGCTTGAATCCGCCATAAGAATATAAGTAGGATTAAGGGATGAGTTGGATGTCGTCGAGGATTGAACATCTAGTCCAGTGCCTTGAAAGATCGTTTATTGAAGTAGAAGCCTGTTGGATCAAAAACTGAGGAGATCATGAGGGAAAACTACCGTGATGGATCAAATTAAGAGTTCAATGAGTTGACCAACCTAGATTTATATGCTTTGCTGAGGATCCCTCTTGATATTCAATGCTGAGCTTGAGATTGTTGTTGATGATGAAGTCAAAGTGAGTTTCAGTTGATCAATTGAAAAAATGAAATTCCATTTAAACTGAGTTATCTGAAAACTCATTAAATTATAAGCTGGTATTGAAAAAGTAGTTTAACTTGCAATCCTGAAAACAAAATCAAAATGCAAGATTACAATTTGACAAAATGCTCGGCTTCGAAATTCGACCCGCAAGATTGAGATGTTACATTCACAAAGTAAGTCTCATTTTGTCTATCCAAACCATTACGATCTTTTGAATTTTCAAGCTGACTATCTTTCGATCTTTAGTTTACATTCTCAACAATCTACGACTAAAAATCTTTACACTGATACACTCAATTTGGCGCGTACATCTTTTCCGCTCCGTCAATCTGGTCCTATATCTGATGAAGCTCAATTACGTGAAAGAACAACACGACTTTGGGATTGGCAAGTAAGTAATATGTCTTCCTTTGTAAATATACTCAATCTACTTTCGAATGATGTTCCATAAAATAAACAGTCTGATCGACCAGTTTGGACACTTCACGATGGAGCCCCTTATGCGAATGGACCGCTTCACATGGGTGCCGATTCAAAATGTTCTGCTTTTGATGACTATTTGGGTTTTAAATTGGTGATATCATTTGCAGGTCATACTCCGAACAAGATTCTCAAAGATATCATTAATCAAGTCAAACTCCTCAGTGGTTACCGTATCAAGTAAGCTATTAATCATCTTTTGAACAGCTCAAAAATTTGTATACTAATCTTTGATCGACTCACTTGTTCTGTCATAGTTATGTGCCTGGCTTCGATTGTCACGATGTACCAATGGAGCTCAGAGCCGTCGAAGCCTTACAAGAATCATCTGAAATCAATCACTCAAATCCAATCACCATCAGATCCTTAGCAAGACAGGCAGCTGAGACTGGAGTACAATTACAAACGAAGGAATTCGAAAGATTATCAATTTTGACTGTTTGTTCAAAGGCTTGGCGGACTATGGGTAAGATACGAAGCTCCTACCATCTCTCGTGTTATATATATTCTTGAATTTCAACGCGTTGATCTATTGACTATAGATTTTATGCCTTCTAGATCCGAAATATGAGATTCAGCAAATTCGGTTATTCGCCAAGATGTTTAAAATGATTACATTTATCGCTCCTGCAAACCGGTTTATTTTCAACCTTCCTCCTAGTGGTCTGGACCACAACGCCTTGGACACTAGTTGCGAATCAAGTAAGAATCTCTTCAAGACTCTGTATAGATCCTTCTATAGTATTAATATGTCATTTCTTTGTTGTTATCTCAATTAGGCAGTTGCACTCGGTTCGGATGATCAGTACTCTATGGTCAAAGATACTCGTAGCTCATCAAGTAACGAGTTACCGATATTTGCTACTAGCCGTCTTCCGCTATGGCAAGAGATATTAGGAAGTGTAGAAAGTCCAGTCAAAGTCGTGGGCGAGCTTACAGGTGGAGTACCCTTTCAAGAAATCCTCTCCATAACGTCTGCCTCATGCGCGGTCTTTTTGCTCACAATTTAAATTGTTTGTATTACTCTCCTGGACACTTCTACTCCCCTCCTGTAATCTATTGGATAGGTCAGGAGCTGAGCTCGACAAGTTATACTCATGATTTCACTAATTGCGAACTTCCGACCTTTGTGGCAAAGCATGTCACCATGAAGACTGGATCAGGACGGTAAGTCTTGACGAATGATCTAGACACTCCTACGCGCGCAAAGAGGTTGATTTTGCGTTAGTAACGGTTTAGGAAAACGTCAGGCTCGACCTTCAGATCCGTTTGCATTAGTATAAAAGCGAACAACGGATAAAGAGGTTGCTTTGGCAACTAAAGATAGGCTTGAAGATCTTTATGACCTGAGTGAATCAAGGAATTCTGATCCTTATGGTACGCATCATTTCAAAAGCCCATCAAATGCCTCTAGTCCGATTCAAACTTATCATTGAATTTTTGTCACCTTTAAACAGTCACCAGTCAAAAACTAAGAAGATCATTTCGGAAAGAAAAAGCAGAACTAATAGCGAAATCAAGAAGTGACGATTCTCTTCGTAATTGGTATTCCTTACCATCAAATCTCAGACTAGACGAACCAGATCAACCACTTTTGTTGGAAGAAGCTGAAAAAGCAAAGACTCTGATCCGTGAGGGGCAAGCAAAGATAGAAGCAAAGCGACTCAGACTGGAAGCTGAAACAGGTCTTCCATTAAATAATAAACGAGCTCCAACAATTTCAACTCCATTGGCTAGTTTACAAGACCGATTGACTGCCAATACTCGAAGAACTCTCGACCCTTTTTTATCTTCTTTGTCTTCTCGATCTATTGCAACCTCTCGTCTTCGCTCTTGGCTTGGTTCATCTCATATTGTCGTCTGGCCTACACTCTCTAAATCATCATCTAGTTCTATTCTCAAAGCGCCGACCCCTCAAAAACCCAAGCTGGAACGCAAGTGCAGCAAACCTATCAAGATACTCACAGAGTACGATAGTGATTGAAATTATCATGTCCATTTCTATCTGTTTTGCTTGCTCTTGGACATATCTCATGTAAACGTTTTCAACAAGCTCGTATTACGCATATGCATTTATTCAGACAACTATTCAGCGCATACCCTTCTTGAAAGTCTTTCAAAATCTAATTCAAGCTGGTCCTTTATCATCCAAGGGCTAGATTAACATAGTTTCAGAGGCTCGCCACCTCAGGCTGTAGATTGTACATATAGGATTAAGTAATCTCAAGGGTAAATAATTGTCGCGTGTTTACTATAAAGACATATTCGCATGTATCACAAACTATGTATAATTTACAAATCATTTTTTCCTGCAAAATTGCAATTGTCGCATGTACAAAGGATTTGACAGTTCATCAACCTTGCCTCTTTGATGAGTACTCACATGATTGCAAAGATTATCAGAAGGTAAGAAGCAATACTGCAATAGTGTTCGTGAGGTATAAATTCCTGCTTGAGCAGACAAGATATTTGCAATCACAAAAGATTCAAATTCATCGGCCGATCTTGATCATCTTGGAACTGTTTGCAAAGCCAGTTTGGGGCAGAAGGGTTGAGTTCTTATACATAAGCTTTTTTTTGCTGATCAAACTTCAATCTCAATTTTTTGTTGATAGTAGAACTAGTGTACTTGTTGCGGAGATTCAAGCAACATTTTCTAGGAATAATTGCACTCTTAGGACGCCCATTGAGGCGGAGGTTAGTGAACAGAACCCTCAATATAAATGCTCTGGACCAGAGCAGGCCAGAGCCCAAATCTGCAAGAATCATGGCAATGGTTGAAAGAGTACAGTTTTAAAGATGATGATTGTTGTAGCACACTGGCTGTAAATGATTCCTTGTATTTCTTCAATCCAATCGAGAGAAGGGTAATAGCTTTGCTAAGAATTCAAAGGTGAACAAAGGAGATTACCTCTGGAGAAATTGAGATTGACAAGTCAAATAAAAAGAGTAACAAGATAATTAGTTGAAATATTTTTGTTTAGGGAAGTGGAAGTCACTGTTTTTTGCGCTTGGATGAAGAAGCAAGTTGCTTCTTCGCTTCTCTAGCCCGTTTTTTCGCCTCTGCAGCCTCTGCTCTAGCAGCTTCACGCTTGGCAACACCTGTCTTCTTATTTTTAGTTTCGTCAGAGTACCACTTGACCATCACTCTCCTCTTCTTTGCCCATTCTTCATCGGACTCCCCTTTTCTTTTCTCTTGGGGGATACGTATACGATTAGCAAGCGCGGCTGAAATCTGACAAGACGATCCGTAGCGAGTAATGGCCGAGGTTTCAGGGTTGTCGAGCTCGCCTTCTGCGTCAAAAGCATGGGACTGGTCTGTGTAGTGCAGGATCTATGTTGACGTAAAAAAATCAGTTCTTTTATCAACTATGTATGTGATTTAATATTTTGTCTTACCTTCACATCCCAAACCAACTCGTAAATGCCGTCGCAACCATCAAAATCGACTTCAATTCCAAATTCTGGTATTATAAATTTGGAACCCTTTACGTCGCCAAGATACTCCTCTCCACCGAGTTCATGAGGTTCCCCCGTAGCACGCTTGATGCGGCAGTTCATTCCAAACGAATACCTTGACAGATCGGTGTCTTGGTGAGACTCATTGTAAAAGCAGTCCTTGGTGACCACCAAGTTTGAAGCAAACACTTCACCGCTCGGGGAATCTTCCCACTCTAACTCGTCGAATCCTGGAACGTGAACTTCTTCTGCAAGCTTGCGATTTGATTCAAATGCACGCAAGGACAATGTCGCAAACCTGTCCGCCCAAAAGTCACGAATTCGACGGAATTCTTGTGTCAAGTCCTTGTCTGTGTCGATTCGTTCGTTGGTGTATGAGATATAGGGACACAAAGCATAAACCCCTTGAGAAATTTTGAGGTCAAGTCAGACTACTGGATTGGAGATATATCAAAAAATTGCTCAAATAAACACATACCTAAGGATTTCCCATCATCCATTCCAGGTCGCCATCCGCAGCATCCCATCCAACCCCAAAATTTTCCTTCATCCTGTAGCACTTGGATCGAGTTGTGTTTGTCGCATGGAATCCTGTTGTTGGCTAATTGAAACGTTGTTGATATCGAATGCCAGAATTCCTCCTTCAGCTCTTTCGACATGGAATCGAATCGGGTGCAGCGCACAGCTAGAATCAATGAGTTATCTTCTTTATTAATTACCGCTGTCGTCCCGAAATGAAGCTCGACGATTTCCCTTTTTTTCTGTTCTTCTGGATCAGTTATCCGGTGTCGAAAGATAAACTTGGTCTCAGGTGGGAGACCAAGTTCTTCAGCTAGGGCTCGCCTCTTGTCTACTCTCCCCTGGTGCTTTTGGGGAAAAGGCGTCCCAATGTCACGCTCCTGCCTCTTTCTATCACGATATGCGATGGCGGACGGCTTGGTCTTGGATTTAGTGTTGGTCTGAGGTGTACCATTTGCGGCCCTTCTGGCTCGGGTTTTGCCTCGGCCAGCCATGAAACAAGTAGATTAAAACTAGATGACTATTGCAGGATTGATGAGTGCGTTTTTATCTCTGTATGTTGATTTTGAATTTGATAAATAGAAAGATACAAAGTGAAGTGATTCAAAAGAAAAAGAAAAAGTGTAGAAAGAGTTTGAGGATACTATAGGATTGATTAGATTTGTAAATTGGAAGTTTGATTTGTATAGATTCAACTTTAGATTGGTTTTTGATTTTAGAATTGAGTGCAGTTGCTTAGGATGAAGAAAGACTTGAGAATGTGAGTTGAGAAATGAGAAATGAACTGATAAGCTGAGATGATATGATAAAACCCAAATAACGAGTCGAATCAAGGCGACTATAATCACGACCAGCAAAGGCTAATTAGTGTCGTTTTCAGTATCAACCGCCAAAGGGAGAAATTCCTTACAACGCCTCCAGTATATTTCTTCGAGTTCGTTTTGAGAAGACCGGTTGAACCGTCGGATGGGTTTGTTCGGAGGGCAGCGATGAAACCCAGCGGATGGAATCGAGGAGGCGGATGTTTGATGTCGAGAAGGCCTCGATTCGTGATGGCGGATTCTGATTGGCGAGGGGAGGAGAGACTCGTCACTCTATGTTCTTGGACCCCACTACTAGCATATAGTCTTGTAGTGTTGTTTGATTACATACCTTGACTGGTTACTATCCGTCTCTTTAGACTTTACCTGGTCTAGTTTTACATACTCTTCATCATCAATTGAACCAAAACAACAAACGGTAGTCAGTCAATCTTATCGATCCGGTCTTTGATTTGGAACACTCCCGCTGCTCACCTTAGCGTCTCGCAGTTCTCGTACGTCACTATCAACAACATAATACTCTTTTCTAAACTTACATTTTTTCTTTCCTGAAATCTTGTTGATTTCATTTGATTCAGGAGACCACAAGTTCCTGATCATATCGGAGAAGATGAGGCTGAAGAAGACATTCCTACGAAATCATCGAATGCTGCTGCAGGTGGTGCGGCTGCCGAAATCGCGGGTCATCCAGTTAGTAATCTAAAATTCAAATTTACCGTTTGTGTATCGGAAAAGAATTAACCTGTCTTGTGATCGGCTACAGCTTTTAGCTTCTTTAGTTCAGTCTCGTTTTAATGGCCTTGTTGGTCGTTATTCTGGTTATATCGAATCCCTTCCTGCACCAATCCGACAACGTGTCGATGGCTTGAATGGTATTCAAGCTGAACACGCCGAGCTCAAAGCCGACTTTCAAAAAGATGTACTTGAACTTGAAAAGAAGTACGCACATCGATATGGACCACCTCTTTACGAACGAAGAGCCGAGATCATTGCTGGTAAAATTGAACCTTCATCACAGAAAATCGCAGCGGGAATTAAAATGGAAGAAGATGAAGAGTCGGATGATGAGGAGTCTGGAGATGATGCTTAAAATCCAAAGCGATCTGCTCGTGTACCTCCTACTGCTGAGGAACTGGCTGAATTTCCCAAGGGTATTCCTGAATTCTGGGTTACCGCTTTAAGTAACCATTCGGTATCTCTGATTTGATCACCGAAAGTGATGAAGCTGCGCTCAAGCACCTTGAAGATATCCGAGTCGCCTATCTCGATGGCAAGCCCGGCTTCAAACTTACCTTTTCTTTCGGTCCAGGGGCTAAGGAGTTCTTTGAAAACGAAAATTGGGAGGAGACTTACTATTATCAGGATACTGTGGGTTACGCTGGTGATTATGTTTATGAAAAAGCTGAAGGGACAAAGATCCTTTGGAAGACCGGTAAAGATTTGACTGTCAAGATCGAAACCAAGAAACAACGAAACAAAAGTAGGTGTCTTTCATTTATTTTCTTCAATACACTCCTGAAACTCATCATCTCATGTGTTTATATTACAGACACAAATAGAACCCGAGTGGTTAAGAAAGTGATCCCAACCGACTCTTTCTTTACCTTCTTCAGTCCACCAACTCCGCCTGCTGAAGAAGACAACTTATCCGAAGGGGAGCAAGACGATATCGAACAATGTCTCGAACTGGACTATCAAATTGGTGAAGATCTGAAGGAAAGGGTGTGTCATCACTTCACCTTTATTCCTTTGCACACTCTTGCCCATTGCTTTTGTTTACTTCTTTTCGCAGATCATCCCACGGGCTATTGATTTCTTCACTGGCAAGGCCTTACGTTTCGAAGAGGGTGTTGACGATGAACTATTGGATGAGTTTGATGATGATAACGACGATGATGATGATGACGACGTAGGTGTCCATTTGATTACTTGGTGTATCATTCTATGTTAAGCTAACTACATGACTTGTTGTCCTACAGGACGATGACGAGGACGGAGATGCTCCTGACCGCTTGGTTGTCCCCGGCGCTAGAAAATCTTGAAAAACCCCATTCCCCCAAGTGGCGTTACGCCTGCTGGTAACCAGGATCCTCAGGTTCGTGAGCATCTTCTTTTGTGCAACAGCGTGGAACAATCAAGAACTGATAGGTTAAGTTTGATCAGGAATGCAAACAGCAATGATTGCTAAAAGATAACTTGCGATATTTTTGATGTTACTTGAAAATGAAAATAGTGCAGACACGCTCTTTAGCTAATCAAAACCCATCTGTTCATTCAGTTTCTCTGAATAGCTCTGAGATTTGTGGCAACCCAAAAAAATAATTGTAATCTTCAGTTTAAAAAAACACGTTTATAAATGTTATCCTTTTGATCCGACATTTTCACCAAGTACAGCTTGTAGATATCTCAAACTGATTGTGGTATGAATATGCTTCTGTTTTGGTCTAAGTATTTTGTGCGTTTTTGATTGCTTTTCGTAGTGAATCATCGAAAAAGAGAAAACCGAAAAGACGCGTAAGGCGCATGACAACACAACATTAAAGCGCGATCATCACAAAAGTAACTTTGTTTTGGTTTATTTCATTTCCTTTATAATATCAAATTGATGGTCTTGATAGATCATCGCCACACTCTGTCAATCTCAATCAAATCTGGATTAAAGTAACTTATACCCTTCAATATTATCAAACGAAGATCAGTATGTTTAATCGTTATCAAGATTATCAAAAAGACCAAATGGAATCTTCAACATTGGAAATTGAACGAATTCAAGCATCACAACGACAAAGAGGAAGAAGAAATCTTGGGTAGAATGACAAAAATTGAACAATTACCTCAATTGGAATTAATCACTTCAATCGATTCTCAATTTCAATTTCAAATTAAAGTTCATCCTCAAGTGGAATCTTCTTCTAGACATCGTAGGACTCTAACTCATTTGGATTCCTCTAACATCGTCAGTTTAGAAGATATTAACTCCCATTCATGGGTAAGTTCGATTTTCTAAAAACGTTTATCGAAAAAGAATAGTCACTTACAATCAATTAATGATTCTTTTTTCTCTTTCACATAAAATCTGTTCTACGATCAACGTGTATGTTTAGTACTCACTTTCAAAATCCATTTGTCTCATTCTCAAGACTCATTAGTTTGCCTTTATCTTTTCCTTTCGAAACAGGTTTTGATGAAACTGCAGCCATAACCAACGCACGAGGGCGAACTTCTCGGCCACAGTTATATTCAAAAACAAGATCCAAAGAATTTACATTAAGCTAACCAACTTTATCTAGACTAAGCTCCTATGATTTATTCATCTTATCAAAAATTCGGTCAAGCTAGATTGATCGATTATAACCAAGTTTGGAAATATACAAGCAGATTATGGTTGTGGAAAGTTGGAGATTTATGAACTTCCAATGACCAATCTAATCAGTTTCGTTTGTAGAGAAGAAATGGAAAGATCTGCAATCGGAAATGGATTTATCCCTCAAGCTATTCGATGGGATTGCTAATCTTTCAGTTGGATACTCTATTATAAACAGCCATCAAGTCCATCCATTCATTCGAAAAAAACGAAAAGAAATAAAACAAATTAATGGTAAAAGCAATTAATGGTTTGGATCTTGGGGGTTTGTTATCATAGCTGCGATGATTGGTTCTGGAAATACACCACCAATGCAAGTACCTAACCAAGGTTAAAATTTCTCATTACTTTTTCTTTTACAAAACTTTATAGAAACTATTAATCTTTGATGAATTGGGTTTTTGTTTTGGTTTACAGGTAAACATATACTCAAGAGTATCACGTTAAGATGAGTCACATCAGATCAACCTGAGTTGAAAATAAAGTGCCATTCAAAAAGTAAGCAAAACAAGCTCTAATATGTTACAAAAAGAAAAAAAGCCTGATAAATAGGTTAAGATTGTAAGATTGATCAAATTCAAAATCAAAAAGCTTTGCCCATATCATCTGAAAAGAAAAGAGAAATGAAAGAGATGCATTTTCAATTTCTTCTATTGGATGATTTAAAAGGTGAGTATTTTTGGAAATATATTTGACTGTTCTTTGCAACACCTACCTCTAGATGTTTGTTGTGATACTGATCTTTTGGCTCTCGTCTTTTTAGTTATTATTTCACTCCAATGGGAACCTGTGGCGCCGCCAATGAAGGATTTTGAAAAATTTCGGAGAGGATTTGTTTCAGTAGTACACATAGAAGGAAGAGGGATTTGAAAGACATGATGATTTTTTTCATAACCTAATGCATTGATTAAAGATCACTCCTTGGTGTATCCTTAATTTTTTCTTCTTTTTTGAAATTGTTGTTTTGGACTTTTTTGGGAGGGCAAGGATTTGAGGAATCAGTAAATTAGATACTTTTTTCTTGAATTGGCATTTATCAGGATTGTAAGATTCGCACGTCAGAATGAAAAACTTGAAGGACTGTATACCACTCGCGAGCTATGAGGGGAGTAGATCAGTCGGTGTCAAGCGGAATGAGGTATGAGAAAATCTGCTACATTGTTTGGGTAAAGCGGCCTGCGCGTGGGGCCAGGGGAGAATTCGTAGGCTGGACTTGTGTTGTGTGTCGTCTTTGACAACTAAGTACTCCCGCAGAGCATTGAGACGGCGGACAGGGGCTGATTCATTTCGTTGGACGTGGGTACAGATAAGGCAAAGCAAAATTCACAATTGCCTATACGCCTAAAAGAAAGCAATGCTGACTGGGTTGGAGGCGGCTGAGGGTTGTGTCGGAGGTTTTGTAGAATGAAATGCCTCACTTCTAGACGGGTCTTGCGAAATGTCAGGGTGCATCAAGGCAACCATGTATATTGGAGAAGTTATGGGAGCCAATTCAGACCAAAGTTCTGTCAAAATTCCTTGACAGAATTTGGATTCTTTGAGTACACTTTTCTTGGTTGCTGAAATTCTGCTGAAATTCTGTCCCAGAATTTTGATTCTTTTGTACCATTTTTGTTGGTTGCTAAAATTCTGCCGAAATTCTGTCACAGAATTTTGATTGTCTGTACACTTTATGTTGGCAACCAAAATCCTGTGGAAATTCTGTCACAGAATTTTTGATTGTTTTTGCATCATCAAAATTCTGGTCAAAATTCTGTCGCAGAATTTTGTTTTTTTTGGGAATCAAAATTCTGAACCAAAAAAACTCAAATTCCTTACGGAATTGAACCATTTGTTTGTAGTGTAAAAGACTTGAGCAAATTGAATCGGCGATGGACCACTTCCATTGATCGTTTTTCTATTTGGGAATCGGATCAATCAAGATCACACACCCTATATCATCCTACTGGGATTGTATGCACCGAGGTAGACCGAGCCACTGAACTCCTGTGAACAAAGAGCTGATCAGCGTTGATCACTCGAAATGAACATCAGTTCTGGATGTGATGTAGATCATCCAGCCTCTAGGTCTTTGCCTGGGAGTTGGAATTGCGCGATCTTTCGAACAAATTGACAAGTGATCTGAGCTTGACAAAGTCCCACGCTGACGCCCGCCTGCGGCGAGGCTTTTTTCATCCTGAAAGTATCTCACTTCGCTGTTTTCTCCATCCCCTCGGTAATTCGTCTTACTCTCAAGCAGGTATACTCATCTTACATTCTCATTGAACACATTACCTCTGGTGAATATCCTTTCCACATCTGGTTTTCGCCTTGTTTATAATCTGAGATTTTTTGGGTTCTTCTGATCTTTCATGGTCATTTGCTTTCATTTTTCAGAGCACTATTCAAGCTTCCAACTTCATGTCAACCTCGCACCGAACAAAGACTTTATGTACACTGGCTGTCGGTCTGGTACTACTGCTCATTCAGGCTGTGAATGCGGACTCAGTAAGTCACATTACCTAACCCTGAAATCA